AAATTAGGATAAAATAAATTTTTATTTTCGTTTTTACCAATTTTGATTGTCTGATGGCGTACGGGTGAACCTGCTAGTACTAAAAAATTGAAATAAAATTCTCTATTCTTCAGGATTTTGTAGGGATCAGTCCCTACTAGAACTCTGGTAATTTTCAGATAATAAGATTAAATAAATTTGGATAAAATAAATTTTTGTTTTCCTTTTTATCAAATTATGATTGTCTGATGGCGTTCGGGTAAGGGTGCTACTACTAAAAAATAAAAATAAAATTCTCTATTCTTCAGGATTGTGTAGGGTTCAGTCCCTACTAGAAGTCTGGTAATTTTCAGATGATTACATAAAATAAATTAGGATGAAATAAATTTTTATTTTCTTTTTTACCAAATTTTGATTGTCTGATGGCGTACGGGTGAACCTGCTACTACTAAAAAATTCAAATAAAATTCTCTATTCTTCAGGATTGTGTAGGGATCAGTCTATACTAGAACTCTGGTAATTTTCAGATGATTAGATTAAATATATTTGGATAAAATAAATTTTTATTTTCGTTTTTACCAATTTTGATTGTCTGATGGCGTTCGGGTAAACCTGCTACTACTAAAAAATTGAAATAAAATTCTTTATTCTTCAGGATTTTGTAGGGTTCAGTCCCTACTAGAACTCTGGTAATTTTCAGATAATTAGATTTGTTAAATTTGAAAGAAATAAATTTTTATTTTCGTTTTTACCAATTTTGATTGTCTGATGGCGTTCGGGTGAGGGTGCTACTACTAAAAAATTGAAATAAAATTCTCTATTTTTCAGGATTGTGTAGTATTCAGTCCCTACTAGAGCTCTGGTAATTTTCAGATAATTAGATTAAATAAATTTGGATAAAATAAATTTATATTTTTCTTTTTAACAAATTATGATTGTCTGATGGCGTACGGGTGGACCTGCTACTACTAAAAAATTCAAATAAAATTCTCTATTCTTCAGGATTGTGTAGGGTTTAGTTCCAACTAGAACTCTGGTAATTTTTAGATGATTAGATTGAATAAATTTGGATGAAATAAATTTTTATTTTCGTTTTTACCAATTTTGATTGTCTGATGGCGTTCGGGTGAGGGTGCTACTACTAAAAAATGGAAATAAAATTCTCTATTCTTCAGGATTGTGTAGTATTCAGTCCCTACTAGAACTCTGGTAATTTTCAGATGATTACATTAAATAAATTTGGATGAAATAAATTTTTATTTTCGTTTTTACCGAATTTTGATTGTCTGATGGCGTACGGGTGGACCTGCTACTACTAAAAAATTCAAATAAAATTCTCTATTCTTCAGGATTGTGTAGGGTTCAGTCCCTACTAGAACTCTGGTAATTTTCAGATGATTAGATTAAATAAATTTGGATAAAATAAATTTTTGTTTTCCTTTTTATCAAATTATGATTGTCTGATGGCGTTCGGGTGAGGGTGCTACTACTAAAAAATAAAAATAAAATTCTCTATTCTTCAGGATTGTGTAGGGTTCAGTCCCTACTAGAACTCTGGTAATTTTCAGATGATTAGATTAAATAAATTTGGATGAAATAAATTTTTATTTTCGTTTTTACCAAATTTTGATTGTCTGATGACGTTCGGGTGAGGGTGCTACTACTAAAATATATTATTATATATAATTTTAAAAGTTTAATAATTATAATAGTTTATTAAATATAATTAATAAATCTTCTTTTTAATAAATCAAAATAAAAATTAATGTTTTAAAGTATTAAGATAAAATTTCAAAAAATACAAAATGTCAATTTTTTTATGAAAATCTAAAATATTTATTATTTCTATAAATATTGATAAAATATATACTTTATATACATGAATCGATTCGTTTTTATGTCAGGAATGAGTAGTATAGCTAGGGGGGTTCTGGGGCAGGTTCTGATCTCGGCTAAGTACCTACGGTCGGTAATGTAGATTTCTACTTTATCATCAGTCGGTAAGGTAGGGACCTGACAGAAATCTTGACTCAACCGATAAGGTAGGAATCTGTTTTACCGACCGAGTGTAGTTCCTGCTGCCACTGCTAGATGGCGCCACTAGCGAATTCAAACTTGCTTGGCGGGAAATTTAAAAATTTAATTTCAAACTTTCGAGTGGCTTACAAGGGGTTCTCTGTTTTACCGACCGAGTTAATTTAAACTTAAACCGCTAGATGGCGCCACTAGCAAATTCAAATGTGCTTGGCGGGAAATTTAAATTTTTACATTCATAGCTTTAAGTGGGTTAAAAGGGGTGCTCTGTTTTACCGACCGAGTTAGTTCCGACTGCCACCGATAGATGGCGCCACTAGCGAATTTAAACCTGCTTGGCGGGAAATTTAAAATTTTATTTTTTAACTTTCAAGTGGGTTTAAAGGGGTGTTCTACCTTACCGACCGAGTGTAGTTCCTGCTGCCACCGCTGGATGGCGCTACTTGCGAATTCCAAACTTGCTTGGCGGGAAATTTAAAATTTTATTTTTAAACTTCCAAGTGGCTTACAAGGGGTTCTCTGTTTTACCGACCGATTTTTTTAGTTCTGGCTACCGCCGACAGATGGCACCACTAGCGAATTTAAACCTGCTTGGCGGGATATTTAAAAATTTATTTTCAAACTTCCAAGTGGCTTACAAAGGGTTCTCTGTTTTACCGACCGATTTTTTTAGTTCTGACTACCGCCGACAGATGGCGCCACTAGCGAATTCAAACCTGCCTGTCGGGAAATTTAAAAATTTATTTTCAAACTTCCAAGTGGCTTACAAGGGGTTCTCTGTTTTACCGACCGAGTTAATTTAAACTTAAACCGCTAGATGGCGCCACTAGCAAATTCAAATGTGCTTGGAGTATAACGTAAGTAATATAATATAATATAATTAATAAAATATAGTAAAATATAATATAATTAATAAAATAGAGTAAAATATAATATGTTTAATACAATATAGTAAAATATAATATAATTAATATAATATAAACCAAGGCCACTTCCATCACCAGAGCCCAGGGTGAAGATGACCAAGGCCAGGACGCATTCTCTTGAGCCTAGGGTGGAGACGACACTACCGCTATCCCGGGCGTATTATAGTTAATATTCATAATAATATTAATTAATAAAGTATGTATTTATTCTGCGCATGCGCGAATTGGTGGGGAAAATTTAAGAGTGGGATGCGTGATAGGTTGGAGTGGGGTAAATGGTCTAGTGCGCATGCGTGAAAGGTTGGAGTGGGGGTAAATGGTCTAGTGCGCATGCGTGAAAGGTAGGAGTGGGGATTTCGGGGTATATATTCAGGGATTTTGGTGAGTTTAGTCAGTAGCTGTTCTGTTCACAGGTTCAGCGGTTCCAACAGCAGCAGCAGCAGATTCCCATTGCCACTACTAACTGTCTTTTTTGTTATATTTACTGTCTTTTTTGTTACATTTATTGTTATATTTACCGTCTTTTTTGTTATTTATATTTACTGTGTTCTGTGTTTATTGCATTTACTTTGTATTGATTTTTAGGTTAAGTTCTTTAGTTTGTAAGTTCGTTTTGTTTAGTATAAGTATTTTAGTTTGTAAGTGTGTTCTTTTGTTAGTTTGTAAGTTCGTTCTTTTGTTAGCTTGTAAGTGTGTTCTGTTTAGTTTGTAAGTGTGTTAGCTTGTAAGTGTGTTTCTTTTGATTTCAGGTGCAGAGATGAAGCGGAAGGCGACGACCACCGATGGACCACCACGTAAGTATCCGAATTACGGTACTATTCTCGACGAGAGTGACATCACTGTCACCCTCATTAAAGAAGCCCTTGAGTTGATACCTTATTTAAGTAACGTAAATGAGAGACGCTCTTTTATCGAACGATGGGTTGTAGAATGCTCACAACATGAAAACGTGTTATCAAGCATTCTTAAATCGATGTACTTTACACATCAAAAGCAAAGATGTGTAAGCATTCTACAATCCATCATAAGGTTTCGCGCATTGTTTGAATCCCACGTAATAGATGGCGCTGGAATCGGTGACCCAGACATTAAGAAACGTGTTCGCTGGGCAGAGTGTGAGAGTGCTTTCGCGTGTAGACTGTACACTAATATGGTCTTGAACCTAGTACACGTCGATGTAAGCTCGTTTTTAAACGATGCGTCCATACTGTTTCAGGACCACATTAGAGGTGCCTTAAATAAAAATGGACCTATTGTAGTGTATGGTGTTCTCATCGCCAATTTTAAGAGGGTTGAGAATGATGTGGAGGTTGTTAAGCCTATTCCTTTTGGAACCAAGGCCAACAGCATCTTTCCCACAACCCTTTTAGACGATTGGTTTGATGAGAACATCAAACATCCGATTTTGCACAGCGTCGAAGAGTTCTATGCAAAGGGTTCAAATTGGAACCTTCAATCAATCATAAGATTAGAAATAAATGTAAATAAATATAATCCAATGCGTGCAAGCTCTTACATTGATTTACCGATAAAAATAAAAAATAAACATGCATGTATTAACGTGCAAAATAATGACAATGAATGTTTTAAGTGGGCGGTATTGTCAGCCTTACACCCAAATGTCTCCGATCCTAAACGTGTGTCTAGTTTTAAAGAATTTAAAGATGAATTGAACTTTGAGGGAATTGAATTCCCAGTGACGCTTAAAAATATCCCGAAATTTGAAAAGCTTAATGATGTTTCGATTAATGTGTACGGTCTATCAAAGAGCTATGGTAACTTTACGGTACACCCTCTCCATCTCACTGCGGAAAAAAGAGATAAGCATGTAAATCTCTTGTATGTTGCCGACATGTATGCGGATGAAAATAATGATGATAATACTGTATTGTATGACAACGATGATTTTATGAACTTCCATTATGTATGGATTAAAGATCTGTCACGCCTTGTGTCTACACAGTTGTCTAAAAAGAAATGTAAAAAACATATCTGTGACCGCTGTTTACACTACTTTTCATCTGTAGATAGATTGAATGCACACATCGAAAATTGTAAAAAATGAATGAGTGTAAAATTAAATTACCGACGCCTGACAAGAGTCTGATCACATTTAAAAATTATAAGAATAAAGAGAAAGTACCGTATGTAATTTACGCCGACTGCGAAAGTCTACTTCTTCCCGCCGATGAAGATGTAGACAATTTAAGTAAAACTGAAGTATTCCAGCGCCACAAATTGTTAAGCATCGGCTATTATATAAAATGTAGTTATGACGAAACATTATGTAAATATGTACCATGTCCGAAAAATGAATCTGATCCTGCTAAATGGTTTACTGAGGAATTAAGGCAATTATCTGAAAAAATTGATAATGTATTTAAAAATCCGATACCAATGAATGCCTTAACTCCTCAAGAAATCAGTGACTTTAAGCGAGCGACAATATGTCACATTTGTCATCAGAAAATACCGGCAAGCGAAAAGAAAGTCCGCGATCACTGTCACCTTACTGGCAAATATAGGGGTGCTGCCCATGAATCGTGCAATCTAAACTACCAAGACTGTCAAACAATTCCCGTGGTGTTCCACAACTTAAGTGGTTACGACGCCCATTTTATAATTCATGCGATTTCTACGAGCTTTGAAGGAAAAATTGACCTCCTCCCCATTAACAAAGAGAAGTACATCTCTTTTACTAAACATGTCAAGGGGAGTGAGGTCAAATTTCGATTCATTGACTCATTGCGATTCATGGCAGCATCCCTAGAAAAACTCGCATCGTACCTAGACGAGTACAAAATCGTCAACTCCGTTTTTGCCAGTACGGTGACAGATCCGGATAAAATAAAATTACTAACGCGTAAAGGTGTATTCCCCTATGAGTACTTTGACTCGAAAAGTAAGTTAGACGAAACCGAATTGCCCCCGATCGAGAAATTTTATAGTACGCTTTATGATGCCGGTATTTCTGATGACGAGTATGCGCATGCGCAAAATGTATGGACCGAGTTTGACTGTAAAAATCTATATGACTATGTCCATTTGTATATGAAAACTGATGTACTGTTACTTGCGGACGTCTTTGAAAATTTCCGAGTAGAATGTGTAAAAGCGTACGGGTTAGATCCTGCCCACTACTACACAACCCCCGGTTTAACTTGGGATGCTATGCTCAAGTACACGAGCATAGGATTGCAACTTATAACTGACATCGATATGATTATGTTTGTTGAGTCTGGTATTAGAGGTGGCATTAGCCAATGTTGCAACCGATATACTAAAGCAAATAATCCGTATATGGAGAAATTTGACAAAAATGAAGATACAAGCTATATTATGTACTTCGATGCCAATAATCTATATGGCTGGGCAATGGCTCAAGCGCTCCCTTATGGCGGCTTCAAATGGGTTGATAATGTCGACAACTCCTTCGATTTTAATGTGCCTGACGATTCACCTGTTGGGTACATACTCGAAGTTGACTTGGAGTATCCTGAAAATCTCCACGATACTCACAAAGATATGCCATTTTGCGCAGAAAATGCGAAACCACCCCTCTCGAAACAGGAGAAATTATTAACAACTCTCCAACCAAAAGAAAAATATGTGATCCACTACCGCACTTTAAAACAAGTTGTCGCCAACGGCATTAAGCTTGTTAAAATTCATCGAATCTTACAGTTTAAGCAATCAACATGGCTTAAACCATATATAGACTATAATACGATGATGCGAACCAACGCCAAGAATGAGTTCGAGAAAAATTTGTTCAAGCTCATGAACAATGCGGTATACGGTAAAACAATGGAAAATGTCCGTAAACATGTCGACATTAAGCTTGTCACCCAATGGTTTGGCCGCTATGGAGCTGAAGCCCTTATTTCTCGCCCGAATTTCCATAGTCGAGCGATATTCGACGAAAATCTGGTTGCCATTGAACTGCGTAAAACCGAGGTACTACTCAACAAACCGATCTATGTGGGGTTAAGTGTGCTCGATGTTTCCAAAACGCTTATTTACGATTTTCACTACGGGTATATGTTAAAAAAATACGGCGACAATTGTAAACTGATGTATACCGATACAGACAGTCTAATCTACGAAATTAAATGTAAAGATGTCTACAATGACATGAAAAATGACATCCAAAAGTTCGATACGTCAGACTATCCCGCAAACAACGTGTACGGCATTCCGCAAGCCAACAAAAAGATTCTCGGTCTAATGAAAGACGAATGTAACGGCAAGATCGTTACCGAATTTGTTGGCTTGCGGAGTAAGATGTACAGCGTACGGGTTGAAGGTAAAGACATTATTAAAAAAGCTAAAGGCATTAAATCCGGCGTTGTTAAAAAGAGTATTCACTTTGATGATTATGTAAAATGTCTGAGAGATTTTGACATTCAAACTCGAACGCAATATAACATTAGATTGCGGTTACATAATGTCGAAACTGTAAAACAGATAAAAGTAGCCTTAAGTCCGCAAGACGACAAACGATATTTGTTACCGGGGAGTACTGACACTCTACCGTGGGGACATTATGCGATCTTGAAAATCGACGAATGATTTTGTAAAACATGATTGTAAAAAAATAAAAGGTTTGTTAATAAATAATGCAATTATATACAATTTCCATGTGTTTTTATTTAAAAAATCCTTCCATATATACATAATAACATATGATTAAAACTTATATTAATTTAAATGTGCAAATCGCCCCTAGTAACTTAACGCAAATGCCAATCAGCCAGCAAAGCAATCAAAGATTAATGTTAGCGTAGAATCTCTTTATAAATCAAAACTACTTCCAACAACAGACCTTTACAATGCCAGTGCCAACTGATTTAATATTGATTCATTACTGATTCATTGTTGATTCATTATTGATTCATAGTTGATTCATTATTGATTCATTGTTGATTCATTGTTGATTCATTATTGATTCATTGTTGATTCATTATTGATTCATTGTTGATTCATTATTGATTCATTAATGATTCATAGTTGATTCATTATTGATTCATTGTTGATTCATTATTGATTCATTGTTGATTCATTATTGATTCATTATTGATTCATTATTGATTCATTGTTGATTCATTATTGATTCATTAATGATTCATAGTTGATTCATTATTGATTCATTGTTGATTCATTATTGATTCATTGTTGATTCATTATTGATTCATTAATGATTCATAGTTGATTCATTATTGATTCATTGTTGATTCATTATTGATTCATTGTTGATTCATTATTGATTCATTATTGATTCATTATTGATTCATTATTGATTCATTGTTGATTCATTATTGATTCATTGTTGATTCATTGTTGATTCATTATTGATTCATTATTGATTCATTATTGATTCATTGTTGATTCATTGTTGATTCATTATTGATTCATTATTGATTCATTAATGATTCATTGTTGATTCATTATTGATTCATTATTGATTCATTGTTGATTCATTGTTGATTCATTATTGATTCATTATTGATTCATTAATGATTCATTGTTGATTCATTATTGATTCATTGTTGATTCATTATTGATTCATTGTTGATTCATTATTGATTCATTATTGATTCATAGTTGATTCATTGTTAATTCATTATTGATTCATTGTTGATTCATTATTGATTCATTATTGATTCATTGTTGATTCATTATTGATTCATTATTGATTTAATGTTAATTAAATTTGGCACTGGCAGTGTAAAGGTCTGTTGTTGGAAGTAGTTTTGATTTATAGAGAGGTTCTACGCTAACATTAATCTTTGATTGATTTGCTGGTTGATTGACATTTGCGTTAAGTTACTAGGGACGATTTGCGAATAATAGATTATACATTTGCTTTATCTTCCCACGTATTGTGAGAATTATCAAAGCCAAGCCATTTGACAAGAACTTTGTTTCCACGTGTCTTGAGAATTTTTTCCACAAGATAAATATCTGAATATTTTACTTTAAGAAGTTCCTCTTCATAAAATCCTCCGCTGATGGGTTGATCTTGGTAATCCTTGAGCTTGTAAGTCACTAGTTGAGTTGATACAACTTGATCCACGGTGAATATTTCTGTTGTCCAATTGGGTGTATATCCTTTCTCAAAAACGTTTTTATATTTGCTTACTCGAACTTTGTCACCAATTTTATACTTTGGTCGTCTTAAAGGAATTTTTCTCAGTTTAGAGATCCTTTCTTTTAAAATTTCAACGTCTTCTGAAGTAACATCTTTAGGCTTCATTCCAATTGTTCTATGTTTTGTATCATTATAGTTGGAAATAAGAGTAGGCAATATATCATACCACTTGTAATTTCCTCGTAAACTAAATTGCATCCACATTTTTCTTTTTAGTGTTCGATTAAACCGTTCAACAATAGAAGCCTTCATATTACTGTATGTTGAGTAAAAATTTATTTTATACTTTTTCATTAATGCTTCAAATTGTGAGTTATAGAATTCTTTTCCTTTGTCACTATGCAAGTTTTTTGGTATACGTTTTTTAGCAAATATAGATTGCATTGCATGAGAAACATCTTTTCCATTTTTACTTTTTACTGGAACAGCCCAACCATATTTCGAAAATATGTCTATAACTGTTAGTAAATACTTGAAACCTTTATTTATTCTTGAATAAGGTATCATTTCTACTAAATCTGCTTGCCAGGTCTCATCAATATCACGCATTTCAACTCGCCGTCGAGGATAATTTTTTCTAGCCTGAGTATGAAGTTCATTCACTACTGTTAATTTTTTGTTGTTCATTCTCAAGAGCACTTAAGCGAGTATCCAGTTCACTAATAATTTCAGCTGTTCGATAAGATAAGTCTTGATTTATATCTTTTTCAAAATTTTTTATCTTTTCTGTAATAGAGTCTTCAAGAACTTTTAGAAATAAGTTGTTATTGTCCACCTCTGATCTAAGTGAGGCACTAGCTTCATACAATAAACGCACTTCGTGTTTTATCATATGTCGTACAAGTTTTAAATTGACAGCGTCGTTTTCTTCTTCAGCGTTAGCAAGATTACAGAGTTTTCTTCCTTCAACGTCAAAGTTATCTTGAGAATTAAGTTTAAAACCAACTCCAGGAGGCCCTCGTCTTGCTGATCCTCTTTGATTGAGAGGATGTCCGAACACGTTAATGCTCATTGTTGAAATGAATGATATTTGCTAAAACATATCTTAATATATAATTTTAGCTTCACGTAGTTCCTCAATGATAGACATGATTTCATTATTGTGACTAGGATTTCCAGCAGCTTCAGAAGCCATTAATAGTCTAAGACGGTCAACCAACTCATTCGGATCATCCCAATAGATATATTCTCGTTGAAAATTTCTGTTTGTAATCATAAATTTAGGTAATGAACTACCGCTTACAGATGGCTGTTTGGTAGGTGTTCGAGGGAAGAATTGAGATATAAAATTCAAATACTTGTAACTCTTATCTGTACGTATAGATTCAGAGGAACTGTACTTCTTTTTGTGTGCATTAGTAGCAATCAGAATCTCTTTATAGTTTCTTTCATCAGCTTCACTTATAAACGATCTGGTAGGTTTACTTTTGAATAAAAGTTCAAGTAATCCAGGTGTTTGAAGATATCGTTTATCACCAATTTTAACAAACTGATCTTCAAGAGTTATTGGTGAATCACCAATCATAAGTGATCCATCACTTAGCTTACGTATGCCGTATGTTGAATCTAAACATTGCTTTCTATTATGATTTAATAAGTATAGAAATTTATTACTTATTTTATCATCATCTGGAGATTTTTCAGTTTCACTTTCATAGTTTATGCTATCATCCTCTTTCTGCTCTTTCTTTTCAACCTTAACATTTTCAATCTTGACATTTTCATGTTCACTGTCTGTCAAGTTGATAATTTTTTGTAAGGGTTGAATTATCGGTTTGAAAGTTTCATTCAACACATTTTCAGCTTCTTCTTTTCCTAATTTTAACATACGATGTTTTCGCCTAATTGCCTCACTAGCTTTAGCAATTTGATGAAGATATTCTTTTTCTTTATGAAACATGTTATTATTACAAGGTTTCATATTGAACTAACAATATTTTAGAAATGATCTTATATTTATAGTGTTACAAAGCTATCAAATCCTTTTCTATATCTTCCATCATTTAAATCAGAATCCTTATCAATTACTACAAATCCATATTTGTCTGAATTCCAACATGTTGAACATAATTCTCGAAATTGATTAAATGTCATGTCAGTATTAACATGATCATCATAAACATGTCTTAAATTTTTCTCATCTTGACGAAAAAGAACTAGTAAATTAACATTATCACGTACTAAATGTTTAGGAACGCGGGCATATGTTTGACAAAGATAAAAAGAATCAACATCAACATGTCTACCCATGCAAAAGAAAAGAATGTTTAGAAAAAGAAAAAAAAAGAATGTTTAGGAACGCGGGCATATGTTTGACAAAGATAAAAAGAATCAACATCAACATGTCTACCCATGCAAAAGAATGCCCTTACATTATCTTGCTTCTCGCAAGCAATATCATCAAATATAAATATTGAATTCCGTTTTGCATCTTTAGGAGTAATGACTTCTTCATGCTCACTAAATGGTAAATACTCTACTCCTTCAACATTACTTACAACTTGTTCCAAGAATTTATACTTGGGTTGATGTAGAGACTTTGAGTACAAGTAAATATTATCAAATCTAAGACCATTAGGATGTAAAATTAAAGAAAGCAGTACATTTGTCTTTCCACAATTTGATAATCCACAAAAAATAGCTCGAATACTACCTGATAACAAGCTACCATGACGCTTCAATTTCTTGTCTTGTTGTTCAACAATCGAGTCTAGATTGACGACTGGCAGCTTGTGAAGTTGTTCCTTGAACCGCATCCTGATTTAGACTGCCGCTAAAGGTATAAATACAGCGCTTATATAGCTCACAAGTCATTCTAATTTTAACTTTCACAGAGTAAGGTATGATTATATATCATCACTCTCGAGGAAAAGGTTTAATTAATAAACTTATAAACAAGTTGCCATTTGAATTACATTTGCCAGGTTATCAATATTGTGGACCTGGTACAAAGTTAGCAAAACGTCTAGACCGAGGTGATCCAGGTGTTAATCCATTAGACGCCGCTTGTAAAGAGCACGATATTGCTTACTCGAAAAATCGAGAAAACGTTGAAAAAAGAAACGCTGCTGATAGAGTATTAGCTGACAAAGCGTGGCAACGTGTATTTGCACCAGACGCACGATATAGTGAAAGAGCTGCAGCTTACGCAATAACAAACGCTATGAAAGCAAAATCAAAATTTGGAATGGGAGTAAAGAAGAAGAAGATAAAATCAAAGAAGCGAGTAAATCTTAGGAAAATTGTGGATGCTGCAAGAAAATCAATAATTCCTGGTAATGATGCTCGATCAACAATAAAGTCAGCTATTGAAACAGCTCGAAAAGCTGTAAGGAATGCAGGTGGTAGAGAAAAAGTTTTAACACCTCGTATTCTACCTGTGCCATCAAAAGTTGGTGGTCTGTTACCATTAATTCCAATTTTTGCTGGGCTAAGTGCACTTGGAGCACTTACTGGGGGAGCTGCTGGTGTAGCAAAAGCTGTTAATGATGCAAGTGCAGCAAAAGAGCAGTTAAAGGAAGCTCAGCGTCACAATAGAGAGTTGGAAGCAGTTGCACTTGGTAAAGGTCTACATTTAAAACCATACCGACAAGGGTTGGGACTTCATTTAAAACCATACGTTAAAGGACAAGGTATTAAGAGACAATGTACGAAAAAAAAAGTTTAAAGCTACCTCAACGAGCACTTACTGATCTAGATTTACTTAAATATGCTTAAGAAATGAAAATTCCTCATTTTCGAGGAGTTTTTATGCGAAATGAACTACCTATAAGAGGTCCTCGAAAAAATGAATCCGCCATTATTAATTTAGATGATAAAGATGGTTCTGGAACTCATTGGGTTGCATATAAAAAAGTTAATAATAAAGCAGTATACTTTGATAGTTTTGGAAATCTTCAACCACCCTATGAACTTGTCAATTACTTAGGTTACAATACTTTAATACAGTATAATCATCAAAATTATCAAGATTGTAATAGCTTTAATTGTGGTCATTTATGTCTAAAATTCTTATGTGGACAGCTTGAAATAACTCAAAAATATATTCTATATAAGTGATTGTAAGTCATTGCAGCTAATCAGTATATAAAAAGTCATCAACATGGAAGAATCTTTTACTCTGACTATCTCAGGCAATTCATCTGTCCTGGAGGCAGAATATTTTCCTCCGATAGAATTATTATCTAATAAAAATTATGTACTTGGCTTAGTTGAATTACTAACCTTCAATTCAATTCCTAATATTGATCAAGGTAAAAATAAATTTTATATTGGTGATAAAGTGATTACTATACCCCCTGGAAGCTATGAAATTGAAGATATTGAAAAATATATTCAAAACTCTATTGAAAATGGATCTGAAATTGTAAGAATCAAACCTAACAATAATACTTTACGTAGTGAAATAACAAGCAGCCTTGAAGTGAGTTTTGAACAAAACGATTCAATTGGTAAATTATTAGGATTTACTCCACGAATATTGACAGCTAATATACCTCATACGTCAGATGTACCAGTAGCCATTCTTAAGGTAAATGCTATCAGAATTAAATGTAACATTACTACTGGTGCATACATAAATAATAAAAAGGTACACAAAATTCAAGAATTTTTTCCAATTTTACCAGCTGGATATAAGATTGTGGAAGTTCCATCTCACGTCATTTACCTTCCAATCGCCGTGAAGACAATACATAATATTCAAATAAGAATCGTTGATCAAGACGGAGACTTAATAAATTTTAGAGGTGAAACTATAACAATTCGATTACACGTTAAATCAACGTAATGGGAATTGTATTTCATAGAAAAACTGGTGGAAGCTATATAAATGAGTTACCATGTCAGAAGTCATTCATTCCTCAATCAGTTCGCAAGAGACTAACATCTCAGAACATACTATTTCTGAAGCAGCTCGGCCTAAGAGTTTATCAAGAAAACAAGGGAAAAAATTAATTTTTCACATACTTTTTATTTGTTGTTGTAACAAAAATGGAAGAGATTTTAAACATTCTAAGTCCAGTAAAATTTGATAATTCTGTGGCACACTATGAGATTCATGCACATCAACCATACGTGTCATCAGCATTTAATAACAGTGACGAGATTCGAATTGCAGTTCAACATCAAGACTTGTACATTCTTCCCTCTAAAAGTACTCTACACGTCACTGGAAGAATTGTTAAGCCTAACAATACGCTTGTAACTAATACAAAGTTAATTAGCAATGGTATTTCCTACCTGTTTAATGAGATTCGTTATGAATTAAATGGTGTTGAAATTGATCGCTCCAAAAATGTTGGTATTACAACCACAATGAAAAATATAATTTCTCAAACACCTAATCAAATGATTTACTCTGAAAATGCTGGTTATCTACCTTATGATGATGATGATAGCAGAGTAACAAATGATGCTGGATATTTTGATGTAAATATTCCACTAAGTATGATTATTGGTTTTGCTGAAGACTATCGAAAGATTGTTGTAAATGCAAAACATAAACTTATTTTAACAAGATCTCGTACTGATCTAAATGCTGTAGTAAACATTGAAGCAGCAGAGCGTGAAGAATTTAAAATTATTATAATTAAAGTTGAATGGTTGATTCCATATTTAATGGTAAATGATCGACAAAAAATTGAATTATTGAAATTCATTGAAAAAGACTCACTTATAACAATGAGTTTTAGATCATGGGATTTGTATGAATATCCTATGATTCCTGCCACTCAAAAGCACGTGTGGACTGTAAAAACTTCAACGCAAGTTGAAAAACCTCGATATGTTATTCTTGGTTTTCAAACAAATCGAAAAGAAGATCAAGGAAGGTATGCAAATTTATTTGATACCTGTAATCTTCTCAATGTTAAACTTTTCTTAAACTCACAGTACTATCCTTATGGAAATTTAAATTTAAATTTTACTGAAAACAAATTTTCCATACTATATGAAATGTATTGTAATTTTCAACCATCCTACTATGGAAAAGAATCTGAACCTTTATTAACTAGAAATAACTTTAAAGATTATGCACCATTGGCTGTTATTGATTGCTCAAAACAAAACGAATTTCTAAAACAAGCATCTGTAGATGTGCGATTGGAATTTGAAGCAAATGAAAATTTTCCAGCCAATACAGCTGCATATTGCCTTATAATTCACGACCGCATTATACAGTATACACCAATCAGCGGCGTTGTTAAAAAAGTAACGTGATTGGTGGAAATATTGACCAATCATAGACGACATCGGTAGTGGGGGTATTTGGAGTGGTGGGGGAAAGGCTATAAAGAGAGCGTCTCTCTAAGGCTTGAGCCATTATTCTATTTCAGATACCATGGCGTACGTCGTAGATATTCAGTGCTTCAAGAGACTATACAATGAGTTTGTCATCAAAGAGTTGGCGATTCTACCACTTCAACAAGATGCTCATCCATTGGTCTACCTCTTCGAGCCGCCATATGCCTGGAGTCGATTGCCTGCAAGATACAAATGTGAGAATCGATGGCTTACAAATAATTATCATGGTATCGATTGGGCTGCTGGTGACGTATGTTATGAAGAATTACAACCTATAATAAAAGAAGTACTAATAGGTACACCTACCGTTTATGTAAAAGGTTTAGAAAAACAAAAATGGTTAGAAAAATATACATTGAATGTGTTTAATTTAGATGATTTTAAATGTCCGTCGCTAAAAAGTTTAAGTGTAGATAGTTCATCTACATGTACAAATCACACACGTAGCTTTAGCAACTGTGCTGTGAAAAATGTATGTAATCTACGAAATTGGTTGATACAACCATCGAATATACTACGAAATAATATAGAAAATAATGATGAAGTTGACAATGATTGTACATTGAAAGATTTTTATAATGATTGTGAAAATTTCCTATATAATGAATAAATGTATTAAATGTCTATTAATGTTTACTTTAATTAACCTTTCCCTATCCTATTATCTTTATTACACATGTGTAAAACTATTAAACACGTTAAAACTAGTCTAGACTTGTCTTATGACGTCACAAAGTGGGCGTGACTCAATAATAAAAAGTGGGGGTATTTTGCAAACATAAAAAGCTATTGCGCATGCGTAAAAATAGTGGTATGGGTACTGCGCATGCGTAAAAGTAATGGTGGGGATAATGTGTGATATTTGGGTATAAATAGAGGCACCTTGAGCTGTAAAGCTCATTCTGTTTTGTAACTTCACAAACTATTATCTCTAAGAAAAGATGGATCTAACCAAAATCAACGCCATTGGTCGCATGGATGCTTTCCTACCTACGAAGCCGCTTTCCGAGCTGACTCCTGGACATAAGTATCCTATAACGAAGATCCAGGTTGTCAACACCAGGTATGGAGTCAAGGTCGTCGTTGAGGTGGATAAAAAGTTCAATACATTCCTGCCTTCAAGATTTGTACCAATGTTCACTGATGACTCTATATGCTTGGATCAGATGCAAGAAGCTATTAGTTCTGGACAATTACGGCTGAAGTATATTGGTGGTCCATACAACCATATTGAATTTAAAATAAAACAAGTGTAAATATTGTATATTGAATGTAAAACAAGTGTAAATATTGTATATTGAATATAATAAATGTATGAAATGTTATTAATACTGTATTTAATTAAATACCTTCATTAGTATTACGTTAGATAATAAGGTTTACATTTTAAGGTTATGTTTAATAAAATAGATTTTAAGGTTATGTTTAATACAATATATTTTAAGGTTATGTTTAATATAATAGATTTTAAGGTTATGTTTAATATAATAGATTTCAACAACTTTTACAAGCGCCATCTATTAAAATTTTAATAATCTTATTAGTGTAAACAATATGGCGCCATCTTTGCCCGCGAAATACAAACGATTCAGTTGTGGCGCCATCTCTCGGCACCGCACTCTGTCGGTAAAACAAAATGGCGGCTCACTGTTTAAGCAGTTTGAATTTATTAAATAAAATTTTTAAATTTCCCGACAGGCAGGTTTGAATTCGCTAGTGGCGCCATCTGTCGGCGGTAGTCAGAACTAAAAAAATCGGTCGGTAAAACAGAGAACCCTTTGTAAGCCACTTGGAAGTTTGAAAATAAATTTTTAAATATCCCGCCAAGCAGGTTTAAATTCGCTAGTGGCGCCATCTGTCGGCGGTAGCCAGAACTAAAAAAATCGGTCGGTAAAACAGAGAACCCCTTGTAAGCCACTTGGAAGTTTAAAAATAAAATTTTAAATTTCCCGCCAAGCAAGTTTGGAATTCGCAAGTAGCGCCATCCAGCGGTGGCAGCAGGAACTACACTCGGTCGGTAAGGTAGAACACCCCTTTAAACCCACTTGAAAGTTAAAAAATAAAATTTTAAATTTCCCGCCAAGCAGGTTTAAATTCGCTAGTGGCGCCATCTATCGGTGGCAGCCGGAACTAACTCGGTCGGTAAAACAGAGCACCCCTTTTAACCCACTTAAAGCTATGAAAATAAAAATTTAAATTTCCCGCCAAGCACATTTGAATTTGCTGGTGGCGCCATCTAGCGGTTTAAGTTTAAATTAACTCGGTCGGTAAAACAGAGAACCCCTTGTAAGCCACTCGAAAGTTTGAAATTAAATTTTTAAATTTCCCGCCAAGCAAGTTTGAATTCGCTAGTGGCGCCATCTAGCAGTGGCAGCAGGAACTACACTCGGTCGGTAAAACAGATTCCTACCTTATCGGTTGAGTCAAGATTTCTGTCAGGTCCCTACCTTACCGACTGATGATAAAGTAGAAATCTACATTACCGACCGTAGGTACTTAGCCGAGATCAGAACCTGCCCCAGAACCCCCCTAGCTATACTACTGGAATGCAATTTTTACAAGAATTAATGAAAATTTTAATATAGAAAAAAGTTATTTTAAAAAATCCAAAAATTAATTTTTTCAAAAATTAAAAAATTGTTGAAAAAATTTTTTTTAGATATTTTTGAAAATCCTTCTGTCTGATTTTTAGTATTCATGACCTTAATACACCTACAAAATTTTATTAAAATCCGTCAAGACGTGTAAGAGAAAATTTGTCCACAAGAATCGGTGACACACACACACACACACACACACACATACACACACACACACACATACATACACACATACATCCGGACATTTGTTCCTCTCGACGAATTATATATACTACACTTGAAAATTTGTAAAAATAATTGATTCTAAAAAATTCGGAAATCGACATCACTATAAGGCTTCCTTTATGAGGAAGCAATATGAGGAAGCAAAAAATCAATAATAATTAAAAACAACTTTTTTTAAATAAAATATAAAATTAATACCGAAGATAATTCAGTAAATATGCCCTCTTTTATTTGCCCAAAACATTTTTCAAAAATTCCTTTTCCGTTATGAGTAATTTTGCATAATCGAAATATCGAATTTTTTCTTTTCACTGAATAACATGAGCATTGTTGCTGCAGTTGTTGTTGCTGCTCAATTTGCTGCATCTGCTGCAGTATTTGTTGCTGCAATTGAGGCTGCACATGTTGTTGTTGTTGTTGTTGTTGATCAGTCGAATTTGGGCCAGCATTTTAAAATAAAAATTACAATTATATACACTACTTGTCAGAAACATAAAAAGAATTGATTTGTTGTACTTACTCCCTTTGCATTTCTACTTCTTGCACTTCTGACCATTTCTGAAATGAAATAATAATAATTAAGAATAAAATTTATTAAAATTAAAGATAATCAAGTATTTCTTTATTTTTTAAAAATTTCATTTATTACTATTAAAATAAATTATTAAAAAATATGTATATCGAAATATAATGAAAATAATTTATTTTTAAACAATTGTTATAAAAAATTAATTAAAATCATCATCACCAACTGCATTTGCGTCTACATTTGCCATGTCTGAATAACTAATCTTTTGTATTTTTTTATCGCTCCTGTGGAAATTCTATTCTATTGTTGCAAAATAACATCGCTGGTTTTAATTACTCGATTACCTAAAAATAAAATAACATTAATACTTTTGATTTAAAGAATTCATTTAAAATTTTATAAAAAATAATTAAAATTAAAAACATTGAAATTTAAACCTTTTTGAAATTTAGCAACTTATAAGAATAAATATTATAAAATATAAAGAAATTTCTTTCTGAATTCTAATAATTAAAGATACCAAGTGATAAAATAATTATTTTATATTATAAGAATATTGTTAAAATTGTAATTTCTTAAAAAATTATTTTCATCATTTCAATTACTATTTACTACAATTATTAACTAAAATTCTTCTTTAAATGAAGCACTTTTAATAATTAGAAAAAAGTCATTGAGATTTTTCAAATCCATTTGTTTACAATTTTACAATTCTATTTCACTAACTTCCAATTATTCTATTATTCATTCTATAAATTATGAATTAAATTAATATATTATAAAATAAAATGTTCAAAAAATTTCAAAAAATATTAAATTAAAACTAAAAAAAAAATTTAAATACAAAATTGTTAGTTAAAAATATGAAAATTTTATATTTTCAAAAATTGTAATTTAAAATCTTCTTAAAATTCAATTATTTCTAAAATTTTATGGTATTATGCTTTAAATATTTAATTATTATAATAACTTTTAACGAAAATTTAAATCAATTATTAGAAAATTCTACAAAAACTCAGAATGTTGTCAACAAATTTTGAAGTAATTGAATTCTTTCAACGTATTTAAAAACAATTTTTAAGAATAATTACATTTTTTAACAAATTCGATTAAGATTATATTAAAACAGACTTCGCACTCGATAATTAATTTTAAAAAAGTAGCATAAGTATCTTTTAAACTAAAAATGTAGCTATCGAAAAATTAAACAATACGACCAAAAAAACTCGTTTTTGAAACTTTACAAAAACTGGCAAAATATCCATACTATATTTTATTTTCCTCACTTTTTCCTAATTTTCATCAAAAATATTTACTTCCTTCTTATCCTGCTAATAAATTGAATTCTAATTTTAATAATTGAATTCCTGAGAAATGTTTATTGATTTCTTTCGAATATCAAATATATATTGCTTCGTGAAGAAAGGTTAATTAATATATATTTTTAATATAATAAAACTTAAAATAGCTTAAAGACTATGAAAATGATGATTTTGTCTTCTTCACCTAAATCTTGTAGTGATAATAAGATTGCGCAAAAGTTTGCAATATCTAGAAAACATACGAGAAACAGAAAGCAATTAGTTCAAAAATCTTGGATTTTAATGTCGTTAAATTTTCGAAAGAACGTTAGTTATCAGTTGAAACTGAAAGTTTAGTAAAATTATTCTATCTAAGACAAGATTATGGTCGAGGAAGGATGCCTGATAAAAAAAACTTTGTATCCACAGAAGAAGATAATGGTAGCTGTCAATTACAAAACTGAATCGGGAATCACCAAGTTTATTCTCTTTCAGAGAAATATTTCTTTAATTAAATAACTATTAAAAGTTTTCCTATTGTTAAATTACTTTTGATTAAATTACAAATATTGCGAACTGTCAGAAAAATAATACCGAGATCGTGGATGAGTCCCGGATTTCCTACTCCCGGATTAATGCTGATATTTGACTGCGAATGAGGCCAGCAAGGGAAGTGTTTCCTGGCACATATGATTGGATGTGAATCCCGGTCATACAAGGGTGCCAGGAAAACGAAAACTCATGAACAACTGCCTTCGAATGAACACATGTAATTCTTGCCCTGGAATTTATGCTATTCGGGAAAACCTTAGAAAAGTTTTTAATAAAAATGAAATTTATAATATTTCATTTGAAACCTGGGTAAATAAAGAGAATTTATCAATTGTTACTTGAACACTTGAAGCAGATGATTTCATTCAACGTTTATGTGACGAACTTGATGATTTAAGACCACACGCTTATTTTGTTGCTTAACAAGCGCTCTGTCACAAGAATAGAAAAGAATCAATTAATCAAGATGAAATAATTGTTGAATGTGATTTTGCTGAAAATTAAAGTTTAGTGGTGCAAGATGCTGTTCAGGCATTTCATTGGAATAATGATCAGGTCACTCTTCTGACTTCAGTATTTTACTATAAAAAGGGCAAAATCATAAGCATAGAAGCATTATCATAAATTCTTATGATCTTAAACACGACACAGTCATTTTTTAAAGATTTCGTCGAATTTTGACTAATCATCTCAAGGATAAAGGTTTTCAAATTCATAAAATTATTTATGTGACTGATGGAGCTCCTCAACAATTCAAAAATAGATTTGACATTGTAAATCTAAATAATTACAAACAAGATTTTGAAATAGATACTGAATTTTATTTTCATTGCACTGCGCACATTAATGGTTTGTGTGATGGACTTGAAGGAAACCTAAAACGTTTGGCAACTCGAGTAAGTCTCCAGATGTCCATTGAAAAAGCGATCACGCCTCCCAGACGTTTATACGAAAGGACAAAACACTCCTTATCAGAGACAAATTTATTTCTTTCTGCACCAAATAATAAATAGAAGCTCAAAGAAATGCTTTAAAACCACGATTTAATGCTGCTTCAACAATTCATGGAACAAAGATGATTTATTCATTTGCCTTGGTTTTTTCATCATTTTTCTGGAATTCAAAGTATTTCGTGTCATGTATCACTTGTTTTAATATTACTGTGAGCAGTGTTGCAAAAATATTAAAAAAAGATTAATCTTTAATGGAATATATTAATCTTATATATAAAACATAATTGCAATAGCGTAAATTTAGAAAATGGTGCTAATTTGACAAAAAAATAATTTCCTCATTAGAAATCTATAATTAAAATTCCAAAATTTAAAATAGCGTATCCAATATGGCTAATCTGTTACAGTAAGAAAAATTGAAATAAATACATATTGTTAAAATTTAAAGTTTGTAAAATTATAAACTATTTTATCTTTAAATTTGTAACTTTAATTAATTTTATAATTATAATTTGGACGCGTTACTAAGAAAGACATTTTGGTAGTCATTTCTAAGATATAACTCAGCAAGTAGAGAATCTTAGCGCAGAATATCAGTTATTTTGAATATAAAAATAATCGAATTTTTAGAAAAATGCAATTATTCTTAAGAATTTTATGAAAATTCGTCAAAAGAATTTAATTATTTAAAAATTTCTTGTAAAAATTCTTCATGAGAATTCAGTTTTAAGAAACAATTTAATTATTCATTAAATTATTATTTATTTTTGTATTTAAATAATTGAATTCTCTTTGAATTTCTAAATAAAAATTAATTTTTTTTATTGTATATACTCCTGCCCTATTGGCCTTACGCACTTCGACAAGAGTCCCCGAGAAATACTTTTTTGGATTAAGCATAACCATTCTACATATGAAAATTCTATATATTAACCTAATTTTTGCGTCTACAGCCGACTTTTATTAGGAGTACTCGCATTACGCCTGGACCACCCGTCAATGGGTTTTCTCACCAGAGAAGAGGGAAACTGTAGAAAACCTCTCTGAGTACAACCGGTTTATCGACAGTCGAGTTCTAATGGTGTGTACCGGACAATAATCGACGGTGCACATCATTATACCTCGACGTCAAACCTCCCGCTCAGATTATCTCACGGGCCGAAAAAATACCAAGCCAAATAGGCGCGAACCAAGGGTACTTATACCCTTGGCCTTAAACGACCGCCAAGCGAGGCATCTATCCGACTGAGCTAATCTGTCGGTTGATAAAAATTAATTTAAATATAAATTTTAGTTTCATTTTAGTTATCACTCGGTCATCTGTAATTATTTTAAAACATGAAGTTCAAGCCTTAAGTAAAATAATATTTAGAGGATTTTAGTTTATATTAATTAAAAATACTTGAAATAATTATTATTTCAAACAATAATCAGATTTCACAAAAAGTTTACTATCTGAAAATAATTATCCTAATAATAATTCGATACTTAAGAAAATCAATAAAAATAATATACAATTAAAAGTTAAGGACAGGCATGCGGAAAAAGAAACTTACGATTATTATATAATATATATCAGGATATATTTAATTTTGTTGGGAAATATTTTTAAAAAGAAGAAATCATTTTTCGTTTATCTCTAACAATTTTTTTGCTTCCTCATACAGGAAGGATTGTGTTAACAAAATTTTTGATTGTGATTGTTTGACATATTTACAAACCTTTTTTCATTATATCTAATATTTTAGTACTTTATGCACGAATGGGCATTGTCCGTATAAATGTTATTAATAAATATAAAAAAATTTTTATGTAATTTTATCTCAGAAGTACAAAAAACGGATTTTAAAAAATTGTCCAGATGTGTGTGTGTGTGTACTAACACAGTTATTTAGATTTAAAAAAATAAATCTTACCATCGTCAGACGAACATTTTGCAGCGCGCCCTGCTGCAGCACCTGCGGCTCTGCCGGCTATTTCTGCATTGCGAATTACTTTTTCATCATCATCATCGTCACCTAATTCCTCATCTGACGCGTTGTCTACGTTATGTACTGTAGGGTAGAATGATAATTATTGTTAGAAACACTACAAGTAGAAACAAGTTTTACTTTTAGTGTCTCGCAAGGACTTACCATCATACATTTCTGCAGGAGATAATAACGATTCATCAAAGTCGGACAACTGATGGTCAACATCGGTGTCGCTATCATCGGTGTCGCTATCATCGAAATGTTCATCTTGGTTGAAATTGAAACGTATATTCCATGTAATTATTGCATTTAAATTTGCAATTGGATTTAACACGGGCCACTCATTCTCATCCAATCTTGACTTTTCAATGTAGTTGTATTTTCTAAAAATTAAATTATTAAATTTAATTGTAGCTTGGGTAAACTACAATTAAATTTAATAAACAATTTTCTAAATTATTTAAAATACATACATGTAATGTAGAAAATACAATATTGCTATTCTGCTTTCCTCAATGTCCGTAATATTCATTTCATTTACAAATTTTAAAATCGATCTCCTTTGTTGTTTTTTACGGTTTATTTTCGTACGAATTAGATTCGCTAATTCCTCTGGAACATCATTCAGTGATTCGTAACCGAAGTAAAATTTAGCAATCTTCTTCGCAGTTATTAGCCTCAGATTAAATAGGCTCTTTACATTTACTGAGGCATGGAATTGCAGGAATCTGAAACAAATAATAAATTTCCAATGGTAATGATTTTACAAATTATTTTAGGGTTGAAATAATTTGTAAAAATTGTGCTAATAATTAAAATTATAAAGCAAAATTAAATACTTATACATACATTTTTACTGCGTAATGACCGCGTGATATAATTCGGTTGTTCTAAATACCTTTCAACACCTTCGAAATAACGTAAATATTTCCCAATCGAGAAATGAGTTGCATTATTATATTTCGCAGACAATCTAATACCCATTTTACATAAACGTTTACAATCGATAAGACTTTTTAAATCGTGGTCTAAATTTCTTCAGAACAGTCTCTGTGGAGTGTCTCTCAATTTCTAATAATAAAATTGAATAAATAAGAGAATTTCACCAAAGTTCATACAGGAGGCACTGCGACAGGCAGAAAAGCCTATTGTGGGTATCTCTCTCTTATTTATTTATTTCCATTGATATTAACAATTACTTAGGCAATAGGCTCTTCCGCCAGTCGCAGTGCCTATTTCGGGTTCTATCGATATATATTACCGACTGCTGATACTTTAAATTTATATTATAAATTTATACATCTCATTTTCCTTGTTATTAACAGATGACTCTGTCTCAGGAATCTTTCTCACAAGTGCAGATTATAAGCTTTCGATTAATATATAAGGACGAATGACAAATTATATCAAACAAGTGGTCCGATGCTATTGTAGAAAATTTTGCGGAAGGAATCTTATCCCAAATGACTGAGGCTAAGGAGTTCTATGAGTTTAAGAAGGGTTTTCACTTATATAATAATAACAGAAGCGAGAACCTGTCAACTTATTCCCATCTTATTGTGCTTAAAAATTCTTACGTCCAAAGTTGGAGGATTTCAGTTACAAGTGATTCTGTTACATTCAGACTATAAACCTACGTGTTGTAGCGATATTTACTTTTACTTACGGGTTTTACCCGTCTATCGTTACAAAAATGGTAACTACCGGTTTTCCGTTTACCGAATTATAAATTCCACACTTCGAATTTATAATGCACCATCGATGACCCGTTTTATGGAACTTCCCCCGCGCCAGGTAGGTAAACTACCCAGGTCACGATAGCAGAAACAAAACAGGAACTTTCCCGGGCTATCTCAAATCCGAGATCACTATTTTATCTTTACGAAGTTGATTTTATACTTTAAAAAATTCAGGCGTGAGTACCTCACACAGAAGAGAGAGACAGACACAATGAATTAACACTTAAATAAATTAAACTTGACTCGAGAAATTCAATTAAACAATTCAATCAATCACTTTTATTTTTGACACGATAAATCAATTTCTTAGAGAATGAGAACTTCCACACGCCGGTGATACTCGTTGATCAACCGAAAATGGCGGCGTTCTATCGGCTTGCCATGCGGTCACTCGTCTCAACGTTATTTTTCGGTTACACCGTCCACCGGTGGTATTCCCAAGACAACGAGGAAGATGGAAACTGGACACTAACCTTTGATTCGGTCCACCAAGGCTTGGTACTCCATTTTTAATATTTTGACTGGGCTTTCGGTTGAACCGCAGTGTCACCGTTAAAGTCTATCGGCAGCCAGGCACGAACTGTCAAAAATAGGTTACTCGGCATCCTGCATCGGTCCCGTATGTAGGTCATGCGCAATATGGGTTCGCCCCTGCAGCATGACAATAGTCCCAACATCTATGACAGGTGATTGCTGGTTGACAGTAGATTCATGCCGATTTACATAAATTGTTGACGCCTTTTCGGTTGGTTGATAATTAAACAACAATAAATAAATTAATGCTTTACAATCAACCAGAACGTGTGGAATTCTCTTGTAAATAAACAATCTGATTCTTTTACAACTCAACATTTGTATATTATATCGATTCTATACTGGCCTTTCTGCCAGTCGCAGTGCCTCTTGTATAAATTTCACCCAAGTTCATACAGGAGGCACCGCGACTGGCAGAAAAGCCTATTACGGGTGCCTCTCTATTATTTATTTATTTCCATGGTTATTAACAATTTTTGATGCCTCTCATGGGGTTTATTGAAAAAAAGGTTGACTGAATATATTATCAAAGAATATAAAGAAAGTGGTGGAAATTTGTCATTTTTATTTTCTTGAAAAAGCAAATTAATTTTCTGATAAATCAGTGTCACAGTCTTTTTTACAGTTTTTTGTTTCTTCATTTTTTTAACCTTATCGTCTTTCATAATAAAATTTTTGTTGGTTCTCACAATTAAAATATCCTCTAACATGCTTGGATTTAAATTACCTATCAGGATTGAGAAGATGAATCTCATCCCTGAAAACAATCTTTCTATGCTGACCTGCGTCATTGGAGCAGCGTGGACAATTGTCGCCAATTGATACAATTCTGGGGACATTGTTTTTCGACTTTCTCAGAATTCTAATATGTTAAAATCGCCATTCGATGCAGGAGTTTTTTCGAAATCATTTAACATTTCATCCCATTAACCGCTAATTAAAGAGTTTCAATTCCGCATCGCACTAGAGTCAGAAAAATCGAGAGAGTTGGTAGAACTTCGCCAACTTCTGCATTTCTATGTTCCTCTTCTAGAAATGAATCATCATTCACTGGCGTTTCCTCTTGTGGAGAATCCTCGAAAGTTTTATCCTCTCCATTATCTTCAACAAGATCTATATTAACGATTTCGGTTTCTTCAGGATCTTCCATTTCGTCGTCCATTTCTTCATTTCCTTCCGTTTCTTCGAAATTCTACTCTTCAGTTTGCAGCATTTCTGTCATTTTTATGACTTTAGAGCCATTAACAGTCGTGCACGTGTATATTCTGTCTATTGTAATGTGATATTCGTTAAGAATATCTAAAACAATATCCCTCAAGTTGCTGCCCGTATCAGCTATCGTTAGCTCTCTAACCGCTAACGTCCTCAACTTGAGAGATCCATCCTTTATAAATTGGATATTCAATCCAAGAAAGGATTTATTGTGCCGAGTCACAATGTCGACTTTATTACTAAGAAGATAAATCTACAAAGATAATAATAATAAAGACTTTAAAAAAATTTAGCTTTTCAAATGTTCTCAAATGCGTAACTGTTGTAACAGTAATAATTAATATTACACAAAAAACTGAAACAAAATTAAATTTTTTAAGTACAAAATTTTTTGAGTCGAATTGACCCAGTGTACGATCGGTGTGGCACATTGTAAGAAAGTAACGGAAGATTAAGAAAAGCAATTTAAATATATAAAACGTTTAATTTTTTTGTTACTATTCTAGTTTCTTGTCGGGAATTGTGTACAAATATTTTTCTTTATTTTTATAATATTTAAAATGTTTATAGGCTTCAAATGTTTTCAGACGACCACATTTTTTAGCACTCATGATTATAATGCACTGTTTATAATAAAGTGTTATACATTAACGCGTCAACTGAAATTATATTACGTCGTCTCGTTCTTCTAGATCATTACGTAGTCATACTCTGCCTATATGATCCAATCACAGTTTTTTAAAGCTTTTTTGAATTTGTAACATTTCCCGTGTGAATGTTCTTCTTCATATCAAAACAATAGTGATAAAAATTTTCTTGAAATGAATTGGTATAAGCGCTCCGGAATTATTAACACCCCAATACTGTCGGTCATTATAGTCCCCGAGAATTTCATTTTACTTGAATTTTTAAAAAATTTTGAAATGCAGAAAAATTCAATCATCCACTTTAACGAATATGACAATTACTCATTATATTTTGTATAACAGTACAATTAACAAATAAATTATAAATAACAATTAATTTTTTTTGAATTGTTTTCCATTTATATACTCTGTTGAATATTATTTACTTATTAACGAAATCCCTTTTTCAAAAATTAACAATTAAAAATAAAAAGGAAACAAAACAATACTTAATTATTCAAAACAATTTTCAATAAAATTCATCAAGGGCATGTCCAAGTTGTGAAATGTAAACAAACAAAAAGATAAACAAACCAAACAAAGAATGCATTGACAGCACCATGTGGAAGTGCAAATTTTATTTTGAATGATACTTAGTTGTTTTCTCATGCTTTCAGTTATGCAAGGTGTAGTTACCAAATTAGATACTTTAGTTCAACATTTTCATAAGGAAAATGTGAATTTATATTTATTTGTTATTTTACTAATTGCATTTTATTGCTCATAGTCAAAAATGATTTTATTGGAAACTTTGTCACTTTAATTTTCTGCATTCCCAAATATCTCGAGTGTGAAAGCTTCAATTGTATTCGTCTGCTTCATTGTTTGATTTATTCAAAGAATATTTAATCTCGTGTTGAGATTGTATGGGTAATTCGAAATTAACGTTTTCGGATTGTGATGAATTTAAGTTTGTTAATTATCGTACTGCAGTTGCATCTATATGTGTAATCTATTTAAATTTTCTTTTTAATTTGTTTTATTATTTAAAATTTTAACTAATGATAATAATGATAATATATTTTATTATTAATAATATTTCATTTATTTTATTATATATATAATTTATATTTAGAATATAATAATAATTTCATTAATGTAAATTTCTATTAAAAATATTTCATATGAATTTTAGTTTTTACAATAAATAATGACAATAGCAAATAAATAATAATATTATTTATTTGCTATTATAATAATAATTATTATTATATATATATATTATATTATATATGGGTAAGAATTTCTAAAGTGGGCTCCTATTCGAATATTTGCCAAAGTCATTCAAGGTCTAGCAATTATAATTAACAAATTATAAAAAAAAATTAAATTTTAATATCTACCTAATTAAAAGTGGTTGCACTAAATATTACGTCAAAGATATTAATTTATTGTTAAATATGTCAGTTAGTATATTTTTGTCCCGAGAAAGCAGAAATAAAATTAGTAAAGAGTCAGGTAAAATGTAAGGGAATTATTTTCTCAATCCTTTTTAGATACCCTGAAAAGAAATGTTTTTATATTTTTTTAGAAAAAAATATATGTATATATATATATATATATATATATATATATATATATATATATATAAGGGATTCTATTTCAAAAGTTCCCCTTTTATAAACAATTGCCATTGTAAGGCAATTTTTAAATAATTATTTCTCCTATTTATTAAAGTCAAACATATTCTACAGGCATGGTGGCAGTAAAATCAACAAGTATCTGGATTCCAACTGGGGAGGTTCCATTATCGACTGGAAATCATACACAGGCTGCGTGTTTCTTCTGAGCTAAGGTGCTATTGTGTGGGATTCCAGAAAGCAGCTGATTCATTGATAAATCAAAATAAGGGATTAAAAATTGTATGATTTTCCTTTTTTTTATTTTCTCTTTACATTTGTTTTATCTCGCATTTAGTTTAACACGAGCAAGGAAGGAAGGTAATTAATTTGTAGGCTTCCTCCTGTTGTGTCATAAAATTTAACATTTATTAAAACATTGAGATGTAACGGGATTAAATACATAAGGTGGAGGAGTGATTAGTTTTTAAGACGAAGGTTGTACAGTGACTGGTTAATACATTTCAAAAAATTACACAGCCACACAAAAAAGTGTCTTGATCTGGGGTCGAGACATATGTATTCCGATGTATTTCGATGCGCTGAATCCGAATCCGCCATCAGAATTTGGCCATTAGGTCTTGGTTTCGCCCTAACCTCAAAAAATACCCTAAAATCGTTAAAATGGTCACTTTGAAATTATCAAAATTGAATCTAACCGCATATTGATAATTTTCTAAGATCCCTTAATTTAAATAAACTATTCTATAAGCTTTTTAATTGAAAATTCATATAAAACATTAAATCTATCGAATTTAACCTCAGAAACACATCTAAGATTCCAAACAAACAAATTATACCATACACAGCGCAATAAAAAGTAGGTAAGCTCATGAAAGTTACAACTTAGGTGTTTCTATGATTGCTGATTACGAATCCGGTGTTAGTTTATCAAAATTCAAAATAGCGGATGCAATATGGCGGACAATATAATTAAAATTTGTTCGGGGTCGCTGATGACGAATCCTATATCGGTTTCTAAAAATTCGAAATGGTTGATTCAATATGACGGTCTTTATAATTTTAACAATTTTTTAAAATTTATTACTCGCGGTTTTTCTGGACCTTTGATAACGAATTCTATATCAATTTTTATAATTTTAAAGTTTTACGAATTGTTAGAAAAAATTGTTAGAAAACAATTCGTAAGACTTTAAGATTATAAAAATTGATATAGAATTTGTTATCAAAAGTCCCGAAAAACCGCGAGTAATAAATTTTAAAAAATCGTTAAAATAATAAAGACCGCCATATTGGATCCGCCATTTTGAATTTTTAGAAACCGATAAATTTATTGTTTTATATGAATTTTCAAATTGAAAAGCTTATAGAATAGTTTATTTAAATTAAGGGATCTTAGAAAATTATCAACATGCGGTTAGATTAAATTTTGATAATTCAAAAGTGACCATTTTATCGAATTTAGGGTATTTTTGAGGTAAGGTTGAAACCAGGACCCATTGGCCAAATTCTGATGGCGGATTCGGATTCAGCGCATCGAAATACATGTCTCGACCCCAGATCAAGACGTGGCTAAAGTCAATATTTTATGATGAGTAGTAATCCTAGGTAAACAGTGGTAAATATTTAAGTTTATCTTAATGATTATTGTTAAAATTTATATTTTAAGAAGCAACAACATTTTTTGTATTAAATTTAGAAATATCTAAATTAACAGTAAATAAAAGTATTAATTCTAAATTTCTTTCAGTAAGTTGTTTTTATATATTAAAACGACAAAGTGCAATGATGAGAAGACAGTCATTGATGACAGTAAAACAATGGGCAATGCCATAGAATTGGTTCCTTTTTTGGGAACTTGCTTTATATTGATAATATTTAAATTATTCGTACTATAATATTTCTAAGTGTAACAATTTTACTTTATTTAAAGAAATTGTAAATTTTTAGTTTTATAAAATATAAATTATTTTCTCTTGAAACATTTGCTATTTCTTTTTTAATATCAAATTTATATTCCTACACATTCGTATATTAAAAAAATATGAAGAAAATTGTATATAATTGCATTTTAATATTCTTCCATATAATATTTCTTTCCATCCATATAAATATCATTTAGCTCTTTTACAATGTCAATTATTTGTTTTTCTTTTGTCTTTTCTTTGATGGGTTTAACCGTGATGTAAATTACTTTCTGATTCCCAATGATTACTTCAACTTTTTCAATTCGTTCATAGTGTTCACGAGTAGATAAGAAATGTGATTTGACTTCACTTCTGGAAAATTGATAAACGTCTGCTACTCTACAACGATTATTTATTTTTATTTGAAAAACAAATAATATTTCTTCACCACTAGTATCATTTAAGACGTTTGATAGTAGAAGATTTAGATTTCTACTGCATGGTACTGCTGATCCTAAAGTCACAAATCGTCCTGTATATTGGTATACGTTACGTGGAGTATCAGTCACATAAAAAGCCTGATAGAGTACAATTGGCTCTTCATTCAATTCCTCATCACATTGTCTAAGTGCCAGTCTCAATACTGCAACTTTAAAAAACTTTGACAAACGTTCAACGCGTTTTTTGTTTAATAAATAGCCAATTCTATAAAAATCTTCAAAGCGAAATTTTTTTTGTAATGAATTTAAATCTGTGCGATACATATTATAATAGTAACTTAAAGTGGATTTACTCAATATTTTAAGTATTTTCATCAATTCCTGGTAACAATGATTAAAGTCAGGTTGAAAATAAAACTTTGATTCATATAGAACATCATTTATGTATTTGCTATTATCAATTTTCCAAGGTAAATAAAAGTCCTCATTTAGCATGTGCTGCAAATAATTTTGAGCCAGTTGATCATATGTCAGTAAATTGTGAATGTCAGTATCGGTAGACAATATGTAACTCTTCAACCTATTCACAGCTTCAGGATATGTTGCCATTGAACCATTTAACGATATGAATTTTGCAGCTCTTTTGATAGCATTCATCCTAGTGGAATTTCTTTCATTAGTTTTAATAATATTAAACCACGAAATAGTCGATAAATCATTTCTTTCCAGGACAATAATTACAGACAATCTATTTTCAATTTCCTCGTACCTCACATCCGTAACTGTAAAATTAATATTTGGAAAGAGTATGTATAGATTGTGGATGTTGTACTGATTCAGATCAACAAAACCGTTAAGTGATTCACTTGTTATGTAATAAAATATGTTTATTCCATTCATCTGTGAATGTGTCTGGGGATTCCGTAAATTTGGAGGTACTTGCCCTGATGGATTACTCGTTACCAGCATGAAATCCCTAGTGATAAATGTTGATCCTTTTAAATTAATTAAATAGTTAGCAATACTTACATTAGTTGTAAATTCTTGAAGCCAGAGTTCAAGTGGCAAGTTTAAACCATCACGTAATTGCTCAAGGGCTATAATGTTTACTATATTAGAGAATAAATCTCTCTCTTGATTCAAAATTGTTAAACCCTGAACTTTTAGTTTTAATAAAAAATTAAAACGAAATTTTCTTAATGGATCCTCTTCTTCAGGTGAGTCTTCATCAATTACTAGAGCACCACTATCACTGTCTTCTGATGATGATTCTTGTCTTCTAAACCGTTTTACTATTTTCAAATCATTTCTTTGCACATTTAAATTTTCATTTCCTTTCCACATTTTAGTAAAAACAGGTAAAACATACTCAACAAAGATTCTTTTAATTGCAAGAGAATTAAGATTTTCGGATTCTTTTCTTAACGAGCAAATATTCTTAGCGGTGAGATTGTTTGAGAAATCGTGAAACAAAATTTCTTGTAGATCAGAAAAGCTTTTGTTTTTGTTATCCTGGTAAATATTACTTACATAACCCGTAATATTTCCATAATGGGCAAATAGACCAATATTAATAATGTACTGATATAATTTGTTAACATTCTCAAAATTTTTCACCTCTTCGTAGCCAGAAACATTAATTATATTTCGAATTTCTTTAAAAAGATGGATTTTTGCAGCTGACTCATTATCCGACTTGATTAGATATTCAAAAAAGGCATTCAGGACGGGTACGGTATCATTTTCGGCTGGAGTTGAAAGCAGGTTATTGTTATTCAAAATAATCCCTAAAGTCGTAATGTAGTGACACACAGAAAAAAACTGATTATTTGTTAAAAGGGTAATAGATGTTGTAGACTGCATCTTTAATTACTTTTTCCCATTTAGAATGTCTGCTTTTATTTATTGTTGTATTTAGCTAAAAATTGGCGCCGTTATTAACACTCTGGTAAGTATTGTTTGTTTCCAGGTAACCTGAAAATAAGTGTCATGTTTCCTTTTGTGGTTATTCAATTTTTAAGGATTAATTACAGTAAGATTTGTTTGGATAAATTTTTCACTAATTAATAAATTTGTTTAAAGACGACATGTTAAATATTACACTGGATGTTAAATTTTTGACACGGTTTGGAATTGAACGTTCTTTTAACGAAAATTTTTGTTTTCACACGTAGTTTTTAATAAAAATATAAATTTTTTTTTAAATTTCATTTGTAACAATGTATGTATCTATTAATTTTTTCAAAATTTTTTGTAAGAAACTAGTACTAAATTAAAAATTTTTAAGCCTTGTCTGATTGTGGGCAAACGATGGGATATATTTATTTCGAAAATTTTAATTTTTATATACGCAGTGGTAGCCAAATGCCTAACTTGCCATTTGACCAAATTACACAATTTTCTTACAGCAAAATTGTTTTCAGAATGAGTTCTTGAAAACTTAACCTTCTTACTGTGTAAAATTGGGATTTGGTAGCATTGGCTACCTACCGTTTTCACTGCGTATGTAAAAATTAAAAATTTTGAAATAAATACAGTACCGGCCAAAATTGTCAGTCCACTCATTTTTGAAGGAATGAAAAAAATTTTTTAACATAAAATTTATGAAAACTCAAATTTTTTTTGGTTTATATTTTGAAAGACGATAAAATTTTGAAAAGAATAAGACCTCACAGAAGTCATTTGGCAAATATTTTTTCAAGATATTCTTAAAAAATCGTCATTTTCAATGTTTTACAAAAATTTGAATAACTTCTAAAATAATTAACGCTTTTTAACAATCTTAGGCTTATTTTAAAGGTCATTTTCTACAGAATAAGAATTACTTATAGGCATTAACCTGTAATTTTTTTCTTGGAATAAGCATGACGTCAAAGTTGGACAAAAAATTGGAAAAATTTGAAATAAATTTTTTGTACTAAAAACTATTCTAGAACATATATAAAACATGATATGGTGTAGATTCTTCAAGAAAATTTAATAAAAAAATATGTTTGAATTTCAAAAATTATTTTTCTTTTAATAATATTGATTCAAATTTTTTGAATTTTTTTGTCCAACTTTGACGGCATGCTTATTCCAAGTAAAAAATTACAGGTTAATGCCTATAAGTAATTCTTATTCCGTAGAAAATGACCTTTAAAATAAGCCTAAGATTATTAAAAAGAGTTCATTATTTTAGAAGTTATTCAAATTTTTGTGAAACATTGAAAATGACGATTTTTAAGAATATCTTCTACAAATTTTGGCCAAATGACTTCTGTAAGGTCTTATTCTCTTCAAAATTTGATCGTCTTTTAAAATATAAACCAAAAAAAAATTTAGTTTTCATGAATTTTATGTTAACAAATTTTTTTCATTCCTTTAAAAATGGGTGGACTGACAATTTCGGACGGTACTGTAGATCCCACTGTTTGCCCATAATCAGACAAGGCTTAAATATTGTTAATTTAGTACCAGTTTCTTACACAAAATTTTGAAAAAAATTGATCAATACATACATTGTTAAAAATAATTTTTTTGTTAAATGCTAATAGCATTTTTTAGATAGTCCACTTACCACCAGGACCTTTACCGGATCTAGGTACATTACCTCAGATGCGAATAAAAAAGGGAACATTAAGTTTTTCAAAATTTCGAGTTTCTAAAACTTTTATTTATGTTCTATGCAGGCTGTCATTCCTACTTGCACACCAGCATGAAAGCCACGTCATGCCTATCATAATCTTTACAGTTCGTGACTAATGTGTAATAAAAAGACTTGCCACGAACTAATAAGATAATGATGGGAATGCCACGTTTACAAAAACGTATGCCAACCAAAAGGACTGTAACAAGCTGTTACCTGTATTTTACGCAATATTATTACTTTTTGTACCTTTGGTTGTAAAAACATTGTCAACATCACATGTTAGTAACAAAATAAAGTATGTTTAAAATAAATATTTTCAAATTTATATATATAGGGGAATAATGAATATCTTTTCTTTATGTCAAGGTTAATCAGGAAATAGGATGTTTACTTTTACAGGGTGGTCACCGTGTTTGAATTTTTTATGCTTTTTATTTTTATAAAATTTTTCGATAATTCAGAACAAACTAATTATCCTTCAATACTACATTTAAATATATATATATTTTTTAAATCAAATTTTAATTTAAAAGGACTAATTTTGTTAAAAGATTGAAAATGCCTTGAATTTATTTCCAAAATTTAGTAACCACCTTATTTAACTAACGTCATAAAATGTAACATTATTTACCTTCAGATTCTTAGTTCAGTTTCTTCGAGAACAGAATATAGTTCATACGACTGTAAAATATGCGTCTCTGCATAAAGCTTTTATAGTAGCAAGTAATATATTTATTATCTAGAAATCGTGACTGTACGCTTTTAACATTTCGATTTTTTAAAAATATCTAAAGAAATTATTAGCCAAGGGACTTCTGAAATATCTTGTTCTTTTCAAAATTTTATTATCTTTCAAAAAATTTACAGAAAAAAATTTTAGTTTTAATAAATTTAATGTTTTAAAACGTTTTTCATTCGCCTGAAAATGGGTGGTCTCACAATTTTGACCGGTAGTGTACGCATAGGACAGAAAAGTTAGGGCACTTCTAAAGCTTTATTTTGGTTACACTAAAGATGTAATGAATGTATGTAAATGTAGTAACAAACAGAAAGAAACAGAAAATTTGTTGTATGCTGAATGGAAAATTTTTTGTTGTCCATATTGTCCTGTTACTCCGAGTGATTGCAGTAAACAGCACAGTAGTGTTTGCTACCAACTATTTTTGGTAGTATCGCGGATTTGCTACTTGTGTTCGTGGAAACGAAAGTATTTACATAATAAACACAATTATTTATAAATAATACAAGTTTTTTGCTATAAATTACTTAACAGAAATTTATTTATACAGACTAAATGATACAAATTTATTGATAAAAATAAATTAATTTAGATTTAATAAATTAGTTGTGGATGATTTTCGAGTTCTTTGTTGACAAAAATATTTACCATTCATGTTCTTTTTTTTCGAGAGATTTATTGAATAATAAACCTACTGTTAAAACATCGAATCCTTTACAATTAGTCTACCTATCATAAATCTTTTTCTCCAAAATGATAAATGCTTTCTCTAATTTCTTTTATCAAGTTGCTAATGTAATTACTGTTAAATATTTACATTCTTTTTTGTTTAATCAGTTGTACAATAATTTTTTTTGCATAAGTTATTTTAAATTATATTAGATATCTTTACATGTGCAGTACAGTTATTAACATTTTATTATGTATTTGTAGATTATGTCTTGATCAATAAATTTATCAGATAGATTCTCACATGTTAACATAAATGTTAAAATGACGCTGGTCAGAGAACAGTCAGCCAAGAATATTTCCTTCAATTTTATTGAGGATGATCGACAACTTTGACCCAGTGGATTAATCGTCCATATGGATTAAATCCGTCTTAGAATTAATTCACCAATTCGGATGAATAAGTCGGCGTTCTCTCCTGAATCCCAAAACCGTCAACATCTCTCGTATTTTAAATTCACCCACCAATTATAAAAGCCACACCTTTTTATAAGCAATCCAAAATTAATTATAATTAAAAATTATTTTTACCTGTGAGTCATCGGCGATAAGCACAAGGGTGGCATGAATTATCCATGCAAGGATTGTAAGCGATAAGGACGAAAAACTCAGACGAGAACGCTTTTATTAGTCCCCGTCATTAGAATTTCCCCCCGACCCCCCAATTGTCTTAAAACTGATTGTTCTCCGTTTTTACATTATTACTTTCTTCCTTTTCTCGAAATATCGGGACAATTATCGAACCTATACGAAGCTTCACGATCGATCACGATCGAGAGGTTCAGGGAAGTGTGCGGATTCTAATGGATTTTTGGTCCACATCTTTGTGAAGTGTTGACATAATAAACACAATTATTTTTAAATGATACAAGTTTATTGGTACAAATTACTTAACAGGAATTTATTTTTACAGACCAATTGACACAGATTTTAAAAAAAATTAATTAATTTAGATTTGTACAAATTATTTGCCGATGATTCTTGAGTTCTTCGATTACAAAAATATTAACCATTCATGTTCTTTTTTCAACGGATTTGTTAAACAATAAACCTAAAGTTAAAATATCGAACCTTTTACAATTAGTTTACCTATCATAAATTCTTTTCTCCAAATTATAAATGCTTTCTATAATTTCTATGGTCAAATCGCTAATGTAATTATTGTGAAATATTTACATTCTTTTTTGGTTAGACAGTTGTACAGTGATTTTTTTAGCATGAGTTAGATATCTTTTCAGGTATAATACAGTTATTGACCTTTTATGTATTCGTCATCATTACGAGATGGGTTAATACCCTCCTTTTAGGTGTCGTGGAGTCCCGATATGTCGACATTTAAGGGATCGAGGATTTACTTCATACTAACCAGACGTCGTTAAATTGACTAAAAGAAAATATAGAATCTATGAACCCAGAAAATCAGTTTGTAGCCTTAGGAGCATGAGATACTTTTGGAGTTTGGCATATGCTATCGTCTTGAATTTTTGATTTGTTGCAGTCAATTTGATCAACAAATTCGTCATATAGATCCTCACATGTTGACATAAAAGTTATTCCGTTTTGATAATACAGAATTAATTTTATTCACTAAGTTAACCATTCGTTTCTCTGTTGGTACCTTATCATCTTCAAGTTTTACGATAAAAACATCCCTTCCTTGAATTGTCTCCTTACTTCTACTAACTATTTTCAATTTCAATTCCTCTGGAACATAGTAATGAACATTTGGATCAAAAATAATAGCCGTAAGATCTGCTAGTCCAGCCTTGTTTGACAATGTGACTTCATACATAACAAACGTATCTGTTGGTAATTTATGCGGAAACGACTTCAATGTAGATTCTCGACTCCAATGAAATTGCTGCATTTCTCGAAAATGATAGTCACCACCAGTTCTCATTCTTATAAGTTCTTCAAATTTATTTCTAGAAAGATTATGAGCAAAATACATAGTAATTGGATCTTGGTTTAATCTCTTGTCACATTGTCTTAGAGCAAGTCTTCGTACTGATGCCGCAACTCTCGCTGCTGCATTTATATTTGAAACTAAATTAAATGACAGAAATGAATAGATCGTGTAATAATCCTCAAAACGAACAAGATCCCTAATTTTAGAATATTTATGATAAGTATTAAATACGGGTTCTACTGGTTGGCCATAAATTCCATTAAATACATGATTTATGGTATTTTTCGCAGTTGTTAAATCATTGACATGATGTAGTTCATTTTGAAACAAAACATCATTGGTATATTTATTATACATTACCTTCCACTCATTGAATTGTACAGGGATTATATTGTCTGAGTAAATATTTTTAGCCAATGTGTCATATGTCGGAACACTATTTACAGTATCGTCGATTTTTAATATAAACTTTCTTAATGTTTCTTCTGTTTTTGTAAATCTATTCAAGGGTTTATTAGCAGATACATAGAATGCAGCATTCTCGATAAGATCTCCTCTTTTCGTTTGTAATAATTCTTTACCATCAAGTAGCTTATTACTCCCCTGTGTTATTTTTATCCAATCCTCCTTGGTCATTTTTCTTTGCTGTAAATGTAAAACTAAAATTTCCTTTCCATTAAAATATTCTGTATTAGTTACGAAATACTCGACCTCTGGAAATATAATGTATTGATTCTGAAAATTTTTATCAATTGCGGATAGATCGACAATTCCATACTGTGAATTAATTTTTATATGATAACGAACTTCTGTTTTTAGGGCATATTTTATTTTCTTCTTAGGAATTATATCGTCGAGATCAACAGCAGAGAGAAGGGTAATGTCATTAAAATAAAAGTCCTCTCCTTTTAGATTCTTCAAGAATTCTACAATTGATGGTCTTGTTAATGTTTCTGTAAACCAAAGATCTTCTGGTGGTTTCAATACTTTTTGCGATGTTTGATAAGAATCTAGGGAACTAACAATTTTTCGAAGAGTTAGTAAGTTATTTTCGTCTTTTAGGCCTTTTAATCCCTTTTCTTTGAATGTGTTCAATAAATTTTTTGTTTTGGCCATGTCTTGTTGATGAATGTAATTGGTGCTGAAAAGTCGATTGTTTGCTTCTCTGGATGTTCCGGGTATATCATCACTTTGTATACTTTGTCTAGAAGTCCCAGGAATATCAGGATCAATAGGAATTGGAATACATTGTTCTGCATTTATCTCGACATTTTCATTCAAATTAGTTCTTCCGGTTCTGTAAACAAAAATTGAGAATTGATTATAAATATTGTACCAAGAATGAGTTATACTTTAAATATTACCTTTTTAATCTTTTCCTCTTGCAGTATCGCACTCCATTCTTCCATATAATGCTATCCTCAGTTTTATAAAAATTACCCAACACTCCATTTTCATTCAATTCTGGTAGATCAACATAATTTTCGTTCTTGCGGAGAATACCATCTTCAGCAATTAAGAGTTCATTATCGTAAATTTCTCCACTTTTAGGATTGAGTTCTCGGTATGATAATTTCCCATTTGATTCTATAGGGACAACGGGAGATTGAAATAAATGCCCTTCAATGGTTCTCAATTCGGCAGTTATTCCAAACGCTGAGATACACTTTGGACCGAAATAATTCAAACCATTAGGATAGAGATATCTGATGATTTTATAATTATCTTCCTTATAAATAACACTTGGTATCAGTCCTGTATTATCAGTCACCAACTTTACATTCCTGTTTACATTCCTTTGTATAATTTTTAATGTAGATTCAATCGATAATAGGAGGTTTTTCACTTTTGTATGACTTCGAAAATATAACTGCAGATTTTTCATCATTTTTCCTAGAATTTTTTTAGAGAATTTTAAGAATTGGAATGATAGTTCAAAACCAGGATCAAATGTTCGTAGGGACGCGATCGTAATATCCTTAACAAGACGCTTTGTTAACACTTCCCTTACTAAAGTTCTTGTAACTGTTTTATAAATTTGATCCAAACTGGCGCTTATCGCTAATTTATTAAATGTCGACTGTGACAGTCTCTGTAAAGTTTGTTGTCCAATGTCGTTTATTAAACTCCTCCATATTATAGACGAATACTTTGCTGTAAATCCAGCTATTGGAAGAAGACTAAGGATATCAAGAGAACAACTTATGACTGCTCCTCCTTGATATCCGGATTTTATATTTTTAATACAGGTATAAAATGGCACTAATGATTTCATAAAATCAATTACTTTTTCTGCTCTGGTTGGATCACGGTAATGTTTCTTTAGACCTTCTACAAACTGTTTGGTCTTAATATTCGCTATCCTTCGAATAAAATCTTTGTAATCTTCACCACGATTTTTAAGCATTCGGGAAAATATTGGAACTTCCATTCTTAATGATGAATCATTAACAATTGCTTTTGCGAATTCAGGTTCATTTCCATTACTCCTAAGTAAAGTCAAAGTATTATTCACCTGTTTAAAGGCATAAAATTTCTTTTTCTCGTCTTTAATTATTGCAAATATTAGATAAATGTCACTGTTCTTTTTTCTAGGCGTTGGTGAGCAGACAAAACAACGCATGGGATAATTAGGAACTTGTGCAAATTTCACAGTCGCATTTAAATTAATTTTTCTATCAATCCACTATTAACTAGAACCTGCTGCAAAGTGTTTTGTTCAATTTCATAAAATGTCCTTTCCACCCATTCAAACTGCTTGTCAAATCTTTCATCCAAATCGGGAAGATATTCTATACACTGCCTCGGTCTGAAAAGATTTGTAAAAAATCGAGAAGTTTTGTAAAGTGATATAAACCATAAAGGAACATCCTCAATTCTAGGGTAACCACAAACTACTTTTATTAAAACACTAGCCATAAATGTACGATTTTGTATTTGTTTCATTTCCATTTGCAATTGGTAATGAAGGCTATTGTGATATTCTCGTCTTAAACTTTGTATTAGAGAAAGTTTGAGGAATCTGAAAAGTTTTAAATAAACCTCTTGCCAAAATGCGTCACTTCTTGTTAGTGAGGTTATATATGGCACTTGAAATTTCTCCTTATCGTTATAAGCGTAATAAAGTATAGCAGGTGTTGTAAATAGTTCCAAACCATACTGATATGATTCATTACCAAGAATTTCTATTTCAATTCCTCGATATAGGAGAACATAACTATCGAATGTTAAATTTTCAGTGTCACTTAGAACCGAACGGGCGAATTTTAAACCAAGCATTGCATATATATAAATAATGTCCATTATTTCCATGTTATTTTGTTCTGGTTCCGGAAACACTGACCAAATATTTTCTTGACAAACTTTTTCAATTGTCAAATTGGTAAGAGCAAAACTTTCATATCTTGAGGAACAATAATCACGACTGATGTATTTTTGCGAAAATTGTTGAAATACGTTTTCCTTGAGTGCCGAATAAGTTATGTTGTCCGTTCGACTAATTATTTCAGCCAAATAGCCGTCGATGTTTCCATACTGAGAAAAGAGAGCATTACTAATAATGTACTGATACGTCTCGTTGACGTATTTCATGTCAAGTGTTTCATCTTCATCTCCACCATAGTAATCACTTCCACTTAATACTCTCTGAAGGAGTTCAAGTTTCGTTGTGGACTCATTTTCCGAATTGTAAATGTATTCAAACAAAGTATTCAAAACAGAAACGGAGTGATTTTGATAATCCAGGGGAATTAAATTTTCATTGTAGAAAAAAATACCAAAACTTGTAATGTACTGACAAACAGAAAGAAATTGAAAGTTTGTTCGATTTTGAATGATAAATGTTGTATTATCCATTTTCTAGGACTAACCAATACCTAAAATTATTTAACTTGAATTAATGGAGAAAAATATTCTATAATGAAAATAGTTAAATAACACCGGCACACAAAAAAAATTTCGAGTGCGAAGAGTGCCATATGGTGGATTCTCTTTCTTAGGGTGTATCTAAAGAGAAAACAGTAATCGGACCAAAAGTTTGGTGCTGGTATTTCTTTACACGTCTCGTAAGATGGTGACGTCTGAGAAATTTATTTGCATAAGAATTAATTTACTTTTTATATCCTAAACAGACTTTTCGCATATTTTTACTATTGATTTTAATTCCGTGACTCTAATTACATGAAAATTAAATACATAAAAAAAATTAAAAATGGCGGATACAAAATGGCGTTTTTTAAAAAAAATTGTTTGGATTTCCTTGAAAATCAATCAACCAAGGAAAATGGAATAAAAACATGATAGCAGACTACTGTTGGACGCTAAAAAGAGACATACCAGAGGCCGAAAATTCAAAGAGGAAAAAAAGAGCTCCTCTCCGGAGATCATTTGAATCAAAGAGGATAAAGTATTCAAGAAACAAAGATTAAAACTGCTTTAAATTTGACATATTGAATTTTTGAAAACCGACATTATATTCGTTTTCAGCGACCCCGAAAACCCCAGAGTAAAGATTTTCGAGTGAATCTGATTAGTTTCTAACTTATTTAGCCACCATTTTGGGTCCGCCATTTTTAATTTTTAACAACCGACTTTAAATTCGTAATTAGCGACCCCGAAACCCCCCGAGCAACGATTTTCAAGGAAGTCCAAACAATTTTTTTTAAAAAACCCACCATTTTAAGTCCGCTATTTTGTATCCGCCATTTTTAATTTTTTTTATGTAAATAGAATCACGGAATTAAAATTAATAGTAAAAATATGCGAAAAGTCTGTTTAAGATATAAAAAGTAAATAAATTCCTATGCAAATAAATTTTTTTAGACTTCACCACCTTACGAGGCGTGTAAAAAAATACCAGCACCATACTTTTGGTCCAACTACTTTTTCTCTTTAGATACACACCCTAAGGGAAAAAATTCCACCATATTGCACTTTTCGCACTCGAAATTTTTTTTTGTGTGCCTGTGTAATTTCTAACAAACTACTTTAAAGAAAATAAATAAATGTTTTTAAGAACAGATTGAAATGTTTTAATTTTTTTTTAATTTACCCATGTATGCCTCCTTAGATTTTTAATTATTCAAGTTTCCACTAAAAACTCTGTAAATCCACTAATTATTTTTCAACAGATAAAGCTTTATTTATAATAAGAATTGTTACAATACTTCATGTGTTTTAAAGTCCTAAAATAAATATTACCATTTGATCAATTATACTTTTTGTTTAATCAGATGTAACATATTGAAACTTTTATCCTTTTTATTTATCTTTCTATAATATTTAATCAATTTTTTTATTTACAGTTCTAAAATTGTATGAACGGAAACTTTTGAAAAAAGAGAAATTTGCTTAAACAAGAAAATTTTACACTTGAACAAAGTAGAATTATTTGCTTACAAAAATTATTATTTAAACCAGTTTTTCAGATAGTCGAAAAGAAATTACAGATCAACGTAGTATTTAGTGCTCCTTCTTAACAATAAATTTAATCGATTTACCAATCGAATTATTCGTTCCTCAGTTGTTAATTTCTCATTATGAAGTGTCACAGATAAAACATCCATTCCATTAATTATTTTTTTTTCCCTAACACCTAGAGTCAATTTCGATTCTTCAAGAACCATGTAATGTACAAATGGATCAGTCATAATGGAATTAATATCTACTATTCCAGCTTTGTTCGTTACTTTCAATTCATACAAAATTAATGTTTCAGAAGGATCATTAGACGAACGATGACTAAGAACAAAATCTCTACTAGAATGGAATTTTTGTGTTTTTGATAAACTTAAGTCATCGCCTGTTTTCATTCTGATAAGTCTTTCAAAATCATCACTAGGAAGATATGTAGCATAAAAAATGCTAAATGGCTCCTTAATTGATTCCTCCCCACATTGTCTAAGAGCCAATCTGCGTAATGCAACTGCAATTCGTCTACTTGAATGTACATCTGACATTGAATTACGGAACAAATATGAATAGATAGCGTAGTAATCCTCAAATCGTAAACTATCTCTAATAGCAGCTGATCTCCAATAATTATCAAAAACCGGTTCAACCCACTGTTCATAAATTCCATTATAAACTTTATCTATTGTACTCTTCGCAACATTGACATCATTTATCTGATATAATTTTTTATGAAATAGAACATCATCAATATATTCAAAATTAACAATCTTCCACTCGCTATATTTTAAAGGAATTGTATTTTTACCAGCAGTAGAACCTGCATAAATATCTCTAGCCAATTCATTATATGTAGGAACTGTACTTTTTGCATCATCTATTTTTAAAATGAACTTTTTCAAAATATCTTCCAATTCTGTAAATTTGTGTAATGGTGTATTTGATGATACAAAAAGAGCAGCATCCTCAATACTTTCAGCTCTTTTAGAATTTAGTACTACTTCAGAACTATGCAGCTCTAAATTTCTCCTAACTCTAATTTTCAACCAATCATCTTTCGACATTGCTTTCTGTTGTAACTTCAAAAGTAATATCTGCTTTCCATTGATGTATTCAGTATCCTTAACGAAAAATTCGACTTCCGGAAATACAACAAATTCATTTCTGTATTTATTATGTAATGGAAATAAATCCACAACACCGTATTGAGTATCAAATTCCAGGTGATAACGAACTTCGGTTTTTAAGAAATATTTTGCTCGTTTTAGAGGAATTACATCACCAGGGTCAACAGAAGAGAGAAGGGTTAAATCATTAAAATAAAAATCTTTGCCTTTCAGGTTCTTCAAGTCACTGACAATAGATGGTCGTGTTAATGTCTCTGTAAACCAAAGATTCATTTTTGGTCTTGCTACTTTTTGCATAGTCTGATAGGAATCCATAGATTCGACAACTTTTCGGAATGCTAGTAAACTTTTGTCGTCCTTTAAACCTGTTAATCCTTTTTCCTTGAATTTGTCCAATAAACTGATTGATTTCTGCATATCTTCTTGGTGAATAGTGTTTCTGATTATTTGGGGATTCAAACTGCTTCTGGATGTTCCGGGAATATTGTCATTGTGTAAGTTTGGTGGAGAATTACTGGGCAAGTGGAGGTCGAGAGGTAGAGGTAGTACGCATCGTTCTAATTCTAAATCTATACTATTCCTCAAATCAGTCCTTCCAGTTCTGTAAAAAAATGGGTATTTAATAAAAATTCCAAAAATACGGTAGTGAATAAAATAATCTAGTTAATTACCTGGTAAATCGCCTTCTTTTACAAAGTACTTTCATCCACTCCAGTTCTGAATCATATTCGCCGTAGTTACGTAACGTTGTTATTTCAGTGTTCTCTGAAGGAATATTGTAATTATCACCACGTCGAAGAACACCGTCTTCTCCCATTATAAAATTAGTTCTAGAAATTTCTCCATTCATTGGATTGTACACCCTGTAGAGAATTACATTTTCGTTCGATTTTATAGACACCATTGGCAACTTAAAAAAATTTCCCTCCACGGTTCTCAATTCGGCAGTTTTACCAAAGGACGATACACACTTTGGTCCGAAATAATTCGAACCACCTGGATACTGATACCTAACGAATTCGTAATTGTTCTTCTTTCTAAAAACACTTGGTATCAGTCCAGTGTGATCAACTACAGTTTTCGCATTATTAGCAAAATTCTTTGTAGATTTAATCAATTGTAGAAGATGTTCCACTTTTGGAATGTTTCTTAACTTTGTGGACAAGGTATTAACCAACTTTCCTAACATATTTTTGGAGAACCTTAAAAATTGGAATGTTAGTTCAAAACCAGGATCCAATGTTCTCAGGGAGGCAATTGTCAAATCTTTCAGAAAATTCCTGCTGAGAATTTCTACGCTTAATGTTCGAATAACTTGTTTATATATTTGATTCAAAGCAGTACTTAACGTTAGTCTATTGAACACCGATGTTGATAGACTGAATAAAGCATCTTTTCCAATTGTGGTAACCAAACTGTTCCACATAATGGATGAATATTTTACTCCAACTCCAGCTATTGGAAGAAGACTAAGAATATCTAGACTACAACTAAATATAGCTAAACCTGTGTTTCCGGAATTTATATTTTCAATACAGGTATAAAATGGTACTAATGATTTTAGAAAATCTAAAACTTTCTCTGCACCGGTTGGATCTCGGTAATAATTCTTTAGACCCTGCAAATACTGATCGGTCTTTATATCCGCCACTCTTTGAATAAATGTTTTGTAATCTTCGCCACGTCTTTTAAGAAATTTTGTTACTAGTGGAAGTTCCATTGTTAATGAGGAATCATTAGCGACTATTCTGGCGAACTCTTTTTCGTTTCCATTACTCTTAAGTAAAGTTAAAGTATTTTTCTCCTGTTTAATGGCATAAAAATCAGTTTTCTTATTTTCCTTTATGGCGAATAATAGGTATATGTCCTCGTTCATCTTTCTTGGCCATCGTGGACAGTACATGCAATGCATCGAATGACTTGGAACTCTTGCTAATTGCACAGTTGCATTTGAATTCAACCTATCAATTACATTTCCCTTTAATAAAACTCGTTCTAGCAAATTTTTTTCAATTTCATTATATGTCTCTTGAACATGAATAAATTGACCATTGTAAATTTCTTCTAAATCAGGAAGTTCAGTGCCCGAACACCTTGTCGGAAGAAAAATTTTTACCAACCATTCAGCTGTTTTATACAAGTAAGCATAAACTTGAGAAACTTCTGCTAAATTTGAATAATCACAAATTAATCTTAATAACTCGTAAGAAAAGAATGTTCTACTTTTAATCTGTCTTAAACGTACTTCCAATTTATGATGAAGACTTTTTAGAATACTGTCATTTAAAATTTTATTTAAAGAAAAATTGATATGCGTTAATAATATCTTATACGCTTGTTGCCAAAATACATTACTGACCATTAGATTTGCTGTATTTTCTTTGCGAAATATTTCCCTTTCCTTATAGGCGTGGTAAAATAATGCCGGTGTTTTAAATAATTCCAGGAACAATTCATATGTTTCATTATCAAATGTTTGTATTTCGAAACTTCGGGATAAGAGAATATAACTTTTGAATGTCATATTCGAAATATTGAGTTGAATAGAACGAGCGATTTTTAAACCAATCATTGCGTAAATATAATCAACGTCCATTATTTCGATATTTTCTTCCGGTTTGGGAAAGATTGACCAAATATAATCTTTGAATATATATTCAATTGCAGTCTTTGCGAGTTTAATACTTTCGTTTCTAAACGAACAATAATCGCGACCTTTGTAATTTTTCGAAAGTTTTAGAAACACTATTTCCTTAAGTACCAAATACTTTATGCTCTCTGCTCGATTTATGATTTCAGCCAAATAACCGTCAATGTTTCCATACTGAGAAAATAGAGCAGTGCTAATAATATACTGATATGTGTCATTCACATATTTCATGTCAAGTGTTTCATTTTCTCCCCCACCGTAGAGGTCACTGCCTTTTAATACTCTTTGAAGAAGTTTAAGTTTCGTGTCGGTTTCATTTTCCGAATTTCTAATGTATTCAAACAAAGTATTTAAAACAGAAACGGAATGATTTCGATATTCCAGTGGTATTAGATTTTGATTATAAAAAAATATACCAAAAGTGGTAATGTAGTGACAGGCAGAAAGAAATTGAAAGTTTGTCGGACTTTGAATTAGTAAGGTTGTATTATCCATTTTTGGAAAATTAAATTAATATCTGAAATGAAAAATTTATATTCAATTTTAAAATTGTTATAAATATAATTTATAATTTTGTCAAATTGTTAAATTCAGTTGAATTTGGAAATTTTGAATCATACATTTAAATAAATTAATTGCAAATTTACCATTGGTGTGTGCCTTTCTGTTCTGCGAATTATTTAAAACTCCAGTTTACAGTAAATTTTCAGTTTGTCTACTAATTGATTTCTTAAAAGTAAAATTTTATTTATATTAAAAAGTGTTATACAAATTATTACAAAATGTTTAATTACTTTCTGTTTATCCAGTTGTAAAATAGTGTCATTTCTTTATTGTGCCTATGATATTACAGATGTTTTACTAGTTTTCTTACACGTGTCTCTTAATTTAAGTGGAATTTTTTGTAATGCAGAGAAAAATTTGTTTGATTAAAATTTTTACACTTGAACGAAATCAGACTGTTTGTTTAGGAAGTGAAGGTTATGCATATATAATATAAACCAATATTAACCACCCTCCCTAGGGGTTTCAAGACCTTGCCGTTGGTGGGAGGCGCACGAGGGGCTCTTACCCAGTGGGAGGCTACTTCTCGATATCTCTCGTGGGGACTGAGGGGGCGAACCCTTCAAAATGGGTCGGCCGCTACAGAAACCGAGTCTTCTGTGTTTCGCTGGGCAGTGTCCCAGGTCACGGGGATTTAGAGGGATATCGAGAGAGACGGGATGGACAGAGGCTTAACCGCGGGTCCATTCCGAAGACTTCCTACTGGTGGAAGTCTGACCAAGAAGAAACCCTTTCATGCTTACGTTGGCTGTGCCATGGCGATTGAGGCGCGAGTCTCTGCCACCCAATCCGTGATGAACTCGTGTCCATGGATGAATGATACTAGGGTTAACAAATCCGTCGGGTTCTTCCGTGGGGAGGGGGTTGGACGGGGGACGATCTTCGCTGGGCACAATTAACCGTAAACCGTAAAGCTCGGGAACGGTTGTGTTACAGGAAGGGCCCGACTCACATATTATCTGAATGCCCAGCGCTAGCTAGGATCAGGCTATCTAGTTGGGGTCAAGCAATTATTGACCCTAAACAGGTGAGCAACCTATCGATAGAAGAGATACTGGACTTTTGGAGAAGAAGAGGACTCTAAGGGGTTGCTATAAACGAGCGAGTTTGAGTCTGGTACAATGGGTTTTATAACCTAGGTGCTTACTTTCCCCTCTTGACGAAAATCCAGCTCGATCTCAGTTGTTAGATTAGATTAGAATATAAACCAATTTAGCAATAAAACCTTTATTTAAAGAAGGTCAACTTTGAAGGTAAGCGGTACAATGATTGCCCCCCTAGATAATGATTGGCCGTCTAGTTAAAATATGAATTTAATAAGAAATAACTTGTATCAAAAGATTAAAAAATTATGGTTAAAACTGGATATGAAAGTTTTCATATCTACTAGTCAGAAATTTTTACTGTAAATAATAAAATTGTTTTTATGTTTTTATGAGATTATTTAGTAGTGAAAAGTAAAAGTTTAGAACTAAAAGAAGAAAGAATAATAATAGTGATAAAGAAATAAATACAAATAAAATATCACGAAATCAGTAGTGGAGAAAAGAAATAGATCTATAATTGTCTCAAAGTTGCGCAAACGAAGAAGAAAATGTTTTACAAGGGTGGTATAGTCATTCAAAATAATTTACAAAAGCAAGAATGGCTCAAGACCTATTATGTATTTAAGCAATATTAGTATCAGCAGAAAGACTCTTTTCTCGCAGTTCTCTCACGATAAGGAAGCCCAAAAATAAATTAAATAACGATGCTATAAGAAATTTGATATGTTTTAACTTCTGAGTAACTTGTTCTCTTGCACCGAAAATCCAAAAGCTTTTACAAGAAAATTGTTAAAATGTTTATAAAAAAATTAATTAAATTGTTAAAATGTTGTTAACCATACTGTAAAAAGACAATATAATATTTTAATCAAAAACGCCTTAACTTAAGGCACTTCTATTCCCATGTCTAAAACAATAAGAACGTCTTCTAAATTAAAACATTTCTTTTTACAGTGTGTATTTATAGTTAATTCATTAAATTTTCATTTACTTAAAGTAAATAAAATATATGTGTAGTTAAGTAAAACAGTGTTTACTTTATATAGAATATTTATTGCTTTATTAATTTTAATAAATATATTTAAAAGATATAAATATAACATTTTAACCATTTTTTTAAAATTTAAAATACAACTAAAAATGATTTTTTAAAAAATGGTTTTTTAAAAACGTGTACTTACAAAAACTATTTTAACTTTAAGACATTTACTTATTTTGCTTCTTCATGAGGAAGCTTTGCATTGGTGACGATTTTCAATTTTTCAAAAGAAGGTTATATGGACTCATTTTCATCCAGAACATATGTATATTCAATTATGAGCAAATGTCCAGATGTATGGGTGTAAGTGTGTGTGTGCATGTCACAAATATTGTGTACAAATTATCTCAGACAAATTTTTATGGATTGTCCTGAAATTTTGCAGGTTTATTGCAGTCATTAATACCTAAAATCTGACACAAGGATATTCGAAAATATCTACAAAATTTTTTTTTAAACAATTTTTTTAAAATTCAGAAAATTTTTTTTTTGTATTTTTTGAAATAATTTTTTTATTTGTTAATATTTTCATTAATTATTCTCAAAATTACATTCCTGACAAGAAAACGAATCGATTGATGTATACAAAGTATATATTTTATCAAAATTTATAAAATTAATCAATATTTTTCTTTTTCACAGAAAATTCAAATTTTGTATTTTTTCATAATTTATTTAATATTAATATTTTGAAATGATTATTCTATCATAAAAAAAAGCAATTAGCAAATAAAAGTGTAAATTTCACCAAATATTTATATAACAACTTTTAAATGATTTATATAATTTTAATTTTAACAAATCTTCTGGACGAACCCTTTTGTACATAGTTTTTCAAAAGTTTGCAAAACCACAATTTTTATATATTGAGGAAGCTAAATGGTCATGAAATGAACAACTTGTTATTACAATATAATTGTTTTAAATTCATCAATTAACATAAAAAGCGCTCATAAAGAACTCAGGATGTCTATAATGACTCTGTGACCTGTGATAAGTGCAAGGGATTAGCACATTTAAATTGTATAAAATAATGTCAACTTGTCGAAAAAAGTGTTTGAAGGGATTAAAAAAGGAACAAATGTTTTTATTTGCAACAAGTGTAAGCAGAAAGTGGATATAAGTGACATCTCTAAATCCCTTATTCAACTATCAACAGATAATGATACCATCGGTGAAGGAGACTTGCTGCCATTGTGCAGGGATTATCGCGAATTCAGTGAGTATTGACCAGTTAAAATTTGAATCTGCAAAACACGAGGAGGATATTTCAAATGCTAAGAAAGAGGTTGAAGAGTGAAATGAAAAAATTGTTTTTCTTGAAGAAATGGTGAATCGCAATCAACAAGATACGCTTTCAACTTGTCTCGAGATACATGGATTACCTTTTTCTCAGAATGAAAACTTAAAATCTATTTTTGAATCAATTTTAAGTTTTCTCAAAATAGAATTTCATAATCGTGAATTGGTCAATATTTGCAGAATAAGAGGATTACCGGATGTCACTTACACAATGTTACCTCCCATAGTAGCGGTTAATGGCATAAAAATCAGTTTTCTCATTTTCCTTTATGGCGAACAATAGGTATATGTTCTCGTTCATCTTTCTTGGCATTCGTGGACAGTACATGCAATGCATCGAATGATTTGGAACTCTTGCTAATAGCACAGTTGCATTTGAATTCTGATTGATCAAATATTCTACTAATAGTTTGTCTTGAACTAAAATTTGACAATTGCAATTTAACTTATACACAAAAGCTTCTTAGATTGTTATTAATTTTACTATTGACAAATGTTTATTTTTTCGTTGTTTTATCAGTTGTACAGAAGTGAAATTTCATTTTTTTGTTATTTTCAAAATATTTTTAGAACCTTGTTTCCACAAGTGTAAAATTTTTTTTCACGTACGCAATTTAATTTATTTGATTAAAATTGTTACACTTGTGATGGTGTAGACTGTTTGTATTGTAATAGATGATTAAAATTTTTTTATAAAAAATGGAATTAATTATTGTTTGTTCTATTCTTTGGGGAATTAGCAGATTTGATAATTAAAAGTTTATTACTTACAAATGCATAATGCACGTAAGCATGTAGTCAACGCCTCAAACGAGGTTATTAAAAGAGTTTTGTAGACTACAAACTATATGCAGAGTTGGGCAGTTAAGCTTAACTTAAAATTAATTTTAATTATACACTCAGATGCTTCAATGATGTTCTTCCTGTTTAAAGGAATTTTGAAAAGTCGTGTCATTTCTATAAAATTCTTAGTTCGTGACATACGAATGTTCATTCATATGTCATGAACTGTAAACATTTTGACAGAAATCATTCGACTTTACAAAATACCGTCAAACCGGAAGGACAGCATTATTGCATCTGAGTGTATATTAATAAAGTAGATAAAAAAATAAATGTGATTGGTCACTAAATATTATTGTCTGTACAAAGAGCTACGTGAAAATTGACTTTCGTCAGAGCCAGTTTCATGAGCCTCCGTGGCGCAAAAATAGGTAAGTCATTTGAACATACTTAATTGCAGACCCACAAAAAAATTCATGGTCAGTGACCTTAAAAAATGTAGATAAATTATTTATTAAAACATGGACAGCATAATTATTACAAAATATTCCATTAATTTTTGTTTATCCAGTTGTTGAATTAAAATAAAAAAATAAAAAAAATGTAGATAAATTATTTATTAAAACATGGACAGCATAATTATTACAAAATATTCAATTACTTTTTGTTTATCCAGTTGTTAAATATTGTCATTTTTTATTGTGTTTATGATATTACAAATGTTTTACTATTTTTCTTACATGAGTCTCTTATTTTAAGTGGGATTTTCTGTAATTCAGACAAAAATTTGTTTGATTAAATTTTTTACAATTGAAAGATATCAGACTGTTTGTTAAGGAAGTGAAGGTAATACATATACAATAGAAACCAATTCAGCAATAAAATCTTTATTTAAAGAGGATTTACAAATTTAAATACAAAGTTGTTAAAATATGTAAAGTTAAAATATGAAATTGTCAAAAAATTTACAAGTCAACAAAGTATTTAGTTTTACTATCAAATAACAAGTTTAGACACAAAATATTCCATTAAAAATTGTGTCTATCGTACTTTTTGCAATTTTAACATCGGTAATCAATCTGATGCAATGTTTTATGATAAAGTACATCGTTAACGTATTTGCTATTCGTTATTTTCCACTTGTTAAAATGATAAGGAATTAGACTTACACTATTAATAGAACCTGCATAAATTTCCCTGGCCAATGTTTCGTAAGTAGGAGCTGAACCTACTGCAGTATCATCCATTCTTAAAATATAATTTTTCATAATCTCCTTTATATTTGTAAATTTTTTCAAAGGTGTTTTTGAAGATACAAAAAAGGCATTTATCTCAATAATTTCACTCCTTTTTGTTTCTTGTCTTATTTCATTAATAGAAACTATTTTATTATGTTTTTCTCGAGTTTTCAACCAATCATCTTTTGATATTTTTGTTTGTTGTAATTTGAAAACTAATATCTCTTTTCCATTAAAAAATTCAGTATCCTTTACAAAAAACTGAACATCTGGAAATACAATGTATTGATTTTTAAATTTATTATGTAATGCACCAAGATCAACGTAACCGAATTCAGAATCAAATTCCATGTGATAACGAACTTCTGTTTTAAAAGTAAATTTTGCTTTTCTAAGAGGAATTATATCAGCAGGAGCGATATCAGATAGAAGAGTTAAATCGTTAAAATAAAAATATTTTCCCTTTAGATCCTTTAAATCATTAACGATAGATGGTCGTGTTAATGTTTCTGTATACCACAGTTTAACATCTGGTTTTAGTATTTTCTTCATCATTTGATAAGATTCCAAAGAATTAACAGTTGTTCGAAATGATAATATATTTTTGTCCTCTATTAAACCTGCCAATCCTTTTTCCTTAAATATGTTTATTAAATCGATTGTTTTCTGCACATCTAGTTGATAAAAACTACTTCTGCTAATTTGGCGATTTAAACTACTTCTTGAAGTTCCAGGAATATTGTTATTGGGAAAGTCTGCTCGTGAGGTTCTGGGAATTCTGAAGTCAAGCGGTTCGTTTTTTTTTGGACAGGAATCATTCCTGTCAGCACAGTGCCCAGTCATGTTTATTTTTCTCAGTGCAGATGTGAACAAAAAAATAATGTAAATAAAGACCAATATATGAATCATTTAATTCTTTTACTGTAAACATTATAAAAATATTTGTAGAATAAATTACCTGGCGATTCTTCTTTTCTTAAAAAGTGACTTCATCCACTCCAATTCCGAATTATACTCGTGATAATTACGTAATGCAAACACATTTCTTTGTTCTTCTACTGGTAGATTAATATAATTGTCCCTCAGTCTAAGAATACCGTCTTCTCCCATTGCAAAATTCGTCTTAGAAATTTCTCCAGTTATTGGATCATATATTCTATAGCATATAATTTTACAGGCACCACTGGTAACTAAAACAAGTTTTCTTCGATTGTTCTTAATTCGGCAGTTTTTCCAAACGATGTTATGCATTTTGGACCGAAATAATTCGAACCACCAGTATAATGATATTTAACGATTTTAAAATTATTCTGTTCTTGAATAATACTTGGTATAAGACCCGTTTGATCGACCAAAGTTTCTGTTTTGTAAATAAAATTCTTTGCAGATTTAATCGATTCTAGAAGATGTTCCACTTTAGAAATGTTTATTAATTTTGAGGACAAAGTATGAACTAATTTTCCTACCATATTTTTGGAGAATCTTAAAAATTGAAAATATTGTTCAAAACCAGGATCTAATGTTTGTAGGGAGGCTACTGTCAAGTCTTTCAAAAGGTGCTTGGTAAGAATTTCTTCCATTATTATTTGAAATCCTGTTTTGTAAATTTGATTGAAGCCGATAAATAATGTTAATGAATTAATTGGTGACTTTGCAAGAATAAACAGTGATTGGTCTGCCATTTCATTAATTAAACTTCTCCACATAATAGACGAATATTTTGCTGTAACGCCAGCTATTGGAAGAAGACCAAGAGCGTCAAGGGAACAACTTATGGCTGCTCCTCCTTGATATCCAGATTTTATATTTTCAATACAGGTATAAAATGGCACCAATGATTTCATAAAATCAATTACTTTCTCCGCTTTGGTTGAATCTCGGTAATAATTCTTTAGACCATTTACAAACAGTTTGGTCTTAATGTCTGCTACCTTTTGGATAAATACTTTATAATTTTCATTACGTAATTTGAAGAACCGGGAAAATATTTCCAGTTCCATAGTTAAGGAGGAATCATTAGCGACTATTCTAGCGAACTCTTTTTCGTTTCCATTACTCTTAAGTAAAGTCAAAGTATTTTTCTCCTGTCTAATGGCATAAAAATCATTTTTATTATTTTCTACTATGGCAAATAATAGGTATATGTCCTCGTTCCTCTTCCTTAGCCATCGTGGACATGTCATACAATGCATTTGATAATTTGGAACCAAAGCAAATTGATATGTTTCATTATCAAGAATTTCTAATTCAATTCCTCGGGACAAATGAATAAAATTTTCAAATGTTAGATTCGAAACATCAACTTGAAATAATTTGGCACTTTTTAAACCTATTATTGCGTATATATATTCAACGACCAAATATGTTCATTGAATACTTTTTCAACTGTTAAATTGGTGAGTGGAAAGTTTTTATTTCTAGATGAACAATAATCCCTGCTTTGGTAATTTTTTGAAAGTTGGTTAAATACATTTTCCTTGAGTGAAAAATAGGTTATGTTGTCTGCTCCATTTATTATTCCAGCTAAATAAGCATGAATGTTGCCATAGTGAGAAAAAAGAGCATTACTAATGATGTACTTGATATGTTTCATTAACATCTTTTATGTCAAGTGTTTCATTTTCACCTCCTCCGTAGAGATCACTTCTTTTTAATACTCTCTCGAGAAGTTGAACTTTGGTTTCAGTTTCATTTTCCGAATTGTGAATGTTTTTTTAAAAAAATGTGTTCAAAACAGAAACGGAATGATTTCGCTCATCATGTGCAATTAAATCGTGATTGAAGAAAAAAATACCAAAAGTGGTAATGTAGTGACAAACAGAAAGAAATTGAAAGTTGGTTGGATTTTAAATAATAAATGTTGTATGTTCCATCGTCTTAATTTTTATACTGCTATAATACCTGTAAATGAAAATTGTATATTTATAAAATATTATAGAGAAACTTCTATTTCTAAACATAATTCCATACCTTTTCTACAATATTTAAATATTTATCATACTTTTTTATTTATTTTTTATCGATTGAAAATTATTCGATGATAATAGAATGACAATTCTGATTGATCAAATATTCTAATTGTTTGTCCAGAACTAAAATTTGAAAATTACAATTTAACTTATATACAAAAGCTTCTGAGAATGCTATTAATTTTACTTTTGCAAAATGTATCTCTTTTGGTGTTTAAAATATTGTATAGAAGTGAAATTTCTTTTTTTTTTGTTATTTTCAAAATAATTTTAGGAACTTGTTTCCACACGTGTAAAACATTTTTTCCTCTTGCTTAATATAATTTATTTGATTAAAATTGTTACACTTGTATCGGTATAGACTATTTGTTTTGAAACAGAAAATTAAATAATTTCAAATAAAAAATGGATTTAATTATTATTTGTTCTATTGTCTGGGGAATTAGGAGATTTAATAATTAAACATTTATTACTTACAAATGCACAATGCACGTAAGCATGTAGTCAATGTCTGAAACAAGATTATTGAAAGGTTAGGGTAGACCACAAACTTTATGCAGAGTTGGGCAGTTAAGCGTAACTTGAAATAATTTTTAATTATATATTAATCAGCTAGATAAAATATGTAAAGGTCACTAAATATGATTGGCTCTACAAAAATTTACGTGAAAATTAATTTTTTATGGAGCTAATTATATTTAGTCCTTTGGACATGAAAAAATGGAGGACATGAAACGATTTAGGAACGTTTCTAGAACAAAGACGTATCTGTGCCCACAGGGAGTGACTTATATTTTCATGACCTTGAAATTAGGCGCTCGCTCAAAAATTTGTAAGTGTGCAAGCACCTTTAGACTGTTTGAGTTCATTAACATTTGCGAGTTGATTTGGAAATTCTCTTAAATACATACAGTTTCGATTAACATATACATCGGTTACGTCTAGTTTCGTAAGTTTATATTTGAAGTTAAAATTTAATTCCTGAGTTTTTTATTATAAATTAAATTATGACTAAAGTAATTATAATAATTTGAGTGAAGGTTAGGTGTCATTTTGGTAAATATTGAATTAGGTTTGATTAAAAAATGTTTTGTGAAACAAAATGATAATCTTTAACATGTCATTAAAAACTGTGAATGTGACTTAATATTTATTACACTTTTTAAGGCCAACGTACAATAGAATCGCAAAACGAGATATACAAGATAGAAAAGGACTGACATATGTTTGGGTCCTTTTCCATTTCACACATCTCGTTTTTGCAAACCTATTGTGCGTTGGCCTTTAAAAAGAAAGCCTTCAAATAAAAAATTTTATTCAGCAAGGTTGAGCAGTTGGAAATAGTGGAATTTTTTTATTATCTAATAATTAAATAATAATAATAATAAAACTTATTCTGTAATACATAATTAATTCTAGATTTTCTTTGGAATGATGACTGAAGGGCAGATATTACATCATTATACAACTGTTTATACAGGAAATGATGAAACATGTATAAATAATTTACATATGTTTCAATAATTTCTGTATTTACTTTTTCCAATAGCAATGTATAATAGATTTAAATTAACGTAATAAAACTGTAACAGCAAAAAGTAAATTTGCAGTATTTGACTTGATCTCTTATTTGAAAGTACAAGGAAATTATTACCACGAAGAATAATACAAATAAGGTAACAACTTTTCATAATATCGCATATTTCAAAAAAACTAAAAAGCAATTTTTTTTATTTATTTCACTTAAAAAGTTTGTTGACTAAAAATTTATTTATTTCCAGGTATAACGAAACAATAGTCATTCAATGCAAAAAATAATTTTCTTGAGTTACAATATAAAATGGACAACTCAACAATCTTTGTTCAGCAACCAATAAATTTTCAATTTCAATTTCTTTCCGTCTGTCACTACATTACGAGTTTTGGGTTAATTTTTTCCAATCAAAAATTAATAGCAAACGATGAAAGAAATCATTCCGTTTCTGTTTTAAATACTTTGTTTGAGTACATTCAAAATACGCCAAATCAAAATGAGAGTAAACTTAAACTTCTTCAAAGAGTACTAAAAGGAACTGATCTCTATGGTGGTGGTAAAAATGAAACACTTGACATGAAATACGTAGACGACACATATCACTACATCATTAGCACTGCTCTATTTTCTCAATATGGAAACATTGACGGTTATTTGGCTGAAATAATAAGTCGAGCAGACAACATAACCTATGTTTCACTCAAGGAAATGGTGTTTCAAGAACTTTTAAAAAATTACACAAGTCGTGATTATTGTTCGTCAAGAAATGAAAGTATTAAACTAACAATGACTGCAATTCAGAATATATTCAAAGATTATATTTGGGTAATCTTTCCCGAACCGGAAGAAAACATTGATATAATGAATCTTAATTATATATACGCAATGACAGGTTTAAAAATCGCTCGTTCTCTTCAAACCGATATTTCTAATCTAACATTTCAAAGTTATATTCTCTTATCACGAGGAATTGAATTACAAGCTGTTGATAATGAAACATATCATATGGCATTGGAATTATTTAGAACACCAGCATTATTTTATTACGCTTTTAAAGAAACTGAATCATTTCGCAAAGAAAATACATCAAATTTAATAATGAGTGATAAATTTTGGCGACAGGCCTATAACAATTTTTTCTCATTCATTAGTCTTTCTTTAAAAAATATTATTAGGTTAGGTATAGACAGGAATCTTCATTCTAGACTAATAAGACAATTAAATTTAATTAAAAGTCGAACTTTTTTTGCCGCTGATATACTTAGATTAATTTGTGATTATTCAAATATAGCACAAGTTCCTGTAATTCAGTATTCACTTTATAAAACCTCTCATTGGTTAACAAACATTTTTCTTCCAAAAAGATGTGAAGGAAGTGAACTTCCGGATTTAGAAGAAGTTTTCAATGGTCAATTTATTCATGTTCAAGAAACATATAATGAAATTGAAAAAAATTCTCTTGAACGAGTATTATTAGAGGGTGGCATAATCGAAAAGATGAATTCAAATGCAACTGTGGAATTTGCAAGAGTTCCAAATTATGAAATGCATTGTATGACCTGTGCACCATGGCCAAGGAAAATGAACAAGGACATATATTTATTGTTTGCAATAGTAGAAAATAGGAAGACTGATTTCTATGCCATTAGACAGGAGAAAAATGCTTTGACTTTACTTAAGAGTAATGGAAACGAAGCAGAGTTTGCTCGAATAGTCGCTAATGATGCCTCCTTAAAAATGGAAGTTAGATTATTTTCTCAGGCACTTAAAAAATCTGGTGAAGATTACCAAGTATTTATTCAACGGGTAGCTGACATTAAGACCGAACAGTTTATATCGGGTCTAAAGAAATATTACAGACAACCGACAGACGCAGAGATAGTACTCGATTTTCTAGTATCATTGGTGCCATTTTATACCTGTATTCAAAGTATAAAACCCGGAAATACAGGCTTAGGAGTATTAAGTTGTACTCTAGATGTTGTCAGTCTTCTTCCAGTAGCTGGAGTCGCATCAAAATATTCATCTATATTATGGAGTAGTTTAATTACCGAAATGGCACAAGAATCAATATTAGGTTTCTCAAAATCTGCTTTTATCTCTCAAATGTCCTTACGTCAAGGAATAAATGGAATTTTCAAACGCGTCTCCCGAACCGTTTCGGAACAAATTCTCATCAAGGGTCTTCTTCAAGATTCTTCTATTGCCGTCCTACGAACATTGGATCCTGGTTTTGAACTATCATACAACGTCTTTAAATTATCTGGTCCAATGTTAAAAAATCTTCTTCATGTCCTGTCCTCAAAATTAAAAACTTTTCCAAAGATTAATAATCTCGTACAATTAATTAAATCCGCATCGAAGGATTTAAATCGGAATGGAAAATTAATACCCGATTATACAGGATTGATACCAAATGTCATACGGGAGGAAAGTAATTATAAACTCGTCAAATATTTTTATCCTAGAAGTTTACACTATTTTGGACCCACTTGTATATCATCCCTTGGAAAAACTGCCGAATTGAGATTAATTGAAGGGAATATGTTTCAAGTTCCCGTTGTACCATTAAAATCCACCAGTAATTCAATATCGTATCGTGAATATAATCCCCTAACTGGTAAAATCTCTAAAGAAAAACTCGAAATGGGTGGAGACGATATACTGCGGCGGATCGGTTTGTTTATTGATCAAATGGCAAGTGAAGGAAGAGATCTAAGGGTATTTCAAAACTATCACGTGAATTATAATACAGTGCATTGGCGAAAGAAAATGAGAATGGATTACCCCAACGATAATTCAAATTCACCTCCTGGGGGAGACGTTGCTGGGGTTAATGATGTAATCGGAACTGCCAGAGATGAGGCCGGTCCTACAAATTCCGATTTAAGTTCGTCGAGTGGGACAGTATCGAATAATCCTCTTCCTGATTCGAGAATGTCTCCAGAACATTCAGCAGAGTTCGTTACACCTAAATTTATAGGTCCACAATTGGATCTTCCAGATATATTAAAAGATATTCCATCAATTGCTGAAGGCAACAAACGAATAGCTACTGATACACAAATTGATCGTGACATTCCGGAGAAAATACCAAAGTTAGATTTGTATAATACTTATTATGTTGACGAACCCGGAACATCGGGAGAGTTCGTTAATCCTGATTCTATATCGATAGTTACTTTAGAAGATTTGAAAGAATTCAGATCTGAAATTCATAAATCGAATCTGGATGTTCCGGAGACATTGACGAACACAGCACCAGATGAGGGCAGTAAACTAGTAGCTACTAAAATTGATACCGATATTCTGGAGAAAGTGCCAAATGCTGATCACGGAACATCAGCGGAGATTGTTAATCCTATTCGGGAATTGGAAGAAACAGCACTGGATGAGGGCAATAAACCAATAGCTACTAAAATTGATACCGATATTCTGGAGAAACTGCCAAATGCTGATCCCGGAACTTTAGCAAAAATTGTTAATCCCATTTGGGAATTGGAAGAAATTTTAAAACATTTACCGAAGAATCTTAAAATTAGAAAATTGAATCTTGATGGTACTCTACCAGATGAAGAAAGATTAGTAGATGTAAACATTGATTCGAAGGTTCCGAAAGAAGAGACAAGGTTAGAATTATCAGACCACATTTTAGATAATATACCTGGAACCTCAAAGGATATCGCAAAAAATACTGAATCAGAATTGTATTTATCGTTAGCAAAAGATATTGATGGAGTTATTCACAACAATTATGTAACAACAGTAAAGGCATTTAAGGAGTCAGGTCTACTCGTTATGAACAAAAACACTGAAAATAGCAAATTCTTACGTCTAACATTAGCAAATTTAGCTTTCCTTCAAATGTACAAAATTACTCCACCTATTACTATACCAGAAAATCTCTGGTGTGTTCAATTTATAAATCGTCCAAAAGTAATTGATTATTTAAAAAATCAAAAAGGAAATTCATTCTTTTTCAATGACATTACACTTTTAACAAATAAACCTCCAGGTGAAATCAGTAAAACATCTGGATTATCTTCCTATGTAGAAGTTCGTTATCATATTACAACAAATTTTGAATACGGTTTTGTCGACCTATCAAAATTGGATAAACAATTTAATGGCGAATACATAACATTTAACGACGTCATCTTTAAAGTAACGGATACATACTTTCTCGATAAAAACAAAATTCTAGTAATAGAATTAAAACCACATGAACTCACCAGGGAGAATTGGTACACTACCAGAAAAGAAGAAATCCAAAATCTAATTGCTCCCGAAAGTATTTTATCCTCAAGATTAGAAAGTATCGACAAAGCAGCGAATCTCATAGTTGATACTGTTCCCCTCTTTACCTATCATACAGCAGTGGAAATGCTACAGAAGTACATTTTAAAAACAACATCAACAAACAGTCTTGTTCCAACATATGAAAAATTTGCCAAAGATTTCTTCAATAACATGAAAGTTCTTCCACTTTACAAACATTATGAAATTGAAAATTGGAAATACATCGACGATGTGTTATTTAATAAAAACTTGGATGACATTATAGATTTGAAGGAAGCAACTAATAGAATTGACAGAATTTACGATCTCGTTTATAAGCAAGAGGTTTCACATGTTTTTCAGGAATATAATCAAAATATATTAAAACTACAACAAGCAATACGTTTTGAGGATTATTACGTTTTGTATTCATTATCAAAGAATAATTTCATAAAAAGTAAGGACAATTTAAATCGTTATGCAGCAACAATTTATCGTACAATTATTCGACAATCTAATGAGGAATGGACTAAACAGAAAATAAATCTTTATTACGGTAAAATACTACCTGCGAAAGGTTTTTCAAGGTACTTAAATTACAAAAAAAAGGAGTTAACTTCATTTTTGAGTTTTAGACAACTTTCCACGAATCGTGAAAAGGAATATCAAAATGTTTTACCAAGTACAGAAACATCGGGAAAAAGAATATTTTATGACATTGAAATTAGAAATCAAGTGGGTTTATTGGATTTAGGTCGTATTTTCGATTACGATAAGGATATTCATATTGCATGTCCTGAATTTGCATTTGTTATTGATGATGTATCTTGGAAAGTAGTTGATGGGAAGGAAATATTAATTGTTAAAATGCATGATTTTGAATTACCAACTGAAATGAGGATGGTTTATGCTGCTAAAAGACTTGATAAATTGTATTCATCTGGAACTGACTTTTATCATCCGGAGTAGATATAATGAAGTTTTTTAGTATAATAACAATGTTTTATTATTCCTATAATTACCCAAGTTACTATTATTTATTGTACCATATCATAGAACTAATTTTAAAACAATTCTAATAAATAATTTTAAAATTCGAAAAACTGTTTTATTAGACCTTGAATTTTCACATTCAATACAGTTTGACATGAAACACGCGGCATTGATTGCATGACTATAATTTATTAAATAAATATTAAACATATATTTCTTTCATACATATTTCGAAATTTCTTTTTCTACACCTGAATGCTTTTTTTACGCTTGAATGACTAATCATTTATTAACATTAACTATTGACTTTTTATATTTAAACATCAATGATAGATTTCATAATTTCGAATTGAAAACATATTTTAAATTCACAACTGAGATTAATATACGACTGTCCTTCTCCATTTCATGGTTCGCTATTCTACTGCAGATAATGAGTCAACATAACCTTCAAATTTGTTCGTCCAGTGCAGGTATTGCAGAAAAATTATATTTTCCCACTGCAGAAAGTTATAAATATAAAAAAGTAAATTATATACTAAAGAATTTGTTTGAACTTTTTGTTGAAAAATATTCTTTTGGCGGAAGACAATATTTTACTATTTATATCTTATCAAGAAGCGTGAAAAAGTTGTAAACGAAGAATCAGAATAAAATTTTACGACTTGGGTAATAAATTTTTCTTTCTTATATAGCTTGGGATTATTGTTTTTTTGTTAAAAGTGGAAAATAGTTTACGTTTCATTTTCAAGAAATTTAACAGAATTTTGTAGTGTATGGAAAAAATACAAGAATAAAATATCAGGTAAGAATAATTTAAATTAAAACGATTATATATAGGTGTCAGTTTCCATATGCACTGAGAGAAGTCTGGGAACTAATACGTCCCGTGCGAGGCTTGAGTGATAATTTTGAATGTTCTTATGTGAACCCTCGATCGGGACGTCTCAAGCCCCGATAAAAAACGTGGAACATCCCGAAGCAAGATTACTTACAACTTTTAGTTTCGGCCACGAGTTGTTCTCTGACATGCGGGAACAATGTTTGACCGATTCGGGGCGTTTAAGCCCTAGATTCAAAACATAACGCGACAAGCAGAGTAGATTATAGCGACGTCTAGCGGGAACTATTACGCCCTTGACTTCTCTCACTGTGGCAAGGTACACTCGTGCTCAGAAATGCCTTCCCCGTCCGAATGTTTATTCATATGTCATGAAGTGAAAATCTAAAGTGAAAAGGACATAAATATGAGGCATTCCACGTCAACGAGAGACCCCCACCCTCAGAATTGGTTTAAACGAAAAGAATTCTAAATCTAATAAGGCTTAAAATTTAAGTAATTACATCCACTTTAAAATTCTTAGTGTCAAAATAAAAAATTCAAGATGGCGGATCCAATATGGCGGACAAAAATTAAAAATTAAACAAATTTGCTAGAAAGTTGTCACTCGGGAATTTTTGGGGTCGCTGATGCCAACTTTTAAGCAACTTTGATTAATTTTTAATTTTTGTCTCCAATGTTGTATCCGCAATTTTAAATTTTTAGAAACTGACTTCAGATTCGTAATCAGCGACCCCAAAAACCCCCGAGTGACAACTTTCTAGCGAATTTGTTTAATTTTTAATATTTGTCCGATATATTGGATCCGCCATTTTGAATTTTTAAAAACTGATTCCAGATTCGTAATCAGCGACCTTAAAAACTCTGAGGGTGGGGGGTGTCTCGTTGACGTGGAATGACCCATATATCTATCCTTTTCTATCTCATAATCAAGAATCTATTGTGCTCTTCTACCACATGCATATAGTTTATAATTGTCATTGTAAATTAGCCTTTAGAAACAGTGCCTATGAGTTTGTCCTTCTATTACAATTCTACATTCTCAATGCACTGTCAATAACTTTTAATTCCAATATTTTCTACAGTATTAAATTTTTTTCAGGTGTATCGACTAGACGTGAAAAGGTTTACTATTCTAACAAAAAATAATTAATTACTTTATAACCTCAAAATCATGAACAGCACAACAATTTCCTTTCAACAGTCGACAAATTTTCAATTTCTTTCTGTTTGTCACTACATTATAAATTTTGGTATATTTTTCTATAATAAGAAATTAATTACCGAGGATAAACGAAATCATTCGGCTTGTGTATTAAATACACTGTTTGAATATATCGATACTTTTGAAGATCAGAATGACAGTAAACTTAAACTTCTCCAAAGAGTGCTAAAAGGAACTGATCTCTATGGTGGTGGTAAAAATGAAACACTTGACATGAAATACGTAGACGACACATATCACTACATCATTAGCACTGCTCTATTTTCTCAATATGGAAACATTGACGGTTATTTGGCTGAAATAATAAGTCAAACAGACAACATAACCTATTCGGCACTTAAGGAAATGGTGTTTCAAAAACTTTCGAAATATTACATAAGTCGTGATTTTTGTTCGTCAAGATACGAAAGTTATGAACTCACGAATTTGACAATTAATAAAGTTTTCAATGAATACGTTTGGTCAATGTTTCCGGAACCGGAACAAAACATTGAAATAATGGATGTTGATTATATTTACGCAATGACTGGTTTAAAAATTGCTCGTTCTATTCAACTTGATATTTCGAATATAACCTTTGAAAGTTACATTCTTTTATCCCAAGGAATTGAATTACAAAAATTTGACAATGACACATATGAATTACTATTGGAATTATTTGCAACACCGGCTTTATTTTATTATGCCTTTAAAGAAAAGGAAAAATTTCGCAGTGAAAGGACAATAAATTTAATAAAAAGCGATAAATTTTGGACAGAGGCGTATGATAAATTTTTCCATCACATTAAATTTTCGTTGAATAAAAGTTTAATGAACGTAATTAAAAAAAGCCTTTATAATAAACTTGAAAGAGAATTGAAACAATTAAAAAGTCGAACATTTTTGTCCTGTGAAATTCTAAAAGAATTATGTAATTATTCAAATGGAAAAGAAAATTTATCATTTTATTCTTATTTGTATAAAACTGCTGAATGGTTGTTGAAAATTGTTCTTCCTGAAAGATGTAAGAAAATCGAACTTCCAGATTTAGATAATATTTTCAATGATCAATTTATTCATGTTCAGGAGACATACAATGAAATTGAGAAAAAGGCGCTTGAAAAAATTCTAACAGACGGGAAGATAATCGACGATATGAATTTAAATACAACTGTATACTTTGCTATGGTTGATCACATGCCTATGCGTTGTTCGTTATGTCCACGATGGCCAAACAAAGTAAACAGTGACATTTTTCTCTTATTCGCAATAATTGGAAATAAGAGAAATGATTATTATGCCCTTAGACAGGAAAATAATTCTTTGAGTTTACTTACATACTACGGTAACGAAATAGACTTTGGTTTAACAGTTGGCAATGATTCATCAATAAGATTAGATACTCGATTATTTGTCAAACCTATAAAAAAGCATGATGAAGATCACAAAGTGTTTATTCAAAAGATAGCGGATATTAAGACCAAACAGTTTGTACAGGGCCTAAAGGAATATTACAGAGATCCAACAGACGCAGAGTTAGTGATAGATTTTTTGAAATCATTGGTACCATTTTATACCTGTATTCAAAATGTACAATCCGGAAACCAAGGATTATCTGCATTCAGTTGTTCCCTTGATGTCCTGAGTCTTATTCCAATAGCTGGAGTTGCAGCAAAATATTCGTCTATTATGTGGAGAAGTTTAATTAATGAAATCGCACAGGAATCCTTATTGACTCTCTCAAAACCACTTCTTAACAGATTAACTTTAACTGATGCATTATTTCACATTTTTAAATCAACCTCTCACACTGTTTCACAACAAATTCTCACTATGGGTCTCCTTCATGATTCCTCTATCGCCATTCTACGAACATTGGATCCTGGCTTTGAACTATCATACCATTTATTTAGATTCTCCCATCAAATGCTTCGAAAAATGATTCAGACCATGTCGACAAAATTAAAAAACATTCCAATGATTCAAAATCTTTTAAACAACATTAAATCAACATTGAAAATAATTAATCGGAATGGAAATTTAGTACCCGATCATACAGGACTGGTACCAAATGTCATAAGGGAGGAAAGTAATTATAAACTCGTCAGATATTTCTATCCTGGAGGTTTAAACTATTTTGGACCAACTTGTATATCGTCGTTTGGAAAAACTGCCGAATTGAGAACTGTTAAAGATGAAATATTTCAAGTTCCCGTTGTGCCATTCAAAGCCACCGGTAATTCAATATTATATCAAGAGTACAATCCAAAGCTGGGTAAAATTTCTGATGAAAAACTTAAAATGGGAGGTGACAATATACTCCGACGGATCGGTTTTTTTATCGATCAAATAGCAAGTGAAGGTGGAGATCTAAGGGTACTTCAAAATTATCACATGAATTTTAATACAGTGCATTGGCGAAAGAAATTGTTGCGCACTGTAGAAAATGACGCTAATTCACCGAATAAGGTAGATGCTTTGTTTGAAGGTGCCAAGGGTAACGGTGACGAAGTTCCAAGCGGAAGTTCCAGATTTGAAACTGATCAGGTAATGCAACCAAGTTCGTCGCAATCAATCACACCCACTGGGTCAGTTCATTCTAATCCCAAATTGGATATTACCCCAGAACATCTACCAGAATTAGTAAATCCTAATATTGAAAAATCAATTCTCAATCTTGCGGATAAATATAAGAGTACTGCACCTGATAAAGGTAAACGATTAGCTACAGATAGGAAACCTGATTTAAATGTTCTGGAGAAAAAACCAAAGTTAGAAGTGAGCGACACAAATTTAGATATTAGGCCCGGAACCTCAAAGGATATCACAGCGAATATGGATTCCGAATGGTTTGTAGCGATTGCAAGAGGTGTAATTAGAAGATTCCATAGCGAGTATCTAGCAGCTCTTTCGAACTTTAAGGAAAAGGGATTGTCCACTATTAAGAAAGATAGAGAATCTATAAAATTCTTACGTCTATTATTAGCAAATTTAGCGTTCCTGGAAATGAACACAATTAATTCAGGTGTTTTGAAACCATCCAGTCTTTGGTACACTCAAATTATAAATCGTCCAAAAGTAATTCAGTACTTAAAGAACCTAAAAGGTGGTACGTTCTTTTTCAATGACATTACACTCCTAACGGATATACCTCCCGCAGCATCTGTCGGCGAAACATCTGCCTTACTTTCTTCAAATGTAGAAGTTCGTTATCATCTAACAATCAATTCTGAATACGGTTTTGTGGATCTATCTAAATTTCATCAACAATTTACCGGCGATTATGTAGTATTCAACGATGTACAATTTAAAGTAACGGATACATTTTTCAATGACAAAAACAATATTCTAGTAATAAAATTAAAGAGCCAGGAACTCCCCAAAGAAAATTGGTTCGCCAACAGAAATCTTGAAGTACAGTCTCTAATTAAAAGGGAAAAGATCTTATCAACCAGAATGGAGAGCATTCACAATGCAGCAAATTTTATGGTTGATAATGTTCCTTGTTGCACCTACAAAATAGCTACGGAAATGTTAATGAAGTACATCCTGAAACTAAAACCAAGTCAAAGTGTTGTTCCAACCTATGAAAAATTTGCCACCGATTACTACAATAATATGAAAATACTCCCATCCTACAAGTCATGGACATTTCCAGATTGGAAATACATAAACGATCTGTTATTTGAAGACCAATTGGATGATATTCAAAATGTAGTTGAAGCATCATATAGAATTGAAATAGTTTACGATCTTCTTTATAAGCAAAATATTGAAGATGTTTATGCTAAATATAGTCAGAAATTAATGACACTAAAACGACTTATTCGTTTTGAGGATTTTTACGTTCTATATTCGAAATCAATAAAAAATTTTGAAATGAATTATGACAATCTTAATCGTTATGCAGTTTCAATTTATAGTACAATTCTTCGTCAAGCTCATGAGGAATGGATTAAGACACCAATTACAATTTATTCTGGTAAAATTGTACCGGAGACGGCATTTAAAAAGTTTTCATTATACAAGAAATTGGATCATATTAAATTCATAAATTTTAAACAACATTCGACTATTCGTGATGAGGAATTTGAAAATATTATCTTTGGTTCTAGTACCTCGTCACAGAAAGGTTTATTTTTTGAAATCGAAATAAAAAACCAAGCGGGTTTATTGGACTTGAGTTATCTTTCTGATAATCTAGAAAATATTCATATTGTTACTCCTGAAATGGTATTTATTGTTGATGAGGTAGAAAGTAGAATAATTAGCGGACAGGAGATATTATTTGTTAAAATGCATGATTTTGAAGTACCAACTGAAAAGAGAATGATTGATGTTGCTGAAAGGCTTGATGAATTGTATTCAACTGGAACTGATTTTTACTATCCGGAGTAGAGATCATTTATAAATTTATATTCTTTTATTATAATTTTATTATTACGGTTGTGTATTGTAATCAATTGTATGGGAATCTTTTTTTCTTATTAGACAAAATAGAAAAGAATCAATAAAACTGAATCTAATACTTAAATTCATTGTTTTTTTTAGAATTATCCCTTTTTTGTTTATAAAGACTTTTGTAAAAACTGCTTTCAGATACCTTGGGTTCCGCAATCCAAGGTTACATCGGGACAGTATAAATTAAATTATCATATTGGATCTTCTTATCACCACTCTTTCCAATTGAGGACTACAAAAAAGTAGCAAAAAGTCTATAACATTATTTCCAAATGTTCCTAAAATAATATATATTTCTAAAATTATTAGCAAAAATTAAAATTTTAAATTAATTTTAATATTAAATTTTAAAATATCCCCAAATGTTCCTACAGCTCCAGAAGATGTTTCTAAAGAATCATAAAAAAGAAGAGGAGGTACTCTCTCCTTAACTACTTTCGTAAGTATCCTACAGCTCTAGGAGAAGTTGCGAAACATTTTGCTAAAGATACAAGAGGTACACTAACTATAAAAAGAACCGAAGTGTTCCGTCATAGCCAGTAGAAGTGCATAGGGAATCAAAAAAATATTTAAGCGAATACTAAGCTAGTCCATTATTAATTCATTAATAATCGTAAATTAATGTTCCTCAAGGAGCAGGAGGAGTTCTTAAAGGATCTGAAAACGTATTAAGAGAATCAATAGCAATCACTAAATCCGCAAATCCTCCAAAAACACCAGCAGAAGTTTCTAAACAATTTGCAAAATGTGTAACGAAATCTACCATTTTTTATGCATCCACAATTGTTTCGAAAGCAGCAATAGAATTTTCTAAAAACAATCAGCAAAAGCTTTAGAAGAACATTTAACTTTAACTAAGCGCATCAGAAATACATCGATTAATAAGTACACTCAATAACATATATGCTGTCCTTCCGGTTTGGACAACTTTTTGAAAAGTGGTGTGCCTTCTATAAGAATTTTTTAAGTCTATGGCTTAAGTCTGTGGTTTAAGTCCATAGACTTAAAACATTATTATAGAAGGCACACCACTTTTTAAAAAGTTGTTCAAACCGGAAGGAAAGCATATATGTTATTGAGTGTACAACTTATTTCCCCTCTCCACTGTCGAGAAAACGCGTTAGACGGGTGGTCCAGGCAAATGCGAGTACTCCTAATTTTCAAGTCTCTCTGTAGGCGCAAAATTTAGTATAAGAAATAATTATAGAAATATTATAAGAGCGAAATTTGTAAAGAGACACTTGTATAGCCAAGTATGTAAGGCTGAAGACAGGTGTATAAACAAAAAAATTAATAAATAAGTACAACTTGTTAAATTTTCAAGAAGAATTAATTTAGAAATAAATCTAAGTTATAATAAAAGTTTCGAGAATTCTAATAAAAATTTGTTCTGAGGGTGACAATAGTTCGAGTGACATGGAAATCCCCAAGAATACAATACATTATATCTCAATAGTGTAAACAACCAGCCTAAAACTCAACCATTGAAAAAACTAACTTAAGGTTGTGATTTTAGTTCAAAGCGTTAAGTAAATTTTTTTCCCTTAAGGTAATTAAAGAAACGATTAGTGATCAAGCATTTTTATTTCATCATTACAACAATATTTTTTATAATTGACTCATTCGTTCAATAAATTGAAAGAAGAGCAATCGTTTTACTTTGGTACTTTAATTATTTCAACTTTTACATAATATTGCTTATTCTTTTTGTCAGCCTTTACAATCTGTAGAATACCATCTACACCCATTTCCAGTGTTTCCTTATTAACATGTCCCGTATTCATATCAAATTCACGAAAGTAAGGTTTTTGCTCCTCCGTCTTTATCCGCTTAACGTAAGATTTTCCCTCTCTTCCTCTAATCGTTCTAATTTCCACTATTTCTCCAAAAGCTTCGGCACATTTTGGTCCAATATAATTATTCCCACCTGGGTAATAGTATCGTATCATTTGATGATTCCCACTTTTTTTAGTAAGAACCTTTCTCGCTAATCCTCCTAAATCAGACGTTACTACCATTTTTTCCAAATTCGTCGTCATTGTTTTCAATACTTGCAGAAGATTTTTGTTTAATGAAAATTTTTTAAATCTCTTATACATCAACTGATATGTACTGTGTAGTGTCTTATAGCCAAGTTTACCTAAACGGAAACAAAGTTCAAATCCAGGATCAATTTGTCGAAGAAAGAAGAATGCGACTTTCTTTAAAAAATTCGTGTTGATAATTTGCTTTGCGACAGTTGTTACTGTTATTTTTGATAATTGTAATAAACCCAATTTGAGACCTTCCTTTAATCCTAGGGTGGCAATTTTTACGGAATTTTCGGATACAGCTCTTAATAGACTACCACTAAGGACATTTGCAAATTTAGATGAATAACCAGTAAGTGGAATAAGACTTATAACATCCAGAGAACAGCCTAATGTTGCTTCGACAATATTATTGTCTATTATATCTTCAATGCAGGTGTAAAATGGAATGAGCAATTTTAAGTAACCAAAAATTTTCTCACCAGTAGTTGGATCATTGTAGTACGTCATTAGGCTGTTTACGTACTTTTTCGTCTTCATATCCGCAACTCTTGAAATAAATGAAGTGTAATCTTCATTGATTCTTTTCAAAATCATTGCGTGTGTAAAAATTTCCATTCTAACCGATGAATCATTAACGATTGCTTTCGAAAATGATTGCTCATCGCCACTGTTTATAATCAAAGTCAAAATATTGTTCTCCTGTGTAAAGGCATAAAATTCATTCTCCCCATTTTTTATAATAGCAAAAATCAAATAGATGTCAATATTCGGTATTCTTGGCTTTGGTGAACACATATTACAACGTTGTGGATAGGGAGGAACGTTCGCAATTTTCACAACGGCGTCAAAAGTAATTTTTTCAATTAAGCCACTATCGACTAAAACCTGTCTTAATGTATTCCTTTCAATTTTATTATAAGTCTCCCTTACATACTTAAATTGAGCTCCATAATAATCGTTCAAACTTGGAAGATCATCACATGAAGCAAATGTAATTTTTGCCAACCAATGAGGCTGTGTCTTAAATGATGACACATCATCGTCAGAAACATAATTACCATATGGAAATTTACAATGATTGTTTAATATTTCAGTGGCAATAACTGTACGGCTCTTTAACAATTCCCTTTCAGTTCGAAGTTTATCATAAAGATTATTATCAATAATTTCTTGCACAATATTATTAACTGAAGAATGAAAATATGAAAAGAATTTCTGATATGCTTCATTCCAGAATTTATCATCTAATTTGGAAATTTGATTATCAAACTGCGATTTTTCATTATAGGCATAATAAAATAGTGCGGGTATTGAAAATAAAGATAAAAACATCTTATAAGTTGGTTCATCGTCAACTTGTTGATAATCAAGCTCTTGGGCAATTATTAGACAATTTTTAAAATCACATAATGGTACATCACCTGGTGTTGAACGGACAATTTTTAAACCAATCATTGCATATATATAGTCAACGTCCATTATACTCATTTCTGTTGATTGTGGTTCGGGAAATATTTGCCAAATATAATCGTTGAAAATTTTTTCCATTGCAAAATCAGTGAGTTTTGTATTCGTTTTGCCATCTTTTGAACAATAATCCCGAATTTGGTAATTTTGGGAAAAGTGGTTAAACACGTTTTCCTTAAATACCGAATATGTTATGTCGTCAGATTGTCGAATTACTCGAGCTAAATATTCGTTAATGTTACCGTAGTGAGCAAAGAGTGTAGTACCAATGAGGTATTGATAGGTTTCATTAACGTATTTCATGTCTAGTTCTTGATAATCACCACCACCGTATAAATCCGTTCCCTTCAACATTTTGTGTAGCAGTTGAAATTTCGTGTCTGATTCATTTTCCGAACTGTCGAGATAATCGAACAATTTATTTAGTATAATGATCGTCTGATTGCTTTCATCGATTGTAATTAAATTTTCCTGGTTAAAAATGATCCCCAAGTTGATAATATAGTGACAGACTGAGAGAAACTGAAAGTCTACTGGAACCTGAAGGAAAATTGAATTCTCCATATTGTGAGAGGATTTTCTCTCCGCGCCTTTAAAGATTTCTGTAGAATTCTTTTTTTAGTTCACCTAAAAAGATTAGATATTGTGAATAAGTTTCTTTTTAAAATAAGGTACTCCGAATTGAAGGAGTTTTTTTACTTACACTTGTACTAATTTCATCAGGCGTGACACAACAACTGGACAAATGAAAACGATATGGAAGCGAAGCATTGAATCTTAATCTTATATTTATAGTCGTTTCATAACTTTTTAGTAAAAAAACTATTTTGCAAATATTTTTTACGACCAACTGTTAAAATTAGTTTTTTTAATGTTGTCTTATCGCAATTATTTCAAGGTTTTTGCGAACAAGTCGATTTACTGCTTTAAAATTTTTAATTTACTAAATTCATAAGATGATGATTATTATGGTAATGATAATGACATTAATAGATTTAAATGGATCCGCAAATATTGCCAAAAACCAGGAGAAATATCTAAAGAGACATTTAAAAACACAAATTAATCTGTAGCCTACTTAACTGCATCAGCAAACTTTGCTGCATCACCAAGATAGATTTTTAAACAATCAGCAAAAAATTTAGAAGGATCTTCAACTGCAACCCACAAGTGTTCCTAAAGTACCAGGAAAAGTTTTTAAATAAATCAATGAAAATATTAGAAGCATCAGAAATTTTCACTAAATCTGCAAATCTTCATAAAACACTAAAAGCAATTTTTTAAGGAATCATCAAAAGATTCAAAGTCGTCGTCAGTTTTAGATATATTTTCAAAAAAATTTTAAAAGTCTTGATAAATTTTTAGAGATTAAGCTAAACATTTACCGGAAATCAAGAAAAGATTTGGAAGTATCTTTATCTTTAGATCTTTATCTTTTACGATCTTTTTTTTATTATTATCTTTTTTTTATTAAAAAACCGTCCGTAAATGTACCCAAATTATCAGAAGTTTACAAAGAATTAGCCATAGATGTAGTAAATGACATTAGCTATAGCCATATTTTCAAATGTTCCTGCATAACCAGAAGAGGCTTCAATGAAATCAGAAAAAAATTCGAAACAATCGTTAGATATAAGGGTATCTGCAAATGTTTCTGAACCATCAGAAGAAATTTCTAACGATTCAGCAAAGGATTTAAAAGGATCTTAGTCAACAAAATTATAGATTGTTTCTAAAGCAACAAAAAATGTTTTTAAGGATGCAGAAAAATATTTAGATGAATCTCAAGCTACATCATCAAACACAAATTTTCCTAAAACACTAGAGGTTTCTGTATTATTAGTCCAAACATTAATAAAAATATCGTTAGTAAAAGATGTTATTTGTTTTTTAAAAAATCAATCCAAATTTATTCAAACGATTATTTATGTCAAATGTGAAGCTTTTCGTCCATCAACGATTTAGAAAAATGTTCCATATCTTCAGAAATACCTAGTAATTCTATCAATAAAAAAACTGATTTAACTTCCTTAAATCAGATATACCATACACTTATTATAAATACTAATTAATTTATTAAAAACTTTCTATATAACGACATAGGAAGTTATCAGTTTGTTTTTCTTTTTTTGTTTTTAATAAGAATAAGTTTAAATTTTTTTTTTCAAAGTTTTTTGAATTAATTTTTATTATTTTCATTTCACTTTATCAAATTTTAATGTTTTAAAAATAAAGTTGTTTTTCATTTTAAATTTGATTGATATAGTGGTTTTCTTTTTTACCATTTATGAATATAGTTATGAACTGAACCTTTTAAATGTATCAAATTCAGATTTTTCTCTCCTCTACTTACTAACCGATATACATATCTGTCATATCAAGACACGTGTTGTTCCCTGTTCAGAACCTTAAAGGGACAAAATACCCGCCAATATGACCCTTTCAAAGATCTCAACGTTTTGGATGCAAAAAACGGACTTTTTATATGATGATTGTTTTGTAAAATTTTATTAGAATTATATATGTGATGAAAGGTATCCACATTGGTAAGTTGAGGTTATGTACATAATGTTACTATAATGGAATATAATAACAGTATTGTTTTTGTTTTTATGAACCGTTAACTTATGTTAAATAATAATAATTTGCAGTTTCCACATAAATTGTCTGAAGAGGTCCATCGTCGATGGACGAAAAGCTTCACATTTGACATAAATAATTGTTTGAATAAATGTGGATTGATTTTTTAAAAAACAAATAACATCTTTTACTATATTAGAACAATCCAAAAAAGTTAAACATCTTTAAAAATTAAAAACATCGCTAAATATTATTTCGCTTTCTAGGTTTCTTTATCAAAATTTTTCTTTGTATCTCTATCGTGTACGTGTAGTTTTACTGCTTTAAAACTTTAGCATTATTCAATTCAAAATTAATTTCACTAATTATACATAATAAATTCATTTAGATCTACAAGAATGCCTAAAATACCAACCATTCCAGGAGAAGTTTGTATGAAATCAAAAAAAATTTTAAAGAATCTTTACAGTTGCAGCATAATCAGAACATGTTTCTGAAGAACATTTTAAAGTTCTTTCTGAAACGCATTTGTAATTCTTTTGACATCCGCGAAAATGTAAATAGAACGAACAATGACGGGTATCAAACCCTTAAGGAACTAATCGTAACTGCTAAAAAATGCTTTTAGCAGCAGATAGAGTAATCAAGGAAGATTAGTAATGGCATAAGTCGTATAAAAAAAATCCCAGAGATTTTTCCCTACAAAGTTTACAGCTTGACAGTATTCATAGGAAAATAAAAGTACAATAAAAGACCAAAAGCAAAAAAGAGTTTCGAAGAGATTTATATCATAAAATATCTGTCGCTGTTTGGGAAGCATTAACACCACTACCAAATTTTGCTAAATCTCTATATTTATTAATATATTTAAAAAGTATTTAAAATTCCAAGATGGAAATCAGAAGATCAGATGATTCTCTAAATAAAATGACAAATTTGCTTAAAGGTAAATAAAAATAATTTAAACCAAAATTATTTAAAAAAATTATTTTGCTACTGCTGTTTTATAACTCGTTAAATATTGTTTCCCATTCCATAATTTCTTATCAATCTGTTTTCAAGGTTTCTGTTCTTGTGCAAAAGTAATTTTACTGCTTCAAAATGTTGTCTTTCTTAAAAACTTTAAAAAACATAGTATTTTATTTTATTGTAAAATTAATAATTTTCATACTTCATTACAAAAAGTTGAATTCCATACATAATTAATTAAAATATCTACTTCCTCAAACAATTAAAATAATAATGAAATCATACAATATTTGCGTAAATATTAAAAAGTAAATTAAATATTAATTTAAAATTGATTGTTACAACTAAATCCGCAACTTTTATTAAAATATTAGATGTTTCTAAAGAATCTACTAAAGATACAGGAGAAACAACAACTTTAACAACAATCGCGTAAAATTTTAGAAATTAAGCTAAACATTTAACGGAAATCAGAAAAAGATTTCAAAAGATCTTTAGATAAAAAACTATCCGTGAATGTACCCAAGTTATCAGAAGTTTACAAAGAATTGTCAATAGATGTAGGACTGACATTAGCTAGAACAACATTTTCAAATGTTTCTGCATAGATAGGAGAAGTTTCATAGGAAACATCAAAAAAATTTTAAACAATCTTTAAGCTGTAAGAATGTCCACAAATGTTTCTAAAACATCAGAAAAAATTTCTAACGAGTCAGCGAAAGATTTAAAAAGATCTTAACAGACAAAATTATCCGCTGTTGTTTCAAAAGCAGCAAAAAATTTAGAAGAATCTCAAGCTACATCATCAAACCCAAATTTTTCTTAGAAACTAGAGGTTTCTAAATTATTAGACAAAGCATGAATAAAAATATCGTTAAATATTATTTCGCTTTCTAGGTTTCCTTATCAACATTTTTTCTTGGTATCTGTATTGTGCACGTGCAATTTTACTGCTTTAAAACTTTAACATTATTCAATTTAAAATTAATTTCACTAATTATAATAAAACCAACTAGATCCACAAGGTTACATAAAATGTGAACCCATCCCCCTCTGGAAAAGTTTGAATGAAATAAAAAAAATTTAGAAGAATCTTTAGAGTTGCAGCATAATCAGAACATGTTTTTAAAGAACTAAAGAGATGATTCTAAGGAATCAAAAAATGTTTCTTTTAATTTCTGAAGGCCTTTTAACATTAACTGCATCTACAAGTGTTTGTAAAGCACCAGAAGAAAAAAATCTTCAAAAGTATTAGGAGCATCAAGGACATATAGTAAATATACAGTTCGTCCTAAATTATCAGGAGCAATTTGTAAAGAGCCATTGAAAGGCCCTATGGGAACAGTTTCTTTAATTACATCAGCAAATCTTCTTAAAACATTCATTAATACGCGAATCTTCCTAGAGCACCATAATAATTTCAAAAAATCTGGAAAAGTATTAGTAGCGTTTATTACAATCACTAAATCCGCAAATGTTCCTAAACTACCACGAGGTTTTGGTCTTTTAAAGATAGGACAAGAAATCATAAAAATGATTAAATCTTGTGACATACAAAAAATGTGAATAGGGCTATCAAAGACAAGTTTAAAACTCTTCAGAAACTAGTCGTAACTGATAAAAAATGCACCTAACAACAGATAGACCAATCAAGGAAGATTGGTAATGGCACAGGTCGTACAAACGAAATCCCAAAGATTTTGCCTTACAATGTTTACAGCCTTACAGTAATTCGATAGGAAAATAAAAGTCCAGTCAAAGGCAAAAAGCGAAAAAGAGTTTCGAAGAGATTTATAGCCTGAAATATTTGTTGCTGTTAAAGAAGCATTAACTGAAATACCAAATTTAACTAAATCTCCATATTTATTTATATATTTAAAATTGCAAGATAATAATCAAGATCAGATTATTCTTTAAATGAAATGACAGATTTGCTCAGTAAAAGAAAAAAATTAGAAAAAAATTATTTTACAAAATAATTTTATTATTGTTCTTTTATAACCCGTTAAATGTCGTTTCCCATTCTTTAAATGTTCGCTTCCTTATCAATCTGTCTTCAAGGTTTCTGTTCTTATGCAAAAATAATTTTACTGTTTTAAAATTTCGAATTTCTTACAAATTTAATAAGAATATGGTATTTAAAATTACTGTAAAATGAATAATTTTTATACTTTATTACCAATTAATGTTGAATTATATACATAATTAAATAAAATATCTACTTCTTTAAACAAATCAAATAATTATTAAATAATACAATATTTGTCTAAATATTAACTAAATATTGATATTTCAATTGCAATAAAATAGTCCACTTGGCTTGAAGAAATATATTATAAATATTTTATATAATATTTTATAAATCATAAAAAGTCTTTCCCTTTTCCAAATGTTTTTGAAAGCATAAGAGATGCTTCTAAGTCATAATTAAAAAATGTAGAAGGTATACTAAATTTAAACACATACCCTTGTGTTCCTATGGCTTCAAGAAAAGTTTCTAAGGAATCATAAATAAATTTAGAATCATCTTTAGCTACAAGATAATCCACAACTATTTTTAAAATATTAGAATATGTTTCTAAAGAATGTACTAAAGATACAGGATGTAAACTGAATTTATTAACAACCGCAAATGATTCTAAACAACCAGTAACACTTGCTAAGTAATCCTCGAAAACACTAGCAAAAGTTTCAAAAGAATCTATAAAAGATGTAACGGAATCTACAGCTTTTTCTTCTAAAGAATATAGAAAAATATTATGAGCATCAACGATATTCACTAAATTCACTAATCTTCCAAAAACATCATAAGAAGTGCCTAAAAAAACTTAAAAAGTATAAGGAATATCAACGACAGAAGTTTCTGAAGAATCATCAAAAGTATTAGGAGCATCAGCGATCCTTATTACATCCGTAAATCTCCCAAAAATCCAGAAGCAATATGTAAATAGCCACTGAAACACCTAAAGGATTTTGCAGCTATAACTGATTTAGGAAATGTTTCTAATACATTACTAAAAGCATCTTTAACTAAATTTAAGTCTTAACTTCTGTCAATTCTAAGGGTATGATTATTGATCAAAAAATGTTGTTAAGTTTTATTCCTTAGGGTAATTAAACAAACGATTAGTGACAAAATTCTTTTTATTTTATCATTACAGCAGTAATTTTTCTAATTGACTCATTCGTTCAATAAATTAAAAGAAGAGCAATCGTCTTACTTCGGTACTTTAATTATTTCAACCTTTACATAATATCCCTTAGCCTTCTTGTCAGCCTTTACAATCTGTAGAATTCCATCTACACCCATTTCCAGTGTTTCCTTATTAACATGTCCCGTATTCATATCAAATTCACGAAAGTAAGGTTTTTGCTCCTCCGTCTTTATCCGCTTAACGTAAGATTTTCCCTCTCTTCCTCTAATCGTTCTAATTTCCACAATTTCTCCAAAAGCTTCGACACATTTTGGTCCAATATAATTATTCCCACCTGGGTAATAGTATCGTATCATTTGATAATTCTCACTTTTTTTAGTAATAACCGTTTTCGCTAATCCTCCAATATCAGAAGTTTTTACCATTTTGTCCAAATTCGTCGTCATTGTTTCCAATACTTGCAGCAGATTTCTGTTTAATGAAAATTTTTTAAATCTCTTATACATCAACTGATATGTACTGTGTAGTGTCATATAGCCTTGTTTACCTAACCGGTAACAAAGTTCAAATCCAGGATCAATTTGTCGAAGAAAGAAGAATGTGACTTTCTTTAAAAAATCCGTGTTGATAATTTGTTTTGCGACAGTTGTTACTGTTATTTTTGATAATTGTAATAAACCCAATTTTAGAACTTCCTTTACTCCAAGGGTGGCAACTTTTACAGTCCTTTCGGTTACAGCTCTCAACAGACTACCACTTAGGGCATTTGCAAATTTCGATGAAAAACCAGTAACTGGAATAAGACTTATAACATCCAGAGAACAGCCTAATGTTGCTTCGCCAATATTATTGTCTATTATATCTTCAACGCAGGTGTAAAATGGAATGAATAATTTTAAATAACTGAAAATTTGCTCACCAGTAGTTGGATCATTGTAGTACGTCATTAGGCTGTTCACGAAGTTGTTCGTTTTCATGTCCGCAATTCTTGAAATAAATGAAGTGTAATCCTCATTGACATATTTAAGAGCCTTTGCGAATGGAGAAATTTCCATTCTTAACGACGAATCATTAGCGATTATTTTAGAAAATTCTTCTCCATCGGCACTGTTTATCATCAAAGTCAAAGTATTATTCTTCTGTCTAAAGGCATAAAATTCTTCTTCCTTATTTTTCACAATAGCGAATATCAAATAAATATCCATATTCGTTTTTCTTGGCCATCTTGGACACATACTACAATGTTGAGAATAGTGAGGAACCTTTGCAATTTTTACAACGGCATCTAAACTCATTCTTTCAATTAATCCACTGTCGACTAAAACCTGTCTTATTGTATTGCTCTCAATTTGCCTATAAATCTCCCTTACATATTTAAATTGACCTTGATAATAATCTGTCAAACATGGAAGATCATTACATGAAGTAAATGTGGCATTCGCCACCCAACAGGGCAGTGTCTTAAACAATGAAATATCAAAGTCTTCAGGATAAAATTTACAATGATTGATTAATATATCTTTGGCAATAGTTGTACGACTCTGCAATAAATCTCTTTCAGTTCGAAGTTCATCATAAAGATTATTATCAATAATTTTTTGCACAAAATTATTAACTGAAGAATGAAAATATAAAAAGAATTTCTGATATGATTCATTCCAGAATTTATTATCTAGTTTGGAAATTTGACTATCAAACTGTGATTTTTCATTATAGGCATAATAAAATAGTGCTGATGTTGAGAATAAAGTTAAAAACATCTTATAAGTTGTTTCATTGTTGTCTTCTGAATAATCAAGCTCTTGGGCAATTATTAGACAATTTTTAAATTCACATAATGGTACATCACCTGGCATTGAACGGACAATTTTTAAACCAATCATTGCATATATATAATCAACGTCCAATATACTCATTTCTTTTGATCCTGGTTCAGGAAATATTTGCCAAATAAAATCATCGAAAACTTTCCTCATTGCTAAATCGGTGAGTTTTACTTTTGTTTCGCCATCTTTTGTACAATAATCCCGAATTTGATAATTTTGGGAAAAGTGGTACCACACGATTTCCTTAAATATTGAGTACGTTATGTCGTCAGATTGTCGAATTACTCGAGCTAAATATTCGTTAATGTTACCGTAGTGAGCAAAGAGTGTAGTACCAATGATGTATTGATAGGTTTCATTAACGTATTTCATGTCAAGTTTTTGATAATCACCACCACCATAGATATCCGTTCCCTTCAGCATTTTGTGTAGCAGTTCAAATTTCGTGTCCGATTCATTTTCCGAACTGTGGAGATAATTGAACAATGTATTCAGTATAATGATCGTCTGATTTCGTTCACCATGTGTTATTAAATTTTCCTGGTTAAAAATAATTCCCAAATTGATAATGTAATGACACACAGATAGAAACTGAAAGTCTACTGGAACCTGAAGGAAAATGGAATTCTTCATATTGTAAGAGGATTTTCTTTCCGCGCCTTTAAAGATTTCTGCAGAATTCTTAATTGTTTTAGTTCACCTGAAAAGATTAAATATTTATTGTACATAAGTTTCTTTTTTAAATAAGGTACACTGAATTATTGGAGTTTTTTTTACTTACACTTGTACTAACTTCATCAGGCGTGACACAACAACTGGAAAAATGAAAACGATATGGAAGAGAAGCACTGAAACTTAATCTGGTGTTTATAGTTGTCGCTTAACTTTTTGGTAAAAAAAACTATTTCGCGAATATTTTTTTACGACCAGTTGTTGGAAATAGCTTTTTTAGTGTTGTCTTATCGAAATTATTTCAAGGATTTTGTGAACATGTGGATTTACTGCTTCAAAACTTTAAATTTATAATATTCCTAAGATGATGATGTTGATGGTAATGATAATAATAGATTTAAATGGATAGTCAAGAATACCTAAAATAATAACCAGCAAGAGAAATTTTTATGGAGGCAACAAAATATTTTGAACGATCGCTTCCCTCCTTGTGGACACAAAATTACATGGGATCGTGGACATTTTCAAACTTCTTTAAACCCCCCTCCCCCCAAAAGTGTTCATGTGGTATATGGACGACATCTTACAAAGAATTGTCAATAGATGTAGAACTGACATTAGCTAGAACAAACATTTTCAAGTGTTCCTGTATATCTGGGGGAAGTTTTAAAGGAATCAGCAAAAAATTTTAAACAATTCAATTTATTAATTGAATTAAAAATATTTCTAAACATCAGAAAAAATATCTAACGAGTCAGTTTTTAAATAGTAGAAGATGCTTCTAAACAATCTACTAAAAATACAGGAGAAACAACAACTTTAACAACAATCGAAAATGTTTCATAGCTGACAGAAGAAGTGCCTAGGAAATCAAGAAAAAATTTAAATAAATACTAAGCTTTACCATTATTCATAAATATTCCTAAAGTACCAGGCAGAGTTTTTGAAGAATCTAGTTTTCTAGATTCTTCAAAAACTCTGTATTAGGAGCATCAACAATATTCACTAACTGCGCAAATCCTCGTAAACACTAGAAAAAGTTTCTAAAGAATATACAAAAGATAAAACGGAATCAACAGTTTTTTCTGCATCCACAATTGTTTCTATAACAGCAGGAGAAGCTTCTAAAAACAATTATATCGAAAGATTTATAAGAACTGTTAACGTCAACTGAGTGCATCCGCAATTGTTCCTAAAGCACAAAGCGAAGCTTCTAAAAAATATAGAAAAATATTACGAGCATCAACGATATTCACTAAATCCACGAATCTTTCTAAAACACCAGAAGAAGTTTCTAAAAAAGACCTGGAAAAGTATTAGGAGTATCAACGACGTTCAATAAATCCGCAAATCTTCCTAAACACTAACAGAAGTTTCTGAAGAATCTGCAAAAATATTAGGAGTATCAACGACACTTATTAAATCCGTAAATTACTAAACGCATCTTTAACTAAATTTAAGGATTAACTTCTGCCAGTTTTCTGGACTTTTGGTTATATAGATTAAAACATTTTGTAAATTTTTGTTCCTAAGGGTAATTAATCAAACGATTAGTGATTAAATTGTATTTATTTCATCATTACAGCAGTATTTTTTGTAATTGACTCATTCGTTCAATAAATTAGAAGATGAGCTATCGTCTTATTCCGGTACTTTAATTATTTCAACCTTTACATAATATCCCTTACCCTTCTTGCCAGCCTTTACTGTATGTAGAGTACCATCTACACCCATTTCCAATATTTCCATATTAACTTGTCTCGTATCCATATCAAATTCTCGATAGTAAGGTTTTCGATCCTCGGTTTTTATCCGCTTGACGTAAGATTTACCCTTTCTTCCTCTAATCGTTCTAAGTTCCGCTATCTCTCCAAAAGCTTCGACACATTTCGGTCCAATATGATTTTTCCCACCTGGGTAATAGTACCGTATCACTTGATAATTATCACCTTTTTTAGTAATAACCTTTTTCGCTAAACCTCCAATATCAGAAGTTTTTACCATTTTATTCAAATTCGTCGTCATTGTTTCCAATACTTGCAGAAGATTTTTGTTTAATGAAAATTTCTTAAATCTCCTATACATCAACTTATACGTTCTGTGTAGTGTCTTATAGCCTTGTTGACCTAAGCGGAAACAAAGTTCAAATCCAGGATCTATTTGTCGAAGAAAGAAGAATGTGACTTTCTTTAAAAATTTCTTGTTGATAATTTGTTTTGCGACAGTTGTTACTGATATTTTTGTTAATTGTATTAAACCCAGTTTTAGAACTTTCTTAATTCCAAGGGTAGCAATTCTAGCAGAGCTTTTTGTTGCAATTTTTAATAAACTAGCCCTTACGCCATTTGCAAATTTTGTTGAATAACCAACACCTGGAATAAGACTTACAACATCAATAGAGCAGCCTATAATTGCTTCGACAACTTTATAGTCTATTATATCTTCAACGCAGGTGTAAAATGGAATGAATAATTTTAAATAACCGAAAATTTCCTCTCCTGTAGTTTGATCATTATAGTACGTGAATAGGCTGTTCACCATGTCTTTTGCCTTCATATCCGCAACTCTTAAAATAAATGAAGTGTAATCTTCATAGACATTTTTAAGAGTTTCTTCGGTAAAAGAAATTCTTTCTATTTTGAGAGACGGATCATTAACAACTGCTTTAGAAAAGCCTCTTTCATCAGCACTGTTTGTCAACAAAGTCAAAGTATTATCCTTCTGTTTCAAGGCATAATATTCTTTCTTCTTATTTGTTATAATGACGAATATCATATAAATGTCATTCTTCGTGTTTATTAGATTTACCGGTGTAGAAAAATTATTAAAATAAAAAGATTCAGGAACTCTTACAATTTTTACAACGGCGCCTAAAGTCATTTTATCAATTAAGCCACTATCGACTATAACCTGTCTTAATGTATTGCTTTCAATTTGCATATAAATCAACCTTACATACTTGAATTGAGCTTTATAATAATCGGTCAAACTTGGAAGATCTTTACATGAAGTAAATGTAGTTTTCACCATCCAATGGGGTAGTGTCTTAAATAATGCCACATCATTGTCATCAGGCTTAAATCCACAATGATTGGTTAATATTTCTTTAGCAATAACTGTACGATTTTTTAACAATTCCCTTTCAGTCAGAAGTTTATCATAAAGATTATTATCAATAATTTCTTGCACAAAATTATTAACTGAAGAATGAAAATATAAAAAGAATTTCTGATATGCTTCATTCCAGAATTTATCATCTAGTTTGGAAAGATTATCAAACTGTGATTTTTCATTATGGGCATAATAAAATAGTGCGGATGTTGAGAATAAAGTTAAAAACATATTATAAGTAGTTTCATTGTCATCCTCTTGAAAATCAAGCTCTTGGGCAATTATTAGACAATTTTTAAATTCACATAATGGAACATCACCTGGTGTTGAACGGACAATTTTTAAACCAATCATTGCATATATATAATCAACGTCCAATATACTCATTTCTTTTGATTCTGGTTCGGGAAATATTTGCCAAATATAATCGTTGAAAACTTTCCTCATTGCTAAATCGGTGAGTTTTGTATTTGTTTTGCCATCTTTTGAACAATAATCCCGAATTTGGTAACTTTGGGAAAAGTGGTTAAACACGTTTTCCTTAAATTCCGAATAGGCTATGTTGTCGGCCTGCCTAATTACTCGAGCTAAATATTCATTAATATTTCCGTAGTGAGCAAAGAGTGTAGTACCAATGATGTATTGATAGGTTTCACTCACGTATTTGTTGTCAAGTTGCTCATCATCACCACCACCGTATAAATCCGTTCCCTTCAACATTTTGTGTAGCAGTTGAAATTTCGTTTCTGATTCATTTTCTGACCTGTGGAGATAATTGAACAATGTATTCAGTATAATGATCGTCTGATTGCTTTCATCGATTGTAATTAAATTTTCCTGGTTAAAAATAATTCCCAAATTGATAATGTAGTGACACACAGAGAGAAACTGAAAGTCTAGTGGAACCTGAAGGAAAATTGAATTCTCCATATTGTGAGAGGATTTTGTCTCCGCGCCTTTAAAGATTGTTGCTGAATTCTTCAGGTTTTTAGTTCACCTGAAAAGATTAAATATTTATTGTACATAAGTTTCTTTTTAAAATAAGGTACACAGAATTATTGGAGTTTTTTCACTTACACTTGTACTATTTTCATCAGGCGTGACACAGAAACTGAATAAGTGGACACGACATGCTAGCGAAGCATTGAAACTTCAGCTGATATTTATAGTCGGTGCATAAGTTTTTGTTAAAAAAATCGATTTCGCGAATATTTTTTACGACCAGCTGTTGGAAATAACTGTTTCAGAGTTGTCTTATCAAAATTATTTCAAGGTTTTTGTGAACAAGTCGTTTTACTGCTTTAAAACTTTTAATTCATAAATTTCATAAGATGATGAAGTTGATGAAGATGATAATCCGGAAGTCTTCCTAAAACATCTATGACCGCAAATGTTCCTAAACCACCAGAAAAAATTTCTAAAGAGTCAGCAAAAAATTTAGAAGGATCTAATAGGCTACAACATTATCCGCTAATATTTTTAAATCATCAAAAAATGTTTCCAAGGAAGCAGCAAAAAATGTATAACAATCTTAAGCTACATCATAATCCGCAAATATTCTTAAGAATCTAGAAGTTTCTAAAATATTATTTAAAGCGTTAACAGAAATATAGTTAAATATTATTTCGCTTTCTATACTTATCAAAATTTTTTCACGGTATCTGTATTCTGCACGTGTAAGTTTTACTGCTTTAAAACTTTTACATTATTAAATTTAGAATTAATTTAACCAATAAGAACAGATTCCACTAGATCCACAAGAATATATAAAATATCAACCCCCAGGAAAAGTTTCCATGGAATCATAAAAAAATTTAGAAGAATCTTTATAGCTGCAGCATCATCAGTAAATGTTTTTAATGAACCAGAAGATATTTTTAAAGAAACAAAAAAATTGTAAAACCATCTTTACGTAGTTAATCCGCAAATGCTTCTAAAGCACCAGGGGAGGTTTCTGAAAAAATTAACAAAAATATTAGGAGCCAAACATCATTGATTTCTTTGATGTGCTGGGAGAAGTGGTCCCGCTGCCAGACACGACTGGCATCATGGATATGTTCGGTAGACCTTGGCGTGGTGACGGGGCTTTTCACTAAAGGGCAACCAAACAGCAAGAAAGAATGGATTCACAAAATTCAAAGAAAGAACCCCATGTGAGCAGGCCGGAAACGGGAAATCTCACCATCGGTCCCAGGACTAATGCTCAAGTGCGCGCGGATTTTGGGGGCGCACAATTTCTTGCAGTGCCACGGGTGATCGTGGAAAGATTAAATCCACAGAACATCGTGGAAGGAGAAAAAAATGAGAAAAGGAAGCGCGTCGAGCCTTCTGAGTGTGTCAAGCTGCAGTAGCGGAAAGACCGTACATAGCGCTACCTACTCAGAAGTAGACGACGAGGCGATAGAAGAGAATCGTGAGATATGCTCGCGGCTCAGAAAGGAGGAGGCGACTTGCCTTGACAAAATGGAGTTGAAAGTCGCAAAGATGATGGTGACATTCAGAAAAACGTCAATAGGACGGTAAAAGATAGCCTCAGAGCCATCGAAGTCCTGTTGAAAGAGGCAAAAGTAAAGCATGTCGCGGCCGATGAGTCGGACTTCGATTTAGCATTTGTTCTCAGCGGTGCGGAGTGTAACCACAAGGACCGTAAGGAAAAGAGAGAGCGTTCCTATAGGCGTAATCTCAAAAGCGTCATAAGAGATGCTCAGAAACGGAAGCGAGAGGGTGACAGTCCAGAGGAGACTAGAACCTAAACCGATAAGAGGAAAAAGGAGGAAGCTCCTCCTATGGAAAAGGAAGTACCAGATCCAAAGATTCCTCAATTGGAAAGAATGAGGTCAAAAAGATCCGCAGTTCTAATCCGAGTCGGTCAAGGATTAACGTATGCAGACGTTCTGGGTAAACTTCGCAAAGAGCTCAACCCGGACGACTGCCATACGAGAATAGTAAAAGCAAAAAGAAAAAGAATGGAGACCTACTGATTAAGATCAGAGGAGGCTCCGACAAGGACGCTTTCACTGCTGAGATCACCAAAGCGGTTGAAAGCATGGGTAAGGTGCAGTCGTTGGATCGAAGAGTTACACTCGAAATCCGTGATTTGGATTGCCTTACCCAAGAATCCGAGGTACAACAAGTATTGTCGGAAGCGATAGGAAAGCCAGGAAGCAGGAGAGTGACGGTCTTAGGACCCAACCACCGAAGGATGAAGCTCGCGGTTGTAGTCAGCAACCTGGAAGAGGCGAATAGGCTGGAGAAATTGGGACACAAAAAATTGGTTTTATGTGTTGCCCAATTAAAAAAAAGGAGCATCAACGACAATCACTAAATCCGAAAATCTTCTTAAAGTATCAGGAGAAATATCTGAAGAATCTGCAAAAGTATTAGAAGCATCAGGATGTATCACATATTATCTATTAGCATATAATACTTATCATTATCGAATAACAGATTAGGGTATAAATTTCTAATACCAGATCTTAGACTAAAAAGTCCAGTCAAAGACAGAAGTGGTTTTTAGTGATCTAAGATTCATCCAGATATTTAATTATGCAGATTATATTTAAATAAATATTTAACATTTCAAGATAATAATCAAAAGATAAAATAGTTAATCTCTAAATAAATAAAAAATTTGCTCAAATGTAAAGGAAAAAATTAGAAGGACAAAATTTATTTAAAAAAATTATTTCACCACCGTTTTTTTATAACTCGTTAAATATTGTTTCCCATTGTATAGTTTCTTATCAACATTTTCTTCAAGGTTTCCATTCTTGTGCACGAATAATTTTACTGTTTCAAAATGTTGCCTTTCTTACAAACTTCAATAAAAATGATATTTTAGTTTACTGAAAAATTAACAATTTTCACACTTCATTAGAATAAATTAAGTTCCATACATATTTAATTAAAACTATCTATTTCATAAAAAATTCACAAAATAATTAATTAACACAATGTTTGCACAAACTAAATATTGATATTTCAATAGAAGAAAAATATTCCACGTGGCAAAGAAAAATATTATATATTATTTAATTTCCAAGTCGATAGTTCCCCCTTTTTGCTAAAACAATTCCGTTTTCAATTATTATAATTTAAATTAATAATTTATCAAGTTCGGAAGGTTTTATTAAAATATTTTCATTTCAACATAATAGAAAGTATTAATTTCACGTGTGTTTGTTAAATGTATTTTAATTATATGTATATCAATACAAAAAATAAACATCAAAAATTTATCAGCGCGTGAACATTTGAATATACAAAGAGTATAAAGTACAATTAAAAGAACGTTTTTTAACAAGAACTGAATAGTACATCTACATTATTCTTTTATAGTTTAAAAACATTTGTCATAGTGCTACTAAAATAGTTCTTTACAAAAAATGGATATATTGTAATGTAAAATAATTTCATGGTTTCCATCTGAAATTCTAAATCGAAAAAGAGACAGTATATATGGTAATTATGTTTTTTTATTTTTAAACGTTTTCACATTTCTCTTACTTTTGTATTCGTAATAGCGACCTCCTTTTACCGACAGGATTCTTTTCCAACCGTCGGTATTGCAGTTTGTCGACTTACCAAAACCATCTTGGCATCATTTTTCTAATTTATTTCCTTTTTCCAAAGTTATTGTAAAGTTATTGCAAAGTTATTTTCAAAAAAGGAAGTTAGAATCGAAGATGAAAATAAAGATGGTAATTATAAAAAATTCTTTTTTCCCCAGGTATATTTGCAGAATTTAAGGAAACAGTAATTTCAAACTATCATCAAAAAAATGAAAATGTCAAGTTTACATTCCTACCAATATTCATCAAATTTTCAATTTCTTTCCGTTTGTCAGTACATAACAACACTTGGTATTTATTTCTACAATAAAAATCTCATTCCCCTTGAGAAAGAAAATCAAACAATTACAATTATCAATACATTCTTTAAGTATATTGACCAGTCAGAAAATGAATCTGTAACAAAACATGAACTCCTTCGAATTTTATTAAGAGGAACGGATCTCTACGGTGGTGGCGAAAATGAAATACTTGACATGAAATATGTGAATGAAACTTATCAGCGAATCATTAGTTTAATTCTATTTTCTCACTATGGAGACATTCACAACTATTTGGCCGCTATAATAAGTCGAGCGGATAACGTAACCTATTATTCACTCAAGGAAACAATTTTCGAACATCTTTCGAAAAATTACACATATAAAAATTATTGTTCATCGGATTTTGTGAAGGATCATTTAACCGAATTATCAATTAAAAAAATATTCTACGATTATATTTGGCCTATTTTTCCCCAACCACAACAAGACATAAGTATAATGGACGTTAATTATTTATACGCAATGATTGGTTTAAAAGTAGTTCGTTCAATAACTGTCAATGTGAATCATTTTTCATTCGACACCTATGTAACAATTGTACGTGAAATGATTTTTAATTCAATAGAAATAAATGAAACAAATTTAATTCAAGACTTATTCTATGCACCGGCACTATTTTTCTATGCCTATAAAGAAAAAGAGACATTTAATTATCAAATGATAGATGATACATTATTAAAAGAAATTTATCATACATTTTTCCTTCACATTAATAATTCAGTATTAAAAGTAATTGATGATAATTTCAAACAGACATTGTATAGCAAATTAGAGAATGAAATGAAGAAATTGAACAGTCGTACATATATCGCTTTTGAATTACTACTTAAAAATTGTCGATATCGTAATTTTGGTGAAATTTCAATGATACACGTTGCAATCTATAAGACTTGCTATCATTGGTTAACGAAATTAATATTTTTTAATAAGTGCGATAATCTACCGGAATTGGAAGAAGTTTATCGTCAACAATTCCATGAGGCTGGGAATGTTTATAATCAGATTGAAAAGTTATCATTGGAACGTATTTTAATAAATTCGAAACTTATGGATGTGATGAATTCAGAGGATGTTGTTGTTAAATTAGCACGTCCTGCTGATTATCCACAACGTTGTAATTTGTGTTCTAGAGTAGCGCAAAAAATGAACGAGGATATTTATTTACTGTTTGCTGTCATCAAAAATGATTTGACGGAATTTTATGCATTGAAGCAGGAGAATAGTTCTTTAGTTCTACTTAAACGATCACTGGAGGAAAGAAAATTTTATCTACAATTGGGTGTTAACAGTGCACTGAAAGTTGAAACGGCACAATTTTTTGATGTGCTGAAAAGAAAGAATGAGGGTGCAAGTGCATTTGTTGAACGAGTCGCCGAAATGAAGACAAAAAGATTTTTACGGGAGATCTATAATCATTACCATAAGCCAACGGGTGTGGAGAAATTTTTCAATTTTCTCAAAATGTTGATACCGTTTTACAGCTGTGTGGAAAGTATTCAACATGGTGAGACTGGAAATGCCGTTTGGAGTTGTTCCCTAGATGTTATAAGTCTCATACCATTGGGAACATTTGCTGGCAAGTATGTAACGATATTTAAGAATTCGATAATTACCGAATTGAGTGAACTACAAATCGTGTCGAAAGCACTGTCAAAACTTCGGGCCAGTAACAGTTTACCAGAAGCTTTTGCCATACTTTCAAGATCCGTCATGAAAACCTTAATTAATGAAATATTCACCAACAGTTTTATAAAGGACTTTACTCTAGCGATTTTAAAATCAGTGGATCCAGGTTTTGAACTAACGTACCAATTCACAAGGTTCAGTTTACAAATGTTGACCAAAGCTATCCTGAAATTCCGTAATACTCCTAGGCGAGCTGTCGAAATAGCAAATTTACATGAACAATTAGACGAATTATTGGAAACACTACAGAGGAATTTGAAAACACCGAATCCTGATGATACCGGCTTGGTACCGCGAATTATAGAAAGGGAGGAAGTCTACCAGGTTTTATTGTACTTTTATCCCGGGGGCAGCTATTTCTTCGGACCAACTTGCATCAGATCTTTTGGTAGAGTCGCCGAATTGAGGACCATCGAGGGGCGTTTGGAACAAATTCCCGTAGTACCCCAAAAAACCAGTGAGGGACTCCGTTACCGAAAGTACATTCCCGAAAGTGGTCAAATCACCGATGAGGAATTTCGAGTCCAAAGCAATGGTTTACTGCAAGACGACAACGAATACGTGATGCTTAGTCCACTCGAAACTTCAGAATCTCGCCCACTTCAGAAATCGATAACAAATCTACTAATCGAGCAAGAATGGAGAACAGTTGAAAACACAGGACCATTAGACACTATTCCATTTAGGAACCGGGACAATGCTGCAAATTACTTTACTAACGAACAGGAGAACGTATTAATTCCCAACAGATTTAATTATTTCAGTTCCGTGACACCAATTTCCTTTCAAGCACCATCATCCGTATTGAGGGTCGACTACTTGTCGAAAATCGGTCCCGAAAGATACGACTTCTACGTACAATTGCTAACCGAATTCCGTGACTACGGTCTCCCTACAATACGACTAAAAAAACAATTATTCAGAGAACTCCAACTCGCTTGTGACGATATCGCCCACGTCCAACTATCCGAAGTACCCCTAAAATCAACAATCGATCTCTGGCACATGGAAATAATCAGCGAACGTCACATTATCCGATACTTAAAAAAACTCCAAGGAAAACAATTCTACTTCAATGATATCCAACTCGTAACCAGTGACATAATCGGTTCCGTTAAACCAAAACCCCGAACACTTTCATTTGACACAATTGTCTACTATCGTCTAAAAGTTGATCAACAGTACGGAATTATTGATCTCAATAATTTTAATGACAACTTCCGTAATCTTTACGTCATCTATCCGGATGTGCAATTCACAGTTACTAACATCATCTACCCCGAAACTAAGAACGTTATAATTTTAGAAATGGACAAAAATCCTCTCACCATGGAAACTTGGAGAAGAATTCAAATGAAGGAATTGAAAAAGCTAATGCGCTTGGATTTCACCCAGACGAATCGTCTTAAAGCAATCGATGATGCAGCGGAATTATTATCATCAAACACCCCACTTTGTAAGCTCTCTATAGTAAAGTATAAATTCCAGGATTATATTCTAAAATTACAAGCGAGTACGAGTCCGGTGCCTACGTACGAGAAACTAGTCACGGACATACACGAGAATCTGATTATTCCTGAAATTTATCAGAAGTACAAAATTAATCGAGGTCCCCACATTGATGATATACTGTTCCAAACAAAATTGGAAAAAATTTCTCATGGTGATGATGCTATAATGAAAATTAAAAATCTATTCCAGGGAATCTATAAACAAAATGTTTTATCCGTCTTCCATTATTATAATACATTAGCAAATATTCGTAATACGATACGGTTTGAAGACTACTATATTTTGTATTCCTTTCTAGAGAAGAGTTTAATAGTTGATAAATTTACCGAAAGGCGATTATTAGCATCAACTTACAGATTGGCTCTAAGACAATGTGATGGCGAATCAATTGGAAATGCAATAAAACTTTATCGTCTTCGTAGTTTTACAGATGATAATTACATGATTGTTCAGTCATTCAAAAAGGGAAAAATACTACAGTATGGTAGAGTTAAAGAATTCTCATCGAATCTAAACAATGAGAGGGAGAGTTTTTTAACTAATTCAAAAATTAAAGTAAATAATCCGGTATTGTATCAATTGGAACTTAAAAATCAAGCGGGAATTGCGAATATCGATGAGATTATAAGTAGAAATTTATATCTTGTTCCGCCAACTTCGCGATTTATTGTCGATAAGGTTGGTGTGGATGTTATTGATGGTAGGGATGTTCTGGTTGTTAAAATGCATGATGAGGAAGTACCAACCGAGGAAAGAATGGTAAACATTGTAGAGAGTTTGAATACAATATTTGAATCGTCGAATGTTAAATTATATGTCGACTAGATAAAAAAAACAATTGACATTAGTGGAAATTTTGTTAAAGATAAAGTAATCCCTTACAATGAATTTTTAGAAAGGCATTTTAGGAAACTATTTTCAGGGAAAAAATGGTAAAAAGCTTTTCTATTTTTAGAGAAAAAAAATTGAGACAGGGTGACATTTTCCTTTACTTGTAAAATTAGGTAAAAATGTATTTATTATTTGTGTTATGTAATATGTTATTAAAGGAATAAATATTGTTATTAAATAAGATGACCTTGTTAAGATTCCTTTTACCAAAAGATGTTGACTAATTCCCTCCTCTTCCTTAATGTCCTTTTACGGTAATTTTTATTTGAAATTTACTTGATAAGATTTAGAAGAATCTTTCACTACAACATCATCCATAAATGCACTTAAATAAACAGAAGTTTCTAATGATGCTGTTAAAAATTCAGAAGAATCTTCAAATATAATATGATTAGCAAATGTTTCTAAAGCATCAGGAAAAATTTTTGAGGAATCAGCAAAAGATTCTTTAGCTACATAATCTGCAAATATTTCTAGAAGGACTCATAATTAAAACATAATCAGTGAATGTTCCTAAAACACTAGGATAGGTTTCTGAAAAATCAGCAAGAGATTTAAAAAGATCCTAGGCTACTAAATTATCCGCAAATGTTTCCAAAGCCCCAAAAACTATTTCTAAGGGAGAAGCAACTAATTTAGATGGATCTATAGATTGTAAAGCATCATAAAATGTTTATAACTAAGCAACAAAAAGTTTAGATAGATGTTCAACTACAACATCATCCGCAAATGTTACTAAAACAACAGGAAAGGTTTCTGAAAAATCAGAAAAAGATTTGGCAGGTACAGTAGTACCAAGAAAAGATTCTTAGAAAGCAGCAAAAAATTTAGAAGAATCTTTAGCTACATCATTATCCGCAAGTGTTCCTAAAGCTTCAGGAAAAGTTTCTGAAAAACCAGTATAAAAGATTTAGCAGGTACAGTACAGTTAACATTCATTGAAAATAATTCTAAAGCACCAGAAGAAATTTCTATAAAATCATCAAAAGATTCATCAGGTTCAGGATAAATTCTTAAAGAATTAGCAACAGATTTAGAAGAACCTCCAAATTTTGCTGCATCCTTGAGTGTTTCTAAAGCACCAGGAAGAATTTCTAAAAAATCAGTAAAAGATTTAAAAGAACATTCAACTTGAAACGCACCCGAAAGTACTTCTAAAGCACCAGGAAAAGTTTCTATAGAATCTTCAAAACAATTAGAAGCAATATCAAATCTGTACCTTTAACAAAATCTGCAAGTGTTCCTAAAGGACCAAAAGAAGATTTTTTAAGGAATCTGCAAAAGTATCATGTGCATCAAAAACATACTCTAAATCCGCAAATCCTCCAGAAATAACAAAAAAAAAATTCTAAAGCTTCATTGAAAGACTAAAATGGATCTTAGCTCTAACTGAATCCTTAAGTGTTTCTAAAGCACCAGAAGATGTTTCTATAGAATCAGCAAAAGTATTAGGAGCATCAACAAAATTCTCTAAATTCGCTAAACTTCCAGAAACATCAGGAGAAGTTTCTATGAAATCATCAAAAAATTTATCGGGTCCAGTAGGTTTAACAGCATCTGCAACTATTCCCAAAACACCAGGATAATTCTCTAAAATATTAACAATTAAATTTATTATAGATCTTTATAATTTCACTTTAGCTGAAAGTGATAAAACGATTTATCTAAACTATGATCATAGGAAGAAGAATAGTCATCAAAATTAATTAATCCTTAGCTGATATTCCCAAATCTCTTGGAGAAGAATTTAAAAAATCTGCTGAATTTTTATAACTTTTCCTAGAAGCAAAAATTATATTTTTTTCCTGAAAAATAAAATCTTATCAACAAACGTGCAAAAGTAGTAAAAACAATGCATAATAAATTTCTCGAACGTAAGGTAATAAATTTTTTTCTCCTAAAGTAAAAGAATTACGTGCTTTAAATAAAAATCACAAATAGTTGACGTGTAACATTCTGTAATTTGAAATAAATCTATTTGTGAAGTTTATAGAAGAAAATACAAATTGCCAGAAGAGAATATCAGGTAAGAATTATTTAAATTAGAACAATTATAACAGAAATAATTCAATGGAAATAGTTTACTGCTTTATTGAAAAATACTTATTTTGCGAAGTGTTGAAAATTATTGGTAGCGTCACATTATCTGCAGACGTTAGCTTCCATATTGTAAAGGCCAACACACAATATGTTCGTGAAAGTCTTTGGCGAATGAGATGCATAAGATAGAAAGGACACAAATAAATGATGACCTTTTTCTAACTCATGCTTCACATTCGCAAAGCTATTGTGCGTGGGCCTTAACCTACAGGAGTTAAAGGGACGAAACGTAGTGTTGTCTCTCTCGCACTTGCACGTTACTATAGCAACCGTTGGTTGCCTCTTGAGACATGTGATCTGATCTTAACTCCATTTCCTTCATTAAAAAAGTTACGCCAAGTTCACGATAATTTCAATTTAATTACAGATACGCTGAGATTTTTGACCCCAAAGGATTCAAGAATCTCCAGCAATCAGTAGGCGAATCGTTGAAATTGATATCATTGAACATCTAAATTCACAATGACACATCATCCATCAACCGTATTTCTCCATCTGTCATCAAATTTTCAATTTCTCTCTGTCTGCCACTACATTACAAGTTTTGGATTATTGCTCTACAATAATCATCAATTGACATTTGATCAGAGAAATCAAACTCTACCCGTCATTAATGCTCTCTTCGATCATCTAAATAAATCCAGCAATGAATCGGAGACAAAACTCCAAATTCTCCAAAAAGTCCTCAAAGGAACCGATTTCTACGGCGGTGGTGAAAATGAAACACTTGACATGAAATACGTGAATGAAACATATCAGTACATCATTAGCACTGCTCTATTTTCTCACTACGGAAACATAACCTTTTACCTAGCAAAAATAATAAATCAGCTGGACAATGTTGACATGTCCGTAATCAAGAAAACGGTATTAAAAAACCTAACCAAAAATTACGTGAACTATGATTATTGTTCTCGAAATCATGTAAACATAACCCTCACTCCATTGGCAATTGACAAAATTTTTAACAATCACATTTGGACAATATTCCCCGAGAGTGAAATCAACACGACTTTGATAGACGTGAATTATTTGTACGCAATGGCAGGTTTAAAAATGATGAGATCAATATCGGCGAACAAGGTGAGTCGTATGCTATTCAATAATTATATTCTAATTGCCCGTCGTATTGAATTTCTAGCACTGAAAAATAAGGATTATCTCTCGGCTCTGGAAATATTTTCCACTCCGGTTCTATTTTTCTATGCCTACATCGAGAAAAGTAAATTTTCCGAAATAAAAGAGTTGACCACCGATTTTTGGAATACTGCCTACGAGGTATTATTCTCCTATTTAAATGTCACGGTACACGGAATAATTCAGAACGCAATCGAGAGCAGTTTATACTATAAACTCGAAAACGAACTGAGAAATTTGAACAGTCGAACGATAATTGCAAGTAATATCATAAAAGATCGTTGTCATTACAAAAATCTAGAGACTGCTCCTAAATTCTTTATTGGTATGTACAAAATGTTTTTCCCCATCCTAACAAAATACCTCCTACCGACTTATTGTGACGTCAAGAATTTTCCTGATTTGCATAAAGAGTACACTAAAGAATTCACAACAATTCGTAACATGTACTTCGAAATAATGAAAAATTCTCTAAAACGTCTCTTTGAATCCAAAGGACTAATGGAGACATTGGAAAGGAGTCAAGTATCTCTAGGACGAATTTCTAAGTACGCACTACGTTCATACATAACTTTGAAGAATTTTATCCTATTCGGAGTAAAGCAGAACGATAGAATCGAATTCTTTTTGTTGAATCAAGAGAACAGTGTTATGAATTTGTTAGAAAGGAATAAGGATAAAAAGAAATTTGTCGATACTCTAAGTTTTGATCCAGCCGATGAGAAGGAATCGGCATTGTTCGAGAGAATTTTGAAAAAAGATAATGAAACAACGGATGTGTTAATAAACAACCTTGCAGAGATAAAGACGGGAACATTTATCGAAGTCCTGATGAATTACTACAAAGAACCAATAGCCGGTGAGAAAATTGTAGATTTCTTCTCCTCTTTCATACCATTTTTCAATTGTTTTCACAATCTCAAGTATGGTAAACGTGTTAGAGCTGCTCTCACATGTTCAATGGAGGTATTACACTTTGTTCCCCTGCCCCTATCATTGGGGAAGTATACAACACTATTGGAAACTGTCTTCTCATTGCAAACCCACGAAACCGAACTGATTAACGACGAAATTAAGGAAATTGGAAATATAACCGGTTTAGCGTCAAAAAGATCTTCGTTTTCGCCTATCTTCCGAACGGCGAAAGAAAAAATTGAGAATATCAAACGTAGGAAGGAGATTATTCATCAGTTGGCAAGTATCTCCCAAGGGGCTATTAATTCCGGTTCTGAGGTGAGTTACCATTTGAGTAAATTTGGAGAGAAATTCACAAAGGAATTGTTGGAGAATATTCTGTCAATGACGAAGAGACATGCGACACTTTATAAAATTGACGTGCCGATGAGAAAATTGTATTTCTATTTGATTGGTTATGAGAAGGTTAAGGCTGATTCTACGGGTCTGGTACCGGAAGTAATTGCTAAAGGGAATGATGGTCGTGGCACTAGGTATTACTATCCAGGTGGGGAGAATTTATTTGGACCGAGGTGTCTCACTTTGTTCCATAAACAAATTCAGTTAAGGAGTATGAGAAATCGTGTATTGGAAATGTTCTTCGTTCCCTCGGAGGGGAAGACAATTAATCCGAAAACGGGTAAAATGTCCACTTGTTCCCTGACGTTTGATAATAACGATATGCTGCATTACAATGATTCGAGTAGTGCATTCACTACAATGGAATGTGATTTTAATGGATTGCTAACCGACAATGATGAAGATGATCAGAAAGCGAATACCAAGTTAGGAAAGAAAAATTATCCGGAAATGGAAACTTTTGATACAGATGAAGATTTAGGAGAACCGAGTTTAGATTATGGAGATTCGTCTAAAAATCAAAGAGAAGACAATTATTATGCAGGATCCTTGGAATATGACAGAGAACCCGAATATTCTAGACCGTCACGTACGGGAGGTAAAGCTAAGAGTTCGAAAGCAAAAGGATCGTCACAAGGTGGTCGACGTGGATTTGAAAAGGGTTCTGAACAAGGTTTTGGACGAGGTTTGGGAGGAAATGGTTTTCAAGAATCGGGAGAGTACTCAAACGAACCAGATTGGGCAATGAGTGGATCAGAGGATACATTTAAAGAAAGTGAACCAACCAGAAATTCGGCAAGAAATTTCAGAAAACTGTATCGCAGGAAAAGAGCAACTAAAATTTTGGATAAAACCTCTGAGGATATAAAAGGACATTCAAATTTTGCTGCATCTGCAAATGTTCCCAAAGCACCAGAAGAAGTATCTAAAGAATCTGATAAAGATACAACGAAACCTGTAGTTTCAACTGCATCTGCAAATGTTCCCAAAGCACCAGAAGAAGTATCTAAAGAATCTGATAAAGATACAACGAAACCTGTAGTTTCAACTGCATCTGCAACTGTTTCTAAAGCACCAGAAGAAGTTTCTAAAGAATCTGCTAAAGATACAACGAAACCTACAGTTTCAACCACATCCGCAACTGTTCCTAAAGCACCAGGAGAAATTACTAAAGAATCTGCAAAAGTATCAGGAGCATCAATAACATTATCTAAATATACTAATCCTCCAGAAACACCAGGTGAAATTTCTAAAGAGCCATTGAAAGACCCAAATGGAACTATAGCTTTAACTGCATCCACAACTGTTCCTAAAGAACCAGGAGAAGTTTCTAAAGAATCTGCTAAAGATACAACGAAACCTACAGTTTCAACCACATCCGCAACTGTTCCTAAAGCACCAGGAGAAATTACTAAAGAATCAGCAAAAGTATTAGGAGCATCAACAACATTATCTAAATCCGCTAATCCTCCAGAAACACCAGGAGAAGTTTCTAAAGAGCCATTGGAAGACCCAAATGGAGCTATAGCTTTAACTGCATCCACAACTGTTCCTAAAGAACCAGGAGAAGTTTCTAAAGAATCTGCAAAAGTATTAGGAGAATCAACAACATCCTCTAAATCCGCAAATCTTTCAGAAACATCAGGAACTTCAACTACATCCGCAAGTGTTCCTAAGGGACCGGGAGAGATGTCTAAAGAATATGCAGAACTATCAGGAGCATCAACAACATACTCTAAATCCGCTAATCTTCCAGAATCACCAAAAGCTTCTAAAAAATCATTAAAAGATTCAAAAGCATCGTCAATTTTAGGAACATCCACAAAAATGTCTAAAAGACCAGCTGATATGCTTGCAGAATCTGACAAAGATTTAACAGAAAGTTTTTCTGCTTACGGTGGATTACCCCATGAATTTAAAGATAATAAAGAAAAACATCAAAATACGGCAAAATATTTAAACAATCGTTCGAAATTTGCCAAAACAGCGGATTCTTTGGAGTTATCAGAAGATGAAAGCGAATCATTACAAGTCGCAGGCGAATCATTAGGTCAATATAAAGCACCAGTTCCTCCCAAATTAACAAAAAAACATTTACCTGAAGGACCAAAACGTCTACCTAAAGAACCAAAACACCTACCACAATCTTCAAAACATCATTCCAAACTCTCCTCTGAGTACAATTTATCAAAACAAACACGAAATCACCACCCTGTAACTATCATAAATTTAAGCTATGCAAAAATAATTATCGATAAAATTTATTCCGGAATTTACGAGCAAGACATAACAAATGTATACAACCTCTACGAAAATTCGTCATCAATTGCAAAAAGTCTGCAATTCGAGGACTATTACGCTCTTCAGTCCCACGCCAAGAATATTTTACTATTCAATAAAGATACAAACAGACGAATGCTGAATGCAATTTACAAATTGTCACTTCAGCAACAAGAAGAAACTTGGATCATGCAACCAATCGTTCTCTACAGAATTCGAAAGTTCACACCAAAAATCTACGAGCATCATCAATTATTAAAAAGAACGACTCAAGTCCACTTTGGAGAAATGAAAATCTTCTCTGAAAATCGTGATCGTGAGGTGGAAAATCATCTAAACGAGACAGTAACTATCTTACGAAAGCCAATACTATTTCAGGTACATTTAAAAAATCAGCATGGAGTTGCAGACATTGGTCGTGTCATCAATGATGAAATTGGCGTTCACGCTGTACCATCGGGAATGAAATTTGTTATCGAAGAAATTGTTCCGTCTATAATTAACAAGCAGGAAGTGCTCATCATTAAAATGCACGATCTTGAAATTTCAGAAAAGGAGAAAATGAAAAATGTGGAAAAAGAAATTCAGATGATTTCACAGAGTGGTACGAAAATTTACGCAAATGGTAATTGACAATAAAAGCCACATTTTTTATTAAAAAATATATTCATTACTATTTTCAGTTGTTTCCAAAAGAATTTCAATTCTATTTACAATTAAATATAAATTATGCATATTCAAAAAAACGAAAATAATAAATATAATTTAAATTGTACAATTGCTGAGTATCTTCAATAAAAAATAAGATCACTAAACTTTCTTTTTGAAAAAATTCCTTCTTTTTACACTTTTTCTTTCAAAAATTAAACTTTCCTTCTTGGATGCTCATTGATTTTTGGTAGGAAATACCAAATCCGTATCCTTTAAATTATCCGCTATCCATTGATCAGCTTCTTCTTCGATTTCTCTGCTGAAAACTGATTTCCAATTTCCATTTTGTCCCTGTCTGACGAATACGCCTTTCATTAGAAGAATTCCACAATCTTGTAATTCCTCGAAATTGACCATTGGATTGTTTTTGAAATTCTTTATATCCAGATAGTCGATTAATTTCTTTAATTCTTCATCGTTGTAGGATTTATCGAGAAATTTCGCTACTCGTTTTATAGTTGACAGAAAATCCTATAAAAAGAACAAAAAATATTTTTTAAGCAGATGATTTTAGAAAGAGATGAGAAAGAAAAAATGATCAGAAGGAAAAATATTGTTTTAAGGTAAGCAGGTAAACACTTACTGCTTGTAATTCTTCGTAAAATAGAAAGAGGAGATTCTTGTGGTTTCTTTGATTCCAAGCTTCCTTCAAGTGCTCCCAGTAAGGACTCCATGCGGCTAATTGAAAAAGAGGTAATTTTTTTGAATTATTACTTTTGAAAATTGTTGATATAAATTTGGGGAGATTTTTAAATGTTCTGCTGGGGATATAGAATAACAAGTTGGATTAAGTAGATTCGTAATTGTTCTTGAAATGCTAGGAAAAATTAGAAATAAAGCAAAAGTGTTAAGAGTATTAGGAGCATCAGCAAATGTTCCTAAAGCACCAAGAGGATTTTTAGCAGATTCACCAAAATACTAATGAGGTTCTTTTGGGGTAACTGCATCTGCAGATGTTTCTGAGTCACTAGGAAAGTATTAGTGCATCAATAATATTCACTTAATCCTAAAAACTTCTTAAAGTACCAGGAAAGGTTTCTAAAGAGTCTGAAAAAGTATTAGGAGCATCAACGATATTCACTAAATCCGCAAATCTTCCTAAAACACCAAAAGATGTTCCTAAAGAATCTGAAAACGTATTAGGAGCATCAACGACATTTCCTAAATCAACAATTCTTGCTAAAACACCAAGAGAAATTTCTAAAAAATCTGCAAAAGTATTAGGAGCATCAGCGACATATTCTAAATCCGCAAATTTAAAAAAAACCAGGAGGAATATCTAAAGAGTCATTAAAAGACACAAATTAATTTGTAGCTTTAACTGCATCCTCAAATATTTCTGCATTACCCAAATAATTTTTTAGCCGATCAGCAGAATAAACTTAAATAAAAATTAACTTATTATTAACTTATCAATATTCACTAATCCTTCCTTAATCTCCCTAAAAATCCAGAAGCAATGTGTAAATAGCCACTAAAAGACCTAAAGGATTCTGCAGCTATAACTGCATCAGAAAATATTTCTAAAATATTACTAAAAGCATCTTTAACTTTTAAGTCTTAGCTTCTGCTAATTCTCAGGGTTTGATTATAGATCAAAACATTTTGTAAATTTTTGTTCCTTAGGGTAATTAAACAAACGATTAAAGATTAAATTCTTTTTATTTCATCATTACAGCAGTATTCTTTGTAATTGACTCATTCGTTAAATAAGTTATAAAGAGAGCTATTGTACTACTCCGGTACATTAATTATTTCAACCTTTACATAATATCCCTTATCCTTCTTGACAGCCTTTACAATCTGTAGAATACCATCTACACCAATTTCCAGTGTTTCCTTATTAACATGTCCCGTATTTATATTAAATTCACGAAAGTAAGGTTTTTGCTCCTCGGTCTTTATCCGCTTGACGTATGACTTCCCCTCTCTTCCTCTAATCGTTCTAATTTCCACAATTTCTCCAAAAGCTTCGACACATTTTGGTCCAATATAATTATTCCCACCTGGGTAATAGTATCGTATCATTTGATGATTCCCACTTTTTTAGTAAGAACCTTTCTCGCTAATCCTCCTAAATCAGACGTTACTACCATTTTTTCCAAATTCGTCGTCATTGTTTTCAATACTTGCAGAAGATTTTTGTTTACTGAAAATTTCTTAAATCTCTTATACATCAACTTATACGTAATGTGTAGTGTCACATAGCCTTGTTTACCTAAACGGTAACAAAGTTCAAATCCAGGATCCATTTGTCGAAGAAAGAAGAATGTGACTTTTTTTAAAAAATTCATGTTGACAATTTGTTTTGCTACAGTCGTTATTGATATTTTTGATAATTGTATGAAACCTAATTGTAGAACTTTCTTAAATCCAAGGGTAGCAATTTTAACATAGTTTTTTGTTACAGCTTTTATTAAACTACTACTCAGGCCATTTGCAAATTTTGTTGAATGACCAATACCTGGAATAAGACTTATAATATCTAGAGAACAGTCTATAATTGCTTCGACAACTTTACTGTCTATTATATCTTCAACGCAGGTGTAAAATGGAATGAATAATTTTAAATAACCGAAAATTTCCTCTCCTGTAGTTGGATCATTATAGTTCGTGATTAGGCTGTTCACGATGACTTTTGCTCTCATATCTGCAACTCTTGAAATAAATGAAGTGTAATCTTCATTGACATTTTTAAGAGTTTCTTCGAAAGTAGAAATTCTTCCTATTCTGTACAACGAATTATTAACGATTGCTTTAGAAAATTCTCCTTCATCAACACTATTTATCAGCAAAGTCAAAGTATTATGCACATGTTTAAAGGCATAAAATTCATTCTCCTCTTTTTTTATGATAACGAATATCATATAAATGTCAATATTCTTTATTAGAATTTTTTGCGGTGGACATAAATCACAGTGAGAAATACGTTTAAAAACTTTTACAATTTTTACAACGGCCTCTAAACTCATTCTTTCAATTAATCCACTGTCGACTAAAACCTGTCTTAATGTATTGCTCTCAATTTGCTTATAAATCTGCTTTACATTCTTGAATTGAGCCTGATAATAATCTGACAAAGGTGGAATATCATTACATGAAGTAAATGTGGTTTTCACCATCCAATGGGGTAGTGTCTTAAATAATGCCACATCTTTGTCATCAGGCTTAAATCCACAATGATCGGCTAATAATTGTTTGGCAATAACTGTACGATTTTTTAACAATTCCCTTTCAGTCAGAAGTTTATCATAAAGATTATTATCAATAATTTGTTGCACAAAATTATTAACTGAAGAATGAAAATATAAAAAGAATTTCTGATATGCTTCATTCCAGAATTTATCATCTAGTTTGGATATTTGATTATCAAACTGTGATTTTTCATTATGGGCATAATAAAATAGTGCGGATGTTGAGAATAAAGTTAAAAACATCTTATAAGTTGATTCATTATTATCTTCTTGATAATCATGCTCTTGGGCAATTATTAGACAATTTTTAAAATCACATAATGGTACATCACCTGGTGTTGAACGGACAATATTTAAACCAATCATTGCATATATATAATCAACGTCCAATATACTCATTTCTTTTGATTCTGGTTCGGGAAATATTTGCCAAATATAATCGTTGAAAATTTTTTCCATTGCAAAATCAGTGAGTTTTGTATTCGTTTTGCCATCTTTTGAACAATAATCCCGAATTTGGTAATTTTGGGAAAAGTGGTTAAACACGTTTTCCTTAAATACCGAATATGTTATGTCGTCAGATTGTCGAATTACTCGAGCTAAATATTCGTTAATGTTACCGTAGTGAGCAAAGAGTGTAGTACCAATGATGTATTGATAGGTTTCATTAACGTATTTCATGTCTAGTTCTTGATAATCACCACCACCGTATAAATCCGTTCCCTTCAACATTTTGTGTAGCAGTTGAAATTTCGTGTCTGATTCATTTTCCGAACTGTCGAGATAATCGAACAATTTATTCAGTATAATGATCGTCCGATTGCTTTCATCGATTGTAATTAAATTTTCCTGGTTAAAAATAATTCCCAAATTGATAATGTAGTGACACACAGAGAGAAACTGAAAGTCTAGTGGAACCTGAAAGAAAATTGAATTCTCCATATTGTGAGAGGATTTTGTCTCCGCGCTTTTAAAGATTTTTGCTGAATTCTTAAGGTTTTTAGTTCACCTGAAAAGATTAAATATTTATTGTACATAAGTTATATTTTAAAATAAGGTACACAGAATTATTAGAGTTTTTTACTTACACTTGTACTAATTTCATCAGGCGTGACATATAAACTGAATAAGTGGACACGAAATGCAAGCGATGCATTGAAACTTAAGCTGATATTCATAGTCGGTGCATAACTTTTTGTTAAAAAAATCTATTTCGCGAATATTTTTTACGACCAGCTGTTGGAAAAAGCTGTTTTAGAGTTGTTTTATCAAAATTATTTTAAGGTTTTTGTGAACAAGTCGATTTACTGCTTTAAAACTTTTAATTTATAAATTTCATAAGATGATGATGTGGATGATAATGATATTAATAGATTTAAATGGATAGTCAAGAATACCTAAAATACTAACCAACAAGAGAAGTTTTAATGGAAGCAACAAAATATTTTGAAAGATCTTAATAATTACAACATCAACAAATGTTCGTAAATTTGTGTAGCACCAGAAGAAGTTTCTAAAGAATCTGCTAAAGATACAACACAACCTACTGTTTCAATTACATTCGCAACTGTTCCTAAACCACCAGGAGAAATTTCTAAAAAAAAATCTGCAAAACAATTAAAACCAACAAAAACATTTTCAAAATCTGCAAAACTTCTTGAATCACGAGAAGTAATATCTAAAGAACCATTTAAAGACCCAATAAAATCTGCAGCTCCAACATCATCTACAAATGTTCCTAACACACCAGGAGAAGTTTCTAAAGAATCTGCAAAAGTATTAGCAATTCGATTCGATTTTTGATCTAGTTTTAAACTTCAAAAATTAAAAAAAATTCATGATGTTAATAGAAAATACTTATTAAATATATGAAAACTTACTTAAATCGTTTTTAAAGTAATTCCAAAATTCGGGAAATTCGCCAATGTAGCCTTGAGTGATAAATGCCTTATTTTGTATGTACCAAGAAACGGCGACGTCCTTAGGATTTCTAGCAACATAGACGATCTAGAAAATAACCATTGTTACATTATGATTTATTATTATTATTTTTATTTTTATTATTATTATTTTATTATTATTATTAATATTATTACTATGTACTAGTATTATTATTTTTTTTCTATTTATGAAAAAAGAAATAAATTTTTTTTCGCACCTTACAACCGGAATCTAAAATATTTGGCAGGAGACTTAATGGGAAATGCGTTTTGATAAATCGTGGTGACGGAAGTGCCTCTAGAAGTTGATAACCGGGCCTTGCAATTTCCTTGCACAATTGTTGTTTCACTGGATCGCCTTTGTTCCAATTTAATAGTGCCTTAGTCACTTCCGGATGATTAAACATACTGAATCTAAATTGCAAATTTACAATTTTTTAAAATTATTTATTAATTGTGCAAATTTTTTTTCAATTTTTAATATATTATATAAAATTTATTTGAATTTCTTACTCTAAAAATGGAAATCTCTCGGCAAGTTTTATTTTTCCAGCCGTTTCATAGTCCAAATTATTGCTCAAAAGCCAAACAAGTTCCTGCGTCCATGTTGTCCCTTTGTTTTAAAAAATCAAATATTTTAATTTTAAAAAAATATAACATTTTCAACAAATAAAAAAGAATAATAATATAGTAATAAATAATAAAAAAATTAATAAAATTAAATTTTAAAAATAGTAGAAATAGAAAATAATTATCAATAAACAATATAGAAATATAGAAAAATAATTAAAGTCAAATAAAAAAATAATTAAAAATTAGTTCGAAGAAAAAAATAAACAAATAAATAAACAAACATATAATCAAAATAGTAAACATTTTAATGCTATAGAATAAAAATTTAATGTTAATTTCTAAATAAATAAAAATAATTAAAATTAAATAAAAAAAAAAGAATTAAAAATTAGTTTAAAGTAAAAAATAAACAATAAATTTAATAAATAAATAATTCGAACCCATTTTTCATAGTTTTAATTTATTTTTAATTCTTAAATAAATAAACAAAAATATAAATAATTATAATAATTTATTAAAAAAATTTAAGTTTTGTAATAAATTTTTCACTTTTTTAATTAAAAAAAATTTTTTTTTTAATTAACATTAAAAAAACTCACCTGATCTCGGATATGAAATGACCCAAGTGTCAGAGGATTTCGCCTTGAAATTATAAAATCCTTCACCCTGTTCCGTATAACGATAAGGGAAGAACCATTTTTTTTCACCAACTTGCACCCAACCAGTTCGTTCACCTTTAAATACTTTAAGCATCTCCTCAGTTTTCTCCGAATTCAAAAATTGATAACTTGGTATTTTTGAATCCATTTTCTTTTTTGTCCTATTCTTTTTTCATTCACCAAAAAAAAAAAAAAAAAAAAAATTTGCACAAAAAATGAAAATTTGGTTTCTTCACTTTAATTAGAAAAAAAAAGTTTTTTAATAAAATAAATAAATAAAGTTTAAATTAATTTTGACGAAAAGAAAAAAAAATTGATTATTAAGAGTTGGGAGGAAATTTTTGTTCCTTTTAAGATGCGTGAACAGTTTGACGTTCCTTTTGAATCTGACAATAATTTTTAATGGAATGCGGGTCAAATAACTTTCACGGTTTCACTTTGATGGAACAAATATACCATAATTTCCCCTTCCTCACAAAATAAGGAAATTGCTTTCGATTATGTAAAATAATAATTATAATTTATAAAAAATTTACTTGTTTTTGTTTATTTATTTATTTCACTTATTTCACTGCATATTATTTATTTACTATTATTAATTTTGTTATTTATTTATAATTATTTATTTACTATTATTTATTTATTATTATTTATTAATTATTAATATTTAATTATCTATTAAATTTATTAATTATTATTTATTTATGTTTACTTATTATTAATTGACTTTCATTAAAATAATAAATAAGAATTTTTAAGGGTAATTGAAAGTAAAAAAGTTTATATTCAAAAAAAATTTATTAAACAATATTTTTTACTTGTAAAATAATAGGAACAATTTTTTTAATTAAGAGAAATCTGATAAAAATATTTTTAAATTTATAAACAATATTAACAATGTTTTTTTATTAAAATGAAAATATAGTGTCTAACAATTTTTTTATTTAAATAAACAATAGTAACAATTTTTTTATTTAAATTAACAATAGTAACAATTTTTTTGTTTAAATAAATAATAGTAACAATTTTTTTTTCGTTAAATAAACAATAGTACAACAATTTCTTTATTAAAATTAACAATATAGTAACAATTTCTTTGTTTAAATAAATAATAGTAACAATTTTTTCTCTCTAAATAAACAATAGAATAACAATTTCTTTATTTAAATTAACAATAGTAACAATTTCTTTGTTTAAATTAAAAATAGTAACAATTTATTTATTTAAATAAATAATAGCAACAATTTTTTTTAAATAACCAATAACCAATTTTTTGGTTCAAATAGAAAAAAAATAAATAAAATAACAATTTAATTTTTGCTTTTTTGTTAAAACCATTCTTTGTAATTATTTTTTAATAAAATTTAGTAGATTGTTATTTAGGCCTATTCATTTATATAAATAATTAAATAAATATTTAAAATATAATAACAATTATTTTTATTTACAAAAACGATTATTAATAATTTCTTTCTTTTTTTATAAAAAATAATATTGAATTTAATTCAATAAAATTTAGAAATTAAAGAAAATATTGTATAAAAGAATAAATATTTTAAAAAATAGTATTTCTTTATGAAACAAACAAATATTATAATAAAAGTATATTTTTTTAAAGGCAAAAAAGAATTTTCTTCATACAGGAAACATTATAAGATTAGTATCCTTGATTAATGCTCTCAACTTTTCTTTTTACGCAATTCCGAAGAATTGCATTCACCGCTAATATTTTATTCATAAAATTTTTTAGAGAAAAAAAGTTGTAATTAAAAAATAACCAAGTAAATAATTAATTTAAACAAATTAACAAAATTATTAATTACTAATAACTAATATTTAATATTTAATATTAATTTTTTTTTTTTTTTTTTTTTAATGCTTTATTAAACATTTACAGATGCTTATTAGCTAAAATATTAAATTAATATTAAAACAACTATTAATATAATTAATCAGTAACAAATAATTAAAATAATAAATTAGCTTAACTAATTAACGTAATTAATTATTAATAACTAAATAAAATAATTAATTTGTTTATAACTAATATATTAATTAATATTATACTAATAAAAACAACAAAAAAATTTAAAAAAAACTAATAAACTAAAAACTACTTGACATAAAAATTATTCAATAATAACTAATTAATAATATTTTTAAATTTTCCCAGAATTTTTTAACGAAATTAATAATAATTAAATCAAAAACATTATAATTAATAATAATTATTAATAACTAAATGAAAAGTAACGACTAATTAATTAAAAATTGAATAATAATGAGCAATTAAAAATTGATTAGCATAATGCTAATCAATTTTTAATTACTCATTATTATTATTCAATTTTTAATTAATTAGTCGTTTATATCAATTTTTAATCAATTTTTAATTTATAATTTTATAATTTTATAAATAATTTAATATTATTAATTTCACTGTCAATTAAAATTTTTGTTTAATTAATTAAACAAAATTTTAACAAATAAACATTTTGTAGGGAAAAATGAATAAAAATCGTACAAAATTTTTTTTTAGGAAATGTTTTTATTTTTACAGGAACTTTATCATTACAAAAATGTTTATTACTATTATTATATGGCAAATCAGTCTTGAATGCATTCTAAGCAGTCACGACTATGAAAAATTTGTTTCGATATATAAATATAAATGTATTTATATATTTTATATAAAATTGCCTATACTTATTATATTTTTATTTTCTACAATCAATATCAATTATTATTATTAATAATTTAATAATTATTAATTATTATTAATTTAGTTTAATAATTATTAATTATTATTAATAATAATTAATAAAAAATTAATAATATTAATTATTATTAATAATAATCCATAAATAATTAATTATATTCATTAATTATTATTCATAATAATAAATAATTATTAATAATAATAATATTATTAAAATACGTCGCATAAATTATCAATTACATAATATGTATATATATATTTATATATTTTGTAGGTACAAAAATTTTGGAAAAGTATAAAAAAAAGATAGTAAAAAAAAAGTGCGAAAAAGAAAATATATTTACTATACACTAGCTTTAATTCTAAGTTTTTGATTTGTCAATGTTCAAATCAATTCAAGGCCTCCAAGTGTTTAATATAATAATTATTCTTATAACATTGAGAGAGAGAGAAAGAAGGAGAAAGAGTGAAAATTAAAAATAAAAACAGCCTTTAAGAATAATTATTATTGTTATAAATTTATAATTGATTTTTTAATTCGTTATTTTTATGGGTCAAGATTCTCTGTATAAAAAAATATATTATTATTATTATTATTATTATCTTCTTTTTTTTCCATCGTTACTATAATTATTAACGTTTGTCCTTCTTTTCTAAAAAAGTCTACTCTGAATCATTTTCTTTTTTTTTTAAATATATTTTCAGCCATATATTTCTTAATCATTCAAAGTAATCAAAAAAATAGAAAAAATATAATTTTTTTGAATTTCTTTAAACTTTTAATTTCTTTAAATTAAAAAGCAAATACGAATTTCTTTGTTCAATTATTTAAATTGAAAAGAAACCGAATTTTGTATTAAATAAATAAAAAAATGTTTTCTTTAAATCTCATCGATTTAAGTTACAAATAAATTAATGAATGAAAGCAAAATTTTTATAAAAAAAACGAACAAAAAACAAAAAAAAATATTACGAATTAAAAAAAAGGAAAGAAACGAAACGATACAAAATAAAACAGAGAGTAAAACGTTTTTTTTTCCTCTCAAAAATAACAAAATGTTCTTTAAAAAAAAAATATTAAAAAGAAACATAAATTGGCTAAAATTTTTTGTTTTCTAAAAGAAAATATTTTTGTTTCGCTTAAAAAAAAATTAGCACTAGAAAGAAAAATAGAAATGAATTTTAAAAAATTAAGAAAATAAACTTATTTTTTCATCACTCGCCGTAAACCTTGAAAAATTGACGAAACAATTTATTTTATTTATTTTCTTTTTTTTTCTTTTTAAATTTTGTTTTTTATTTTTACCTTCAAAAATATTGGCTTCTAAAAAAAATATTCACAACAGTTTTCTCTTTTCTATTCGCAAAATAGTAAAATTAAAATAATCTTTCAATGTTTATTGCGAGTAATCGTTTTTTTTGGAATTAGACGTAGAAAATATTCATATACAAAAAAATTGTTTAAAAAAATAGTTTTATCACAATTTGTTTTGTTTCTCTTTTCGATTTTTCTTTTTCTAAATATACGATATAAAAACACATTTTTATCATCGACTCTCGTGAATTATTATTATTTCAAAAAAATATTTTTTTTTTTCGATGAAAAATAATTTTCTTTCAAATGTCACAAAGAAAAATTCACTTTTGCAAAAAAAAAAAATTGAAAAACAGTATTTTTCAAATTTTTGAAAAGGAAAAATTTTTTTATTATTTGAAATGTTTTTCATAGAGAAAAAACATTTTTCTAAAAGTTCCGATTTTTTATAAAGAAAAACCTTTTTTTTTTATGAAAGTTTGCAAATTTTTTTTTCGTGAAGAAAAAGAATTTGAAAATTTTTCTCCAAAAGGGAATTTTTCCAATTTGAAAATTTTTTTGCTTTGAAAAAATAACGGATTTCAACACAGAACGCAAAATTTCGTGAAGATAATTTTTTTTTTTTACATAAAACTAATATAATAAAAATTCCTTATCGTATCAAAAAAAAATAACTTAAAGATTTTTTTAACTTAAAAAAAAGTTCTTTTTTCTACAAAAATACAATTTTTCAGTTTAAAAAAGAAAAATAATTATCTTTTTCTTTGCGTCTTCATTCTGTATATAGAATGAAAAAAATGTTTTTTTTCTGGAAAAAAAACATTTGTCTGAGATTGAAAATGAAAAAATTGGAAAAGAAATGATAAATTGAAAGAACGAAGAAATGGAAAAATAAATAAAATAAATTTTTAATCAGAAACATTCGGGCGATAGAATATTTTCGGTAACGGACAATTCGCCTCTTGTAATAATATCATCATTGTGATTATTCACCACGTCATTAACATTGTCCTCATCATTATCATCGTCATCATCACTATCCGCTAGGGAATGTAAAATTTCACTTGTTTTCAGTGAATTACTATCATTGTTCCCATAATGATAATCAATATCCGATTCATCGTCGTCATCATCATCATCATCATCAACATCTTCATCATCATCAATATCATCATTGTCGTTATTTTGAAGATTATTTAAATTAATTTCCATTTTCGTCGAATTCACTCTTGATTCCTTCACTGAATTCATTGAACTTTTTGATGATACACTTATATTATCATTATTCGTGTCAATACTGCTGCAACTTTCTGTTTTTATTTTTGCATTACTCGCCACCAAATCCATTAATGATGGATCGCGCAATATTTTAATGCAACGCTTTGTATGCGCTTTCATATTGTCGTGACGATTGAACCATTTTTTACAGCCAGGACATTCGAATCTATTGTGAAATAAAATAAAATATACAAATTAATTATTATTTTATTTAATTATTACAATTATTTAATTATAATTACTATTTTCAAGAAACAGTCATTTTTTCCCCTCAACTAATTATATTTTGTTTAATTATTAATAAAACATTTATAAATAAATAATTAATATATTTTTAAAATTATTTTTAATAGTAAATAAGCGCTACGTGTAAAACATACAATTCGATTTATTATTATTATTATTTTTCTCGCAAAACCTAATAAAAAAAAATTATGCAAATTACAAAATTTTTTTATTTTCAAATATAAACTTTCATTTTTGAATAATTTCTGATTCAAAATTTAAAAAAATCGACATATTAAGTACATAATTATTATTGTTTGTTATAATCAAACAATTTTAATAAGAAATTTATTCTTCCCAAGAATTCAATTATTTTCTGAAATAATAAAATTTTTCTAAAGAATTCAATTATTTTCAATTCAATTTCAATAAAATTCTTCTCAAGAATTCAATTATTTTATAAAACAATAAAATTTTTTAAAAGAGATCAATTATTTTCAATACGATTTCAATAAAATTCTTCACGAGAATTCAATTATTTTCTGAAATAATAAAATTCTTCAGGAAGAATTCAATTAATTTTTTAAGTACACACTACAAATTTTTGCAGGAATTCAATTATTTTCAATACGATTTTAATAAAATTTCACGAAAAGAGTCATTTCAAAATTATTTTAAAAATTATAATCAAATTCTTCGCGCAAGAATTCAATTATTTTCTGAAATTTTAATAAATAATTCTTCAAAAAATTCAATTAATTTTTTGAATTATACTAAAATTCTTTTCAGGAATTCAATTATTTTCAAAATTATTTCAAAAATTTGAATAAAATTCTTCAAAACAATTCAATTAATTTTCTAAAATTTTAATAAATTCTTTAAAACAACTCAATTAATTTTTTAAATATAGTTCAATTATTTTCAAAATTATTTCAAACATTTTACTAAAATTCTTCTCAAGAATTAAATTATTTCATTTATCAAAATAATTAAATTATTTTTTTAAATAATCAGGGTTGCCACGAAAATTTAATTTTATTAGAAAATTTTACGAGAATTCAATTATTTAAATGCAAAGATAAATAATGTATTAAATAATTGAATATTTCTTAAAATTGTATTTATTTAAAGAAATTTATAACAAATTCTAAAAATAATTGAATTCTTTCGGCGAATTTTAAAAAAATTATAAACAATAAATGCAATTTTCTATCAGTTTATGTAAAATTGTACATAAAAAATAATTGAAACTCTGCTATAAATATTGTTATTTATAAAAGTAATTTAACTCTTGCAACGAATTTTATTAAAAAAATTTTTAAAAAATTGAATTCCTGTGAAGAATATTTTATTTGTGAAAATAATTGAATTTCGGAGAAAAATATTATTATTTATTATATTAAATTCATTTCTTGTGAAGAATTTTATTTAAATTTTTTAAATAAGTGAATTTCTCAGAATTTTTTATAACATTTTGAAAATAATTAAATTCCATCGACTAAATTTCATTAAAAAATTGAAAATAATTGAAATCTGACGAAGAATTTTATTAAATTTTTTTTTTAATAATTGAATTCTTGTGAAAAGTTTTATTTTTTAAAAAAAATTTGAATTCTTAGGAAGAATTTAATTAAAATTTCTTAAATAATTGAATTGCTTCTAAGAATTTTATTTTTTAAGAAAATAATTGAATTGTTTCGAAGATTTTTACAAACATTTTTGACAGTAAAATTGTAATTCCTATAAGGAATGTTATAGTTTACAAAAATAATTGTATTCTAAAGTCAATTTTATAAGTCTATAATTTTTCAAATTTATAAAGCAATTTATCTCAAAATTTTTTGAAATAATTGATTTCTCGAGAAAAATTTTATTATTTATGAAAATAATTGATTTCTTACGAAGAATTTTATTCAAATTTTTTTCAAATAATTGAATTCCCATAAAAAAATGTATTATTTGTGAAAATAATTGAATTCTTAAGAAGAATTGTATTGAAAATAATTGAATTGAATAGGAAAATTTTATTAAAATTGCAATTTTATTAACTAAATCTTGTAAAGAATTTTGTCAAAATTTTTTTAAATAATAGAATTTTTAAAAGAATTTTATTTAAATTTTGCGAAATAATTGAATTTCTCAGAACTATTTTTTTCTATTCTTTGAATATATTTGAATTCTTTCGATAAACTTCATTAAAAAATTAAAAATTGAATTGGTGCGAAGAAATTTATAAAAAATTGGAAAGTAATTGATTCTTTTCAGGATTTCAATTATTTTTACAAATAATACAATTTTTCACGGGAATTGAATTATTTTTAAAAAATTTAATAAAATTCGTTGCAGAAAAAAATTATTCTTCCCGAGAATTCAATTATTTTCTAAAATAATAAAATTCTTCAAAACAATTCAATTATTTTTTTAAATATAGTAAAGTTCTTTGCAAATAATTACAATTATTAACAAAATCGATTGTATTTAAAAAATTAAAGAAATTTTTTGAAAGATTTCAATTATTTTCAATACAATTTTAATAAAATTTCAAGAAAGGATTCAATTATTTTAGTTTAAAATTAGAATTAATTAATTTTAATTAATTTAAAAATCTTAATAAAATTATTCGCAAGAATTCAATTATTTTCTAAAATTTTAATAAATTCATTAAAACAATTGAATTAATTTTTTTAAGTACTAAAATTCTTAGCATGGGAATTCAATTATTTTCAATACAATTTTAATAAAAATTTCAAGAAATGATTCAATTATTTTTTTAAATAGTAAAATTCTTTGCAGGAATTCAATTATTTCCAATAGAATTTTAATAGAATTTTAAGAAAGGATTCAATTATTTTAAAGTGCTTTCTTTGTAGGAATTCAATTATTTTTAATACAATTTTAATAAAATTACACTAAAGGATTCAGTTATTTACAAAATTATTTTAAAAATTAAAAAAAAACTCTTCGCAAGAATTAAATTTCAAATACAATTTCAATAAAATTCAATAATCAAATTTTTAATGATATAATTATTAAGACACGATTACTGTAAAAAGTTAAAAATTTTTTGTTAAATTTAATGTATTTTCAAAATTTTCAACTAAAATTATTTCGAAAAATACATTACTACTTTGAAAAAACTTAAAGAAATTCTTCAAAAGAATTTATGTAATTATTTACAAAAATTCTATTAAAATTTTCTATCAATAATTATAATAAAATTTAATAAATAAAATTATTAATTACAATTATTAACAAAATCGATTATATTTAAAAAATTAAAGTAATTTGTTAAAAGAATTCAATTATTTTCAATTTTTTATTAAAATTTTTAAAATGAATTAAACTCTCTATTTTTAAAAATAAATTTTATTTGTATTGATCATAGAAAAATAAAGTGTTTTTGAAAAATATAGTGCTTGAAAAAATAAATGTAGGTCAATGTTAATTTTTGAATAAAAATAGGAATTTTCGATTTCTCTTTATACCGTTAATGATAGTACATAATTTATTCAAATTGAATCTCATTATCAATATCGAGAATAATTTTTAAAAAAATTTCCGGTTCTGCTTAATAATTCAAACAAAAAAATCTATTATCATTCGAAATATTTTTTAAAAACAATAAATAATTCGATTATTTAAATTAATTATTTGGTAATTATTTATTTATATAAATTATAATAATATTAACTTATTATTTTATTAATTTTTGGAGAAGAAAGAAATTATTTTATTCCCTAGGGTTAAACGCACAATTTTTTTCCCAGGGTTGAAAACAACTATTTTACTCCCTAGAGATAAAAAGTGTTTTTGCAGGTACTTGTTAGCTTAAAAGTGATAATTTTAATATTAATAATAATATTATATATTATTTATATATTTATTATATTATTTAATCATAATTATTTATTGAAAATTATTTATTTATATTTATTTACAAAGATTATCATAATATTCATTTAATATTTTAATAATTATTGTTTATTTACTATTAGAAATATTATTTTATTAATTTGTAGGATTGAAAGAAATTATTTTAATCTCTAGGGTTAAAAACACATTTTTTTCAATCCAGGGTTAAAAACAACTATTTTACTCCCTAGAAATAAAAAGTGTCTCTATAAAGTTAAAGAAGATAATTTTAATATTAATAATGTTATTATATATTTGTATTTATATTTATTATATTTACTTATAATTATTAATTGAAAATTATTTATTTATATAGATTATAGTAATATTTATTTATTATTTTAATAATTATTGTTTATTTACTATATAAGAAATATTATTTTATTAACTTTTAGAGTAGAAAGAAATTATTTTATTCTCTAGCGTTAAAAACACATTTTTTTCGACCTAGTGTTGAAAACAACTATTTTACTCCCTAGAGATAAAAAGTGTCTCTAAGTTAAAGAAGATAATTTTAATATTAATAATATTATATATATATATTTTTTTTGAGTAACCCAGGGTTGAAAACAACTACTTTACTTCCTAGAGATAAAAAATATTTTTTTTTTTTGTTTCTTGTAGAATTAAAATAAAAAAATAAACAAACCTGAATCCTTTGTGAACGGACATGTGTGCAGAGAGATGTGATTGTTGGGCAAAAGTTTTCTCACAAGTTTGACATTTATATTTTCTAATTCCGCCATGTTTTAAAAGATGTTCCTTCAAAATATGTTGACTTTTATACCTTCTTGGACACAATGAACATTGATATTTTGCCTCCGAATGTACCTGCAATTGTCAAAAAGAAAAATATCATATTTTTTCAATTATGAAATTATTTTTTTCCACAACTTAAACTAAAATTTAAATTTCGCGCTTTTCTACTTTACCGACAGAACATAGATTGAAAACTCGAGTTTAAAAACAAAACGAAACAAACACAAAAAAAGGTAAAGAGATTAAATTTATTGCAATACTCACGTTTTGATGATTGTGTAATGATTTTCTCGATTTATATGTTTTATTACATATATTACATTCATAATCTTGAACGTGCGATGTACTGTAATGTTTCTCGAGAGCCTCTTTATTCATAAAATATGTTGAGCAAAATTTACATTTAAATGCCGTGTCCTTATTGTGAATAAATTTGTGACTTCGTAGACGTCCTTTTGAGTAAAACTTTTTTCCACATACATCGCACTCGACATCCTGTTGTGGAAAGAAAAAAAAACAATTTTAAGAGATGGAGAAAAAATGATTTTTTTACAGACTTCGCATTCGATAATTAATTTTTAAAAAAAAAGTAGCAAATAGTAGCTTTTAAACTAAAAAAAAGTAGTAAAAAAGTAGCTATCGAAAAATTAAAGTTGACGACCAAAAAAACTCGTTTTAGACACTTCACAAAACTGATAAAAATTTCATTCCATATTTTTTATTTTCCTCACTTTTTCCTAATTTTCATCAAAAATATTTACTTCTTTTCTTATCCTGATAATAAATTTAATTTCTGCAAAAAGAATTTGATTATTTATGAAAAAATTTAAATATTTATAAAAATAGTTTAATTCTTGTGAAGAATTTTATAAAAAATTTTAAATAATTGATTTCTTTCAACTAATTTTATGTAAATTCAATTTTTAAATTTTTATGTAAATAATATTGAATTTTTGAGAAACTTTTATTATTCATGAAAAGAATTGAATTCTTACGAAGAATTTTACAAAAAATTTTTTTAAATAATTGAATTCTGTTTGGAAATTTTATGAAAACAGTAGATATTGAAAATCATTGAATTGCGAAAAGTTTCTACAAATAATTAAATTTTACAAAGAATTCAATTAAAATTTTTGAAAATAATTGAATGTCTGTGTGGCATTTTATTAAATTTTTTTTGAAAATAATTGAATTCCTAAAAAGCACTTTATTATTTATGAAAATAATTGAATTCTTGCAAACGATTTTATTATAATTTTTTAAAATAATTGAAATTCCAAGAAGAAATTTATTACTTTTAAAAATAATTGAATTCTTTTGATGATTTCTGTTATTTATGAAAATAATTGAATTTTGCAAATAATTTTATTAAAATGCCCCAAAATAATTGAATTTTTGGGAATAATTTTGTTATGCATCTTTAATAATTGAATTCTTTCGAAGAATTATTTATGTAAATAATTAAATTTTTGGGAAGAATTTTATTAATATCTAAATGAATAATTGAAATATTGCAAAAAAAAAAAATTAATTAAAACTGTATTTAAAATAATTGATTTCTTTCGAACAATTTTATTAAAATATTTGACAATAAAATGCCTGTGAAAAATTCTAATATTTTTTAAAAATAATTGATTTTTTTGAGGAATTGAAATTAAATTTTTAAGAATAATAATTACATTTTTTGAATAATTCCTGTAAAATTGTATTAAAAATAATTGAAATCCTGCAATGAATTTTATTATTTATAAAAATAATTGAACAGTTGCAAAGAATTTTATTAAAATTTTCAAAAATAATTGAATTCTCACGAAGATTTTTACAAATTTTTTTTAAATAATTGAATTCTGTTTGGAAATTCGATAAAAATAGTAGATATTAAAAATCATTGAATTGCGAAAAGTTTATAAAAAAAAGTAAATTTTACAATGAATTCTATTATTAAAATTTTTTAGAATAATTGAATGTCTGTGTGGCATTTTCTTAAATTTTTTTTTAAATAATTGAATTCCTCAAAAGCATTTTATTATTTATGAAAACAATTAAACTCTTGAGAACGTTTTTATTAGAATTTTTTAAAATAATTAAGTTCCAAACAAAAAAATTTATTACTTCTAAAAATAATTGAATTCTTGTGCTTAATATTGCTATTTATAAAAATAATTGAATTTTGCAAAGAATTTTATTAAAATGACTAAAAAATAATTGAATTTGTGGGAATAATTTTATTATTTATCTACATAATTAAATTCTCGAGAAGAATTTTATTAAAATCTAAAAGAATAATTGAATTATTTAAAAAAAAATTAATTAAAATTGTATTTAAAATAATTGATTTCTTTCAAACAATTTTATTAAAATATTTGAAAATGATTGAATTCCTGTAAAAAATTCTAATATTATAAATTTTTCCAAAGAATTAAAAAAAATCTATTTTCTCAAGGAATTGAAATCCTGCGATGAATTTTATTATTTATGAAAATAATTGAATTATTATGAAAAACTTTATTAAAATGTTTAAAAAGAATTGAATTTCTGGGAAAAATTTTGTTATTTTTGAAAATAATGGAATTCTTCATAAGATTTTTATAAACATTGTTTTAAATTATTAATTTTTTCGAAACACAATACATAAATATTATAAAATTGTTATTTTAATTAATTGAATTCTTTTGCGAAATTTTATGAAAATACGTAATATGATAGAAAGCAGTAAAAAATGAAAAAAAAATGATAAACATGGTATTTTCTTATACTTTTTTCTATTTAAGATTCTATGGAGTAAAAAGTCACTTGAATCGTGATAAAATGGTTAAAAAAAATAGATAAAAATAGTGAAACAAAAAAAATAATTTTCGTACCTTTTCCTGTTTGTGGGTGAGTTTGTGATAGGACAGGACCTGTTTACTGGCACTGGAAAAATCACAATCACCACAACTGTATGGCTTCTCGCCAGTGTGGGTATTGAGATGTTCCTGCAATGATGACGGCGATGTGTATTGTTTTTCGCACAATGGACACACGTAGGGCTTAATTTTCAAATGACTTTTTCTAATATGACAGCGTATATTTGAAACCGTTAACGTTGTGAAATCACAGGCAGTGCAAAAATATGGTTTCATTTCCAAGTGTCTCCATATGTGGACCTATTAAAATTGATAATTATTAATATTACTTAAAATTAACAATAATTAATACAGGGTTGCCACAAAACTTTTATTTTATTTTTCCCTGAAAAAATATTGACTTTTTCCCTGACCCTAAAGAATATTCTGATTCACTCTAAAAATTATTAGATACTCAAAAAAATGTTCTAATACATTTATTTACGAATTCCTTTAATTTGAAAATTATTCCGAAAACATCAATAACTTCATTTTTAAATAAATATTTAGCATTATTATTTTTATACGAGAACTAAGATTTTCAAAATTTTTAATTTGAAATTCAATAACTTAAGAATATTATTATAAAACATTTCTTCATATGTTTTACTTATTTTTAATAATTTTTGATAAAGTTCTTCTTTGAGAATTTTTAAATCTATTTGTTTACAATTCAATTTTACGTGAAATTTCAATTATTCGGAAATTCTTCAATTAAATATACATTAGAAAATGAAAAGTTGAAATAATTTTTTTTAAAAATTGAGATTAAGGCTTTTGAAAAAAATTAGTTCCATAGAATTTCTAAAAATTGCAATTATTAATAACTTCTCAAAAATTCAATCAATTATCTAAAAATTTAACAAAAATCAATTTTTAAATCAATTTTTATTATAAAATTCTACGAGAATTCAATCATTTAAATACAAACATAGATAATTTATTGAATAATAATTGAATGTTTCTTAAAAATTTAATTTTTATACATTATTTTATCAACTTTGAAAATAATTGAATCCTTTCGACGAATTTTAATAATTTTTAAAAATAATTGAGTTTCTTAGAAAATTTTTAAAATATTTTAAAAATAATTGAATTTTTCCGAAAAATTTTCATAAATATTGAAAATAATTGAAATTCTTTGAAAGATTTGAATATAATTTTATTCTTACGAAGAATTTTATTAATTTTTAAAAATAATTGAATTTCTGCAAAGGATTTCAATAAATTTTAAAAATAATTGAATTTCTGCGAAGGATTAAAATAAATTTTGAAAAGAATTGTATTCCTGTGAAGAATTTTATTATTTTTCGAAAATAATTGAATTTCTATGAACAATTTTATTTATTTTTGAAAATAATTGAATTCTGACAAAGAAAATTAGATTTCTTTCTAGGAAATCAGTTAAAAGCGTATTCAAGCTAATATTGATTTCTTATTAAAAAAAATATTAAATAATTATTATTAAAATTGTTTAAAATAATTAAATTTATTTTAAAAATTTTTTAAAAATTGTATTGAAAATAATTGAGTTTCATCGAAAAATGTGTTATTTATAAAAATTTAAATAGGTAATTTAAGAAAATATTCAAGTTTTCAGTATAATTTTAGTTAAAATTCTAGAAAATTAATTGATTTTTTTGGAAAAAATTTATGCAAATTCTATTTTTAATAATTGAATTCCTGTGAAAGTTTCATTAATTTAGAAAATAATTGAATATTCCTGTAGAAGTTTGTCAAAATTGTTTTTAAATAATTGAAATTTTGCAATGAATTTTATTAAAATTTATTACTTTTGAAAATAATTGAATTCTTGTGATGAATATTGTTATTTATGAAAATATATGAATTCCTCCGAATGATTTTATTATTTATGAAAATAATTAAATCCCTGAAAAAATTTTTAAAATTTCTGAAAATAATTGAATTACTGCGAAGAATTTAATGATAAATTTCAAAACATTTGATATTTTCGAAAAAATTTATGCAAATTATATTTCAAAAAATTAAATTCCTGTGAAATTTTCATTTTTTTTGAAAATAATTAAACGTTTGCGTAGAATTTTATTAAAATAGTAGAATATTGAAAATCATTCAATGAAGAAAAATTTTTGCAAATAATTGAAATTTTTTGAAAATAATTGAATTCTTGTGATGAATTTTGTTGTTTATGGAAATAATTTAATTTCGCAATGAATTTTATTAAAATTCCTGAAAATAATTGAATCTTGTCGAAGAATTTTGCTATTGATTTATAAAGATAATTGAAAAGTTGACAATTTTTTTTAGATTTTTAAAAATTAATTGAATTTCTGCGAAGAATTTTATTAATTTTGAAAATAATTGAATTCTTGTGATTTTATTATTTATAAAGATAATTGAAATGTTGACGAGAATTTTTAAAAAAAAATTTTTAAATAATTGAATTTCTGGAGAGAATTTTAATATTTTTTAATAGAGTTGAATTCTTTCAAAGAATTGCGTTAAAATTTCGTTCAAATTCGTGGTAATTTCATAGTTTACAAGTCAAATAAAAAGACAAAAATTGAGAATTTTTTTTATAAATTCTAAACATTTAATTTTTTCAGTACTTTTAATTTTCTGGGATTTCTCTGACATTTCCTTTAATTCCCTGATTCCCCTAAACTGTGTCAACCCTATTAATTATTTAAGTAAAATCAAAATAATATTAAATTTTAAAAACTTGTTTAAATTTTTTTTACAAAAAATTTTGAATTTTTATAAAAAGAAGTTTTCGAAATTATTAATGAGAAAATAAAGCAAACGACAAAAATGTGTATATACAAATTTGATTTATTTTTTAATTAAAAAATAAACCAAATTTGTATTCACATTTTTGTCTTTTGCTTTATTTTCTCCTTAAAAAAATTATTTAAAATTTTCACCCACCTGACATTTATCCATACGATTATATTTTTGTTGACATATTTTACATTCAATTTCATTGCGTGAATAAATTGTCATATTTTCAGCGACTTTATTCTCATCAACAACAGTCATATCGACACGATAAAAATTTTCAACAGTTTCTTTTTGCTCATCAGTCATTAATTCCGATATTTTACTGTAACGCGATTCACAAATAGTGCGTGGAATTTTTTTCAATTGTAATTGATTATTACTATCAATTTTACGCTTTTTTGCATTCATTGCATTTCCTGATTTTAACCACTCGTCTAATGTTGGCGGTAATAATGATGAATTTTCATTTATTAAATTTGAATTATCAATATTTTCATCAACTTCATTTGAAATTCCTATTACTTCTACTGTTGCTTCTGTTGTTATTGTTTCTGTTGTCGTTGATGAAGAATTTATTGTATTGTTGACAATAATATTTTCGAGATTGAAAAAAACTTTTTCATCAAGAACTTGTGAAATTTGTGGTTCGTAATTTTGTATTGTCTCCGTTGGTGCTTCTGTTATTGCTACTGTTGTTGTTGTTGTTGTTTTCGCTGTTTCAATTGTTGTTGCTATTGATTCAGATAATAAATTTTCCGTTAAACAATTTTCCCTTCCAATATCAACAGAAACAATTTCTTCCCTATTTTTTTCTTTATTCACAATTTCCTTCTCGATCGAATCATTTTTTTTATTTAAATTCTTTTTTTCTTGATATTCACCTGTTGGCAATGTTTTACACTTTAATTTTCGCTTCAATTTTTGTTCCGGTGAAATATTCTCCTTGTCCGACTCGTTTTCGGAATGTTCAAAATTTTCCAAATTCCTGCTTGTTTTCAACTAAAGGGGTAAAAAAAATTTCGTTATTATTAATTTTTTTTGACAATAAAATTTTAAAAAATCATAATAACAAATTTAAAATTAATAATTTTTGTAATAATAATAACAAATATTTATTCATATTAATAAAAATATTATTTTTCTCACTAGAATTAAAAGAAATCGTAAATTATTCTCTAGTGCTTAAAACACACATTTTTCTCCCTAGGGTTAAAAACAATCACTTTACTCCCTAAGGATAAATTAGTTTTTTTCATACAAACTTGATTAAAAGTGAAAGTTTTAACAACAGCAATAATAATAATAATTAAATAATAATAAAAAACATAATAATAACAATAATAATAAAAATAATAATAATAAAAATACATAATAATAATAAAATAATAATAACAATAATAATAATAATAAAAAAATAATGATAATAATAACAATAAAACTACCATTATTTGTTTATTAATATAAATATTATTTTATTCACGGAAGTTGAAAGAAATGACAGTTTGAAGCCAACCCTAGGGAGAAAAATGGGTGTTTTTAACTCTAAGGAATCAATTTTTTTCCCTAGAGCTAAAAACACACATTTTTCTCCCTAGGATTCAAAACAACTACTTTACACCCTAGTGATAAAAAAAATATATATATATAATATATATTATTATGTATTTATTTTTTAACGTTTTTAATAATTATAGTTATAATAATCAAATAAAATAAATTAATAAAATAATAATAATAAAAATAGTAATAAATAAAAAATTGATAAAAATAGATAAAAATTATATAAAAAAACACAAAATACATTTTTAAAATTGAAAAATATGAATAAAAAATAATCGAAAAATTCATAAATAATACAAAGTACGTAAAAAAAATGTAAACAATACAAAACACGTAAATAACAAAAAGAAAAAAGAAGAAAAAAAAAGAAAAATTATATTAAAAATTTTAAAAAATAATTAGAAACAAAATTAAAAAACTAAACGTAACAAAACGCAAAATTAAAAAAAAAATTCATAAAATACTCTTTAAGAGAGACACTCACCTTGTCATTAAAAGTTTGTTGAGTTCGATGACACCATTCGTAAAACTCGTATAAAAATTCCAAGGTCCCGATACATTTCACACAGACTGCAGTCGGCAACTCGTCGTCTTCCTTAATCTAAATAGAGAAATAAAAAAAAAATTTTTTTCTTTTTTTCTTTCTTTTCACTCAAAAAAAAAAAAAAAAAAAAAAAAAAAATCCGACCGAGAAAAGTGCATTTTTTTCCTATTATTATTTATATAAACAGGTCATTGGAAAAGGTTATCTCTTAACGAAAAAATAAAACTACAAGTAATTTATTTTTTTTTTCTAAAAAATATGCCTTTATTGTCGTATAAATGATTTTTGTTTATTTGTATTTTTTTCTTTTCTATCATATTATTTTCATTTCTTTCTTTCTTTCCATTTTATTGCTTTTATTATAGTTGCAAACTATATATATAGAAATCGAGGCCGAATAATAGAGATTTTTTTTTATTAATGCAATTTTTCAACAAATAATCGTCGAATAAAATATGTATAATAATAATAATATTAATAATAATAATAATTATAATGAGAAAACAAAATTTATTTTTTAATTCTCCTTTTTATAGAAGAAAAGGAAAAATATTTCTCTCTCACAATAGAAATTTTGTAGAAAATAGTTTTTTTCCTTAATTATTTTTTTTAAGAAAGTGTAAAAAATTCTTTTTTTTCTATAATTATTTTTTACACAAAATGTAAAAAATTACTTTTCTGTTTATTACATTTATAGTATTCATTCTTTCTTTTTTTTTATAGAAAAAAACTTTTTTTTTATATTAATATGTCAATTTTTAGTAAAAAATATTTTCTCAATACGTAAACTTTTACATTTATTTCTATATTTTTTTTAATTAAAAAAAAATTTTTAAATTTCCTTTTAAATTTACTAGTAAATTTACTTTAAATTTTCTTTGCAAAATTTATAAATTTACTTTCAATTTTCTTTGTAAAATTTATAAATTTACTTTCGAATTTCTTTGTAGATTTATTAATAAATTTTACTTTCAAATTTCTTTGTAAATTTATTTATAAATTTACTTTCAAATTTATTTTCAAATTCATAAATTTTTTTCGAAATTTAAAAATTTTTAAATTGACGTTCAAATTTTTAAAAATGAAAAATTAACAATAACGAATATTTTCAATGAGAAAAAGATATTCCATAAAAAAATTATTTCCAATATTAACAAAGTGGATAAAAGAAAAATTGTTTTAACGAGAAAAAAATATATATTCACAAGTGAGATAATAATTTTATTTTGCCCCCATTTTTTTTATATAAAATATTTCTTTCTTTTTGCAAATTATTTTTATATATATATATATATTTTTATAAAAAGTCGACGTACAAAAAATTACGATTATATAAATTTTTTTTTTTTCAAAAATTACATTTTTCATATTTTATTAATATTCGTTTCTTTATTTTTTTTGTTTATAGAAAATAAAATATTTATAATATTTCATTTCTTTAAATATAAATAAAATGTTAATACTGTTTTTAAATAATATTATTAATATAATTATTATTATTTAAATAAAATATTAATATTTTATTTATTTTCTTTGTCACCACGTGTATATCATTATTATTTAAGAAAAATATTTTTTCAATATTCAAATAATTTAGAAAAATTACATTTTCTCTTTTATTAATTCACTTATTTATTTATTTTTTTTATTTACGAAAATACTTATATCAGAAATCTAGAAACGAAATTTACAATAATTATATGAATATTTATATTTGTAAATTGTATCAAAAAAGTCGAATAATCATTTTGGCAAAGGCACTTGTGTGTTACAGTCGCCGGAAGAAGAAGAAGAAGAAAAATAAACCGATTTTTTATTCTATCGTCTCTTTTCTTTTTTCTCCTCTAAAAAAGAAAAAAATACGATAACAAAAAAAATTCGATTTTACTTGCGCTATTTACAAAAAAAAAAAAAAACACTTCACAGTAAGAGTTACTTAAATGCGAAATTGGATCTGAGCCTGTCCTACATCTTAATACAATTATTTATAATATTTATATATTTTTTTTCTAAAACTAAAAACTATAAATGTCTAGTTTATAATAAATTTGAAAAATAAAACTTAAAAAACAAAAAAGAAAATTTTCTTTCTATCTTAAATTGAAAATTTCTCCCCCCCCCTCGAAAAATCGCATAATTTCTACATTCAAAAAAAAAATTCCCTTTCAAAAGTTACGTGAAAAATACTGCGCGATTTTTTAAATATACAAAAAAAAAATGTCACTAAACTTTTGGAAGCCCCATTTTTATATTATCAAAAAATTTTCTTCTTTCAAAAATACTTTTTTTGTAGCGAAAAATCCAAAAAGAAATAGAAAATACTCCCAAAAATATGTAATTTTAATAAAAAAAAAAAAAAAAAACAAAAACCTAAAATACAAGATAAAAACAAAAATCAAATTAAATTGAGAAAAAAGGAATTAAACAAATAGACTTATATTATAAATTATAAAAACTAAATATAATAGTGAAATAACTATCATAGTGAGAAAAAAAAGAAACAAAAAAGAAGAGAAAAAAAAAATTTTTTTTTCTACAACTCCTGTAAAGGAGCTCAAATCCTTTTTTTCTCTCCTAAAAAACATGTGATTACTGCCTTTTTTCAACTTTCATTAATATATATGTACATTGTTTTGTTTTTTTATTAATAGTTAAAGACTAAAAAAATTTTTTTCTAAAAAAAAATTTTTTTTTTTTTCACAAACGAGACAACAACATAAAGGCGCATACACACACTTGAGATGAAAAATAATAATAATCAATGGAACAACGAGAAGAAGAAAAATATACATTTAACACTACATGCGAATAAGAAAAATGAGAAAAAAAATTTTTTACTTCCAAAAAAAAAAAATTCTAAACCTTAAGCACCGAAATTATTTAGGAAAAAAAAACAATTCCAAGCACCTTAATTTCTGTTTCATACAATTTCAAAAGCCAGTTTGAAAGTGAAAGTTTTTTTTTTAAATTACGATAATTATTTATCGATTAATTTTCGTTATCACGTGTTTTTCAAATAAATTTTCAGAAAAATATAAATTTTTTTGATAAGTAGAAAGATTTTCAGTGGAAAGTGATTTTTCATTTGATATCTACTATTGATGAATTGAATATCGAAATACTGATTGTCGATAAGGTAGGCAGCGATATTATCACTATCGGTAAGGCAGATAGAGATATTATCGACCATCGATAAGGCATATAGTTATATTATCGACTATCGGTAATGTAGGTAAATATGTTATCGACTATCGATAATGCAGACAACTTCCAATATTCTTCTTATCTGGATTTTTTACTTTCTTTACGTTATCGACCATCGATAAGCTTCTTATCTGTTACCGACTATCGATAAGCTACTTATCAGTATTATCGACTACAAATAAGCAAATTACCTCCATTCCCAACGGTCGATAATATACTTATTATCATCGACTATCGATAAGCTACTTGCCTCTATTATCGACTATCGATAATATACTTATCAATATTGCCAGCAATCGATTTTTATCGTCATTATCGATTTATCGAATACTAATATAGTGATTTTTCGATATTTTGAGAACGATAGTTAACAAATTTGGTGGATTGGTCGAGGTTTTTAAAAAAATAAATTTTTTTTACTTCCTATTAAAGTCTTGGATTTTTTTTTTGCTTTTTTCAAACTGTGTCGAGGATTAACTGCCGAAATAAATCGTTTATAAACAATTTTTAAAAGTAAATCTTGTGGATTGTTATTTAAGTTGAAAACAAGACAGGTAATTTAACAAATGGTTTTTTTCAAGTATTAAGTAACTTTTTTTTGAATTATTTTCATTTTCATTTTAAAAAATTGTCAGAAATGTAAAACTTGCTTAATTCCAAGAATATTTTTTTCTTTCATGAATTTTAGACATTTTGAAGAAAAAAAAAGCAAAAATGGTGCTTTAGGTTCACAGTGAAGTAAATTATTATATTTCATATTTATATATGAAATTATATTATTTATATTATAAATATTGTAAATCAATATTACATAATTATAATAATCATAATATATTTTTAATTTATATAATTTTTTTTTATCAAAAAAATATTGAAAATATATTTTTAAATATATGCATATTTGGTTTTGAATGTGAATATTACTAAGCTTGTTAAGATGGAATGTATTGGAAAACTATGTATAATGCATATGAGCATAAAATTATTTTTAACTATCATTTTAAAATAGTTGACTGAATTAAAAGAAAACTCTTTGAGTTTTATTAATTTCAAAGTCAAAGGGTTTAAATTACCGCGCGATAATTTATCAAACAGTGAAACATAACCTCGAAAAAATTTCTTTAATAAGCTACTATTACTCGTTTTGTTTCGCAACTTATTTCAATCCACTAGTTTTATCTTCTTAAAATTGGTTCAAGAAAAAATTTGGGTTTCGAAGACTTTTTCTTAGAAATTTACGTAATTTTCAATTTTAGTTTTCGCAGAATTATTTATGCTTAGGCAGAATACACACTTCTAAAGGGGTATCCACACTTCTATATAATATGGAATGAGAACCCTAAGATAATTCACCTGGATCCGTTAGGGAACCTGGTGGTAACTTAACTATCTAAAAAATTCCATTTGTAAGAAAAGGATAGACGTCCATTTCTTTCTAACGGAATTTTTTAGATAGTTAAGTTACCACCGGAACCCAGGACTCAGGACCAAAGACCCAATATCCAGGTGAATTTTCAGTCTTTCGGGAAACTATTTTTTTAACTAAGGGGAACCTAAGATAATTAACCTAGATCCATCTAGATTCCTGGTGGCAATTCCACTAACTAATAAATCCCATTAGTAAGAAAAGGACAGACGCGTATCCGTCCTTTTCTTGCTTGTGGGACTTTTCAGTTAGTCCACCTGCCACCGGAACCCAGGACCCAAGATTATTTTCTGCTGGCTAAGTGAAATTCAATAAAGGGATTTTTGCCATGAAGCTCAGGACCCAGAATCCTAGATCCGTTACGGGTCCTAGGAGCAAGTGTACTAACGAAAGAATCCCATCCTTAAGAAGACATATCCGTCCTTTTCTTCTTAATGGGTTTTTTTTAGTAAATTCACATGCCACCGGTATCCAGAACCCAAGACTCAGGATCCATCTTCATTCTTTTGTTGCTAAAGGGATTTTTTGCCTTGCCACCAGGACCAAGGATTATTTTCCCTTAGTCCTAGGATCTTGACGGATCGAGGTGCAAATTCACTGAAGAGATTTTTACCCAGTTCTCTTGCACGGAAAAACCTTTGAGAAGTCTGCCTTCCCACTGTCACAAAATTTTGCTTCTCACTGCATGGAAAGTCTGATCGCCCGCCACTGGGTGCGTAGCATTACCGTTTTCGATAGACAAACTTCCCAAAAAGTTTAGAAAATTACAACTGGGTACGTTGGTCACCCAGTTTGGGAGTGCAGATGAACAAGTTTAGTGGTGGCGCTGACGCATAAGTTTCGGGTGAGCAGACTGCTTAAAGGTTTTTCCGTGTGGCGTGAAGCTCAGGACGCAGAATCCAGATCCGTTACGGGTCCTAGTAGCGAAGTGTACCAACGAAAAAATGCCATCAGTAAGAAAAGTTCGTTCTTTTCTTGCTAACGGGTTTTTTTTTTAATTAGTTCACATGCGACCGGTATTCAGAATCTAGGACTCAGACCCAAGAATTTTCACATAGATCCGTCAAGATCTTAGAAATAAGAAAAATGTTGGCGAAACGTTAACGATAAACTTTTGTTCTTTTCTATCTTCTGCTTCTACCTTTTGAGAATTAGGATCCTCGACTCGATAGAAATTTTTTCACCTCGACCCAAATCTTCCGAACTATAACAAAAAGAATGGTTGATTAATGAAAAATTACTTTCGCTTTTCAAGAAAAAAAAAACTCTTTCACTTTTCGTTTTTCTCCTCCTCCTCTTGCTTAATACCAGTTCCCTTCTTACTATTATCATTCTCAAAATGCCTCTTGAGATGCACCTTCATATTATCGCGTCGATTAAATTTCTTCCCACATTCAGAGCAGACATGCGTCTTTTCACCATGCACATGTCGATGCGCCGCCAAATGACTTGCTTGAGCAAAACGTGCACCACACTTTTGGCAAACATGTTTACGTAAACCCTGATGCTTTAATAGATGTTCATTTAAAAATGCCTTCGACGCATACCTATTGTCACAAACAGTACAAACATAAGGTTTTGGATTTGTATGCTGATGAACATGCGCCTTATATTTCGATGCAACTTTAAATGTTTTATTACAAGTCTCACACGTGAATGTTGTCGCGTGTCTCGTTTTAATATGATCATTCAATACCGATAAACTCGAATAGAGATTATAACAAAAATGACAGCGAAAATTACGTCGATTCTTCATATGAACACTGCCAACGTGACTCAATAAACGTGTACGATAGGGAAATACTTTACCGCAAAATTCACATGCTAAATTTTGCGGTGGTAAATGTGATTTCACGTGCATTTGAAGTGACACCTTATGATGATATGTCTGATCACAGTCCGAGCATCTGTAGGGTTTGATGCCCTTATGAACATTCGTGTGCTCGGCGAGATCGAATTTTGAACGAAAACGTTTTGGACACTTGGGACATAATATTGGACGGGGATTTGTGTGTGAGCATCTAATGTGTTTCATGACATCCGATTTACAGACGAATTTCGCCTGACAAACGATGCAGTGATATTGCTTAATGCCAAGATGTGTTTTCACGTGAACTGTACATTTATCCCGACGTTCGTAAATTTTTTTACAAAGTCGACAGGCATAACTCACTTGATTGTTGACCGTTACTTGTTCAACATTCTCATCGACATGTATCTCCTCGCCGTCCATACGGAACAATTCCTCTGGATTTCGCAAAGTCTCCTGCGATTCTTCGTCAATGTTCCCCTTTCCCTTCTGACTTTTCGCGTCAATAACTTTGAGAATTTCGCTGATCTCCGAATTTCCTTGATCCTTCAATAAGGTCACAATTTTTGGATCTAGTAAACAAGAGCCCTGATCGGGAAATACTTTCGCCAGGACGTTAACTGTTGATGTCTCCTTATTTCGTAGTTCGATTAGAAAACTTATATCGCCGCCATTGTCGTCTGAACTCAGAGATTCACGGACCGATACTTCGACCTCGCAGGTTTCGGCAATGACGTTAAGGAGTTTATTCAATGTACTCGTGGCTATTTGAATCATATTCAGTGAGCCGTTCATTTGCTCTGTGGTGTCATTCGACGAATCACTTGACGTTCGTGGTTTTTCAATTTCGTTCCCCTTTGTGCACTTTATCTCGAGTTCGTTTCTACCCCTCAGCCAACGGACGCAAGCATCTTGATTATTACCCGATTCGAGGGAATTCTCGTCGGTTATTAATCTCTCGATACTGCGAATTATTGGCATTGACGCTGGTGAATGGGGCGATTGTTCTTGATAAATTTCACGCGATTGTAAAACATGATGAACTTGAAGCATTTCGTCTGTTTGTAAAACACGTTGATCGAGAGGATCGCGGGTCTCGATAATCACTTCGGTTCTCATACCGTCACGATTTAAGGTTTGATGTTGTTGCTGATGATTGTGATGATGATGATGGTGATTGTTATTACTATGATGATGTGAATGATGATGGTGATGATGATGATGATGTGATGGTTGCAGTTGTTGCTGCTGCTGTTGTTGTTGCTGCTGTTGTTGTGGTTGTAAATTCGAACTGTTTGTAACTTGACTGTGAAGTACTTCTTGGGAATTATTAAATTCTTGGGGGAAAGGCACATTTTGCAGTGTCGTTAAAACTGGTGTTTCATTTTGTTGACATTGAAGTTCAATTAAGGAGGTTGATGATTTACATTGAAATTCATCGCGATGTTTATCGAGTTCCATATAAATTTCTTGATTATCCAATTGTGGAGTTCTTGATCGATTGAGATCTTTATTCGAGTCATTGTTGTTAATTGTCGATGTGCCAGGGACAGATTGATCCAATTTGTCCAATTCATCCTGGATAAAGATTATTAATTAAACGTGACACCAAAATTCCAGGTCTTTTCCTTTTTTTAAAAAAAAATTAAGTGGAAAACACAGCCTCTCTTGATTTTAATTTAAAAGCTCACCGATTATTCTATTTAAAATTAAATTTAAAACCGAAAACATTAACATAAAAGAAAAAAATTCAAGTGTCATTTTTTGCAAAGAGTTTCCGATCTATGTACAGTCGGTAAAGAAGAACCAAAGGGCGTCACTTACGCCTCAACATTAGAATTATTTTTAAAATACGATCTTTCAGTACTTAAATTTCTGACCATTTTGAACGCCTCAGCATTAGAATTATTTTAAAAATATGATCTTTCAGTACTTAAATTTCTTTCCATTTTGAACAATTTTAAGCAGAAAAGAAAGAACGAATTAAAAATGGCGCGAAATTTAAATTGATAATTGGAATTTTTAAGAAACAATCTCTTTTTGAAACTTAAATTCAGGAAATCCTGGAAATTTTACATACGAAAGCAATTAGGAATTAAAAAAAGGCGCGAAATTCAAAATTGAGAATTGAAATTTTTAACAAAAAGATCATTCAGTCCTTAAATTTTCAGCCATTTTCGAAATTATGACTCACAAAACGAATTAAAAATATAACAAAGAGCAAAATTTGAATTAAGAATTAACATATTTGAGAAATTATCTTTTTTATAATCTGAAACTCCAACTATTTTGAATAGTTTACAAGCAAAAGGGATAAAGAATTAAAGAAAAGAGCGAAATTTAAATTAAGAAATATAGTTTTTAAGTAAAGTTATTTTCTAGATAAATTTTTTTTTGCAGAAATTAAAAATATATTTTCCAACAGAAGAAATATTTTTTTGGGGAAAAAATTTCAAAACCGAGGAGACAAGTAACGTGAAATTTATATTTTCTAAAATAAAAACGAACAATTCTTTGATTTAAATTAAAAAGTAGAATTAATTTTTTAAAGAAAAAATATTTTTAAAAAATAAAATTTTAAACTAAAAATATTTCTTAAAAAAACTCATTTAAAATTTCCAACATTTTAAGAGAGGAATAAAGAGCGGAATTTAAATGTTAAAAAATTCGAAACTATTTTTCTTTGAATTATAAAAGAACTCGAGAATTTGAAGTCGACTTTTGATAGAAAGAAATAATTTTTAAATGAAATTTAAATAGCAAAAGCATTTTTTTAAAAACTATTTTTTAAAAACTCTATTGGCTTTAAAAACTTAATTTGACTCAACTTCTCATTTTAAGGAAACAACGTGGGGAATTTGAATTTTACAAAATAAAAAGCTACCATTTTTAGGATTATATAAGAGTTTAAAAGCCGATTGTTCATAGAAAAGAATATTTTTAAAAGAAAATATGTTCGAAATGTTAAATAAATAAAACTTTCTGCGTTCCGAGTGAAAAGCGCACGAAATTTGAATCTTAAAAATCAAAACGCACGTTTTCTTGAATTATAGAAAAAAATTTTTGAGAAATAATAGCTTACTTTAAGGCAAAACGAATTTTCATAACTTTAAATACTGAGAGACAAGTTTAAAAAGCGATTTCAATTTTTATGACAAAGGAAAAGAAAAATCGCGGGAAATTTTTAATTACAGAAACAAAAATAACTTTTTGTTTAATTATATAATAGCCAAATTATATTTTTTTTAAATACTTTTTTTTAAATTGGCCACAGAGAGTAAAAAAGTCTATAACTTTCATTTATTTTTAAGTTAATGTTACTAACGAGGTTTAACGAAGGATGCAAGTTTTGTTTTTTACGTCTTTCTACACATTTTACTTTTATTTGTAAAGTAAAAGTAAATATTTATTTTACATTTACAATTTAAAAATTTATTATTTTTTTTGAAATTTTTTAATTGCTAATAATTCTTAATATAGACTTTTTTACTAAGCAAGGCAATGTATATTAATTTTGATATTCACTATTAAAATAATAAGCAATAAAATTATGGAATACAACCAGACAAGTGGTTTTTAATATAAAATTCTCCCGCACTTTTCGAAATTTAATCGATTTCCTCTTCAGGGAGTTTATCAAAAATAAAACAGAAAACATGAATATACACAAGAAAACGTTAAAAAAAATTCTTAAAAAAATAATTCCATATGGATTTTTCAATTGGATGTAAACTTTATTTTTTATAAAGAATTTACGTTTATTTTTTGACAAACAATCGTTTAATTTACTAAAAAAAAAGTGCGCCAGTTCTCCAAAACTTGATATAAACAAATATCCCATATGTACCTCCAAAGTTTATATTATAATAGATCATGAAATTTTTATTTTTATTTTATATTATAAGAATATTGCAGCTATAAATTTAAATTTTCAAAGATTTTAATTTTTTAACCCTTTTCAAAATTCACTTATTTATAAAAATTCACGCTATGATGCTTTTAATATTCAATTATAATTTCAAATTTTAAGTGAAATTCATTTTTAATCAATTTTTATTAAAAAATTTTTCGAGAATTCAATTATTTAAATAAAAAGATAAATAATGTATTAAATAATTAAATATTTCTTAAAATTGAATTTTTTTAAAAAAATTCTAAAAATAATTGAATTCTTTAGGCGAATTTTAAAAAATTATAAAGAACAAATGCAATTTTCTATCAGTTTATGTAAAATTGTACATAAAAAATAATTGAAACTCTGCTATAAATATTGTTATTTATAAAAGTAATTTAATTCTTGCAACGAATTTTATTAACAAATTTTTTAAAAGAATTGAATTCCTGTGAAGAATTTTATTTGTGAAAATAATTGAATTCCGGAGAAAAATATTATTATTTATGATAATAAATTAATTTCTTGTAAAGAATTTTATTCAAATTTTTTAAAAAATTGAATTTCTCAGAATTTTTTATAACATTTCGAAAATAATTAAATTCTATCGACAAAATTTCATTAAAAAAATTGAAAATAATTGAAATCTGACGAAGAATTTTATTAAATTTTTTTTTTAAATAATTCAATTCTTGTGAAAAGTTTTATTTTGGAAAAAAAATTGAATTCTTGGGAAGAATTTAATTAAAATTTCTTAAATAATTGAATTGCTTCGAAGAATTTTATTTTTTAAGAAAATAATTAAACTGTTTCGAAGATTTTTACAAACATTTTTTACAGTAAAATTGTAATTCCCATAAGAAATGTTATATTTTACGAAAATAATTGTATTCTATAGTCAATTTTATTATAATTTTTCAAATTTATAAAGCATTTTATCTCAAAATTTTTTGAAATAATTGAATTCTCGAGAAAAATTTTATTATTTATGAAAATAATTGATTTCTTACGAAGAATTTTATTCAAATTTTTTTCAAATAATTGAATTCTCATAAAAAAATGTATTATTTGTGAAAATAATTGAATTCTTAAGAAGAATTGTATTGAAAATAATTGAATTGAATAGGAAAATTTTATTAAAATTGCAATTTTATTAACTAAATATTGCAAAGAATTTTGTCAAAATTTTTTTAAATAATAGAATTTTTAAAAGAATTTTATTTAAATTTTGCGAAATAATTGAATTTCTCAGAACTATTTTTTTCTATTCTTTGAATATATTTGAATTCTTTCGATAAACTTCATTAAAGAATTAAAAATAATTGAATTGGTGCGAAGAAATTTATAAAAAAATTGAAAAGTAATTGAATTCCTGTGAAATTTTTATTAAAATTTCGTTTAAATAATTGAATTCTTTTATAAAATTTTATTAAAATAGTAGATATTAAAAATAATTGAAATGAGGAAAATTTTTGAAAATAATTGAAATTTTGCCAAGAATTTTATTAAATTTTTTGAAAATAATTAAATTTCGGAGAAGAATTGTATTATTTATAAAAATAATTGAAATTTTGACGAGAATGTTTATAAATTTTTGAAAATAATAGAATTTCTGTAATCAGTTGTTCTTAAAATTTCTATTTAAATTGATTAAAAATTGGAATTTTTAAAAATTTCATATTGAAGCCTTTGAAGTTGATCTATTTATGCAGATTTTAAACGTAACTCTTTTGAAATGTAATTAATTTTAAAAAGTTTGAAATAAAATTATTCATTAAATAATTTCGAAGTAATAATTTTATGATAGTTGTTGAAGAATGAAGTTATTTAAAAAGAAATTATTGTCAGAAACAGAAAAAATTGAAAGTTTTGTATTAAAATTCTTGTCAATTTCATATTTTGTGAGGCAAACAAAAAAGACACAAAAATTCAGAATTTTCTTATAAATTTTAAAACTTAAATTTTTTCCAGTACTTTTAATAAAAATCCCTGACTTTTTCCTGAATTCTCTGACTTGTGGCAACCCTGCATATGTAACCAAGATGACTAGTAATTTTTTATGTTTTTTATTAGAAAAAATTACCAAAACCTTTAAATCACATAATTTCTATATGGTAAAGTTTAATTAAAAACAGAACGTCTTAAATATAAAAAGATTGTTACAAAAATATTACAAATTTTGTATTTTAAAATTAACTCTAATGGTTATGTCAAGAAAGTCATTTGTTTCAATTTCTTGAAATAAGAAAATATGGATTTATCAAGTTTTGAAAATTTGCTCCTCATATTTAAATTTCTAACTTCAAACTTTAAACTTCCAACGTTTTACTTGCTAATTTTTAAATAAAAAAATATCCAACGTTTGGTTAAATTTTAATTCCTTCGACTTGTAATGTAAAAATTTTATCTACTGCCAAGATATTTTTGTTCTTGTCACATTTTATTTTCATGTTTTTTTATAATCATTTTCACGATTTCATTACGTCCTTTTTTCTGTTTTTACATTTTCGTTTATCTTTATTTTGCATTTTTACACTCAAGTGTATTTTTTATTTTTAATAATTTTCTTTAAATTTTTCTTTTTTTTCTCTTTAATTTTCTTGTGTATATTCATTATTATTTTCTGTATAATTTCTGATAGACTCCCTGAAGAGGAAATCGATTTCTAAACTTAGAATTTTATATATAAAAAACCACACTTGTATCCAAAAATGTATTCGTCTATTTTATTACCTACTATTTTAATTCATTTTTCTCGAAGTTCACTCTGAAACGAAAATAATACAAAGTTATTAATTTTTATCATAAAATTCAGAAGCCGAATCGAGTAATCAATTTTTTTTCTTCAACTGAAGAGATTCTGCGCTATAAATAAAACATTAAAAAAAGGACGAGATAAAAAAATTAAAATTTTAAATTAACTAATAAATTAAAACCAGAGAGACTGTTTTCTTTCGTGTCTTCTCGAACGTTTTTTTTTTAGAAAAAAAAGCATCAAATTTTTATTTTTTTAGTAAGAAAGCAATTTAGTTGTTAAGCGTGAAATAGAAGCAATTTAAAGTGTTAAGCATTTTTGGTTCGAGAAGGTTGTTTACTCTTCTTTTGCTTTAGAATAAAAAACTCAAAAAAAGCAAAGAAAAAATTTTTTTTGAGTGCAAAAGAAGAGTTGCATTAAAAAAAAATTGGTAGCATCATTTTTTTGAAGAGCGGTAGAGCATTAGATGAAATAAAATACTGACTTACAACATCTGATAAGGGTGGTAGATTGTACCGATCGCGTAACAGTTGTTGAGTACGAAGACACTCCTCTTGGAAGTCGCAAACGAATTCGAGTTTCCCCACACAATGAACACAGATCGTCTTTGGCAGAAGATCCCTCTCATCTATCTGCGATTTAAATATAATAGAGAGATAGATTTTACCTGATATTTTATATCATTAATTTTTATACTAGAAAATTGTGTATAATTCTTTTTTTTGCTTTTGTAGAGCCACAACATATTCGTCTTAGAAACTAGTTTTTTTTAAAATTGTTTTCTTTTCTTTCATTTCTCACTTTCCGAGAATTTTAAAATTGATTCTTTTTTGAAGATGATCTTATGCATCTCTTCTTTTTTTCCAGACAGGAAATTTCTTTTTTTCGAAATTAATCTCCGTAACATCTCCACCCTACCGCTCTGTAGACACACCATTTGTTTTTTTTTATTTATTTTGAAAAAAAGAAATTCCGAAATTTTGGTAGTCACAGTGACGATTTTCGATGTAAATTTCGCATTTAAAAATTATCTAATAGATAAAATATTGGGTAACAAAATTTTACACGTTTGTCTAAAATATTACGGACGATTTTTTTTTTTAGAATACGAAACTGATCTTAAAAATATTTAATTGACTCTATTTTTCGGTCAATTTGATGCTAAATGTGTCCAAATTGTCCCACAATTGTCTTATTTTATACACTAAAAAAAATATATATTTGATTCAAATAAACGATTTCTTGTCTATTATCAAATAAATATTTATTTCTATATCAAATAATTTTTAATCAAGCCAATGAAAGTGTATTTGCAAAAAAATACTGAAATTCTATTGGTTCAAACACATTTTTTTGATTTAAATAAAAATTCTTTGATTCAATTAAATATTTATTTGAAAATAAACATTTTTTTTATTTTTATCGAATGAATTTATTTTTATTCTTTAGAATAATTAAAATTTTCGTAAATGAAGATTATTTTTAATTTTAAAAATGAAAGTATCAAGTAATAATTTTTGGGAAATTCAATTTTCCTCGTACCTACAGTAAGAAAGTTTAGTATAGCAATAATAGTAATTTAACAAAATTAAACGGAGTCACTTGAAATTTTTTTTTTAATGACGAATTAGACGTTAAATTTTAGAAATTAAAAATACAGCATCCAATTTGTTGGACTTTCTTTTAATTTATCAGATTCAGTGATTTTTGGAGTGAATTTGGTAAAGTTTTAAAATTATTAAATGCTATAGGTTGGATTCGCTATTTTGAATTTAAATGATGTTTTGTAATTAGTATCGAAACTTGTTAAATTTTTTTTTACACATTTCTTTTAAATTTAAAAAAATATATAAATTGGAAATTTAATTCTAATTAATTTTTCAGTTTTGTCATAATTATTTCTTTAAAAATTATTTAAATTAAAATGGATTCAAATTGTTTAGAATTTTCTACTCAAGAATTACAAAAATTAAAATAATTTTTATTAATTGTTATTAATCATAAGTTAGTAATTATTTCTAAAATATAAATGAAAGCTATCAACGAGACTTCCATTAGAAAACTTTTTTTAGAAAAGTAAATTTTTAATTAATTCCCTCTTTTGTAAATTGTTATGAATTGGAGGTTATGATTAATTATTTATACGACGAATTAATTGTATTTTTTTTTAAATTGCAACTGTCTTTAACTACAATCATTTCTAAGTTAATTATAATTGAGAACTTTTAAGAAAATTACTCAATAAATATTATTAATTCATTCGAGAAGTTACTACAAAAAAGTAGACGAATTTTTTTTAAAGAACAAGAAAAAAATAACTAAAAAAAACAAAAAATGTCAAACAGCAAATAAAAAATAAATTTAAAAAAACAATAAGGAATAACAAATTATTTAAATAAGACAAAAAAAAATAAAAATAAATAAAAAAGAAAAAAAATGTTTAATAAACTAATTAATTTTAATTAAAGGCAGAAAAACTATCCTAACCTGTACGTACCGTGTGCTTTACGACAACAATTTTATCAATATAAATATTACACATTTTTTTTATTATTGAAATTTATTTTGATTATAATAAATAATTATTTATTTTATTATTTATTATTATAACTATTGTAATTTAATATAACTATAATTATTATATTTATAATAATAAATTATTATACTAATTATAATAATAAATCATTATAATATTAAATACTTATAATAATAATAATAATAATAATAATAATAATAATAATAATAATAATAAAACTACTATAATTTATTTGTTATTTGTGTCAATTATCATTAAGTGTTGTAAAATAAAATGAATAAACGAAAGAAAGAAAGAAATTAAAAATTTTCAACACAAATTTACGAAAAATTTGACAATAATCACAGTTTTCGAATTAAAACAATTCATATTAAATTTTTAACTAGAATACGAAAAGAGAAGGGGGGGGGGATATTAAGAAAAAAGGGGGCAAATAATAGAACACACTCGTCATAGAAAATAATATTCCAGAAAAAAATAAACATTCACAATCACAAATTACAGAGAAAAAAAAGCACAAAACAAAAAAATAACCTCAAAATTCAATATTCTATTTCCCCCTCTTCTCTTATTAAACAAAAAATTCTATTTCATTACAACTTTTTTTTCTTTGGCAAAATTTCTTATTTATAAAAAGAATCACTTCACTTCGTGAGGGGAAAAAAAATAAAAACGAAAAAAAATCGAACGCGCTCGATGGGAATAAAAATGCACTTTTTTTCATCGGTTTATATAGTCACGAGAGCGTTGTTGTTTCGAAAAAAAAAATTCTATAAAAAAAAGAAAAAAAACAAAAACCGTTAATCACTTTTAAAAAAAAAAACAATTTTTTCCCCTCCCAATTACTTTAAATGGTGGGGAAAAAAAATTATCTTCTTGAAATTTTGACGATTTTTACGGGAAAAGTAGCCCGAAACACGTCGGCTTTTGTCTTCCGGCCATTTTCCTATAGAACCCCCTCTACCCCCCTTTCTTCTTTCCCTCCCCCCTCTCTCTCTCCACAATTCGCTTGGTTCACTAGCAGGAACGGACGCGATGAGAATTTCGAGCGCAAATCCCCCCCCCCCCCCTTCCCTTTAGAGTGTTTTTTTTTGTTTGTTAATCCTTTATGTGTATGTATATATATATAGAGAGAGAGAACACAATGGAAATTTTATTCACAAATATATTTTTATTTTGATTTTGATAATAAAATTTTTAAAGAGATTAAAAGTACGAAGAGTAACTAGAGAAATTTTAGAAAAAAATAAATGCAAAAATTACTCACCAGAATATTAATTTTCGAATGTATTTTAATGCGAAGCAAACGATTTGTTCCATCCTCACTGAAGACGTCTATACAAATATTATCAGTTTGTCCGCAGAGTCGACAAATTTTCGCCTCCTCCTCCTTGACCTCCATTTTTGTGTTTACGTTCAAGGCTCTGGGGCGCTTGGTTCTTTCTTTTTGCCTTTTATTCTAAACGCGATTAATTCTCACTCTGCTTAGAGTTGTTGTTGTTGTTTCCTTTTTTTTAGAGAAAAAAATCAACGTAAAGTTTTTTTTTTCATGATCCGAGTCTTACTCCACCGTTTTTTATTTCCATGGAGGAAAACTCGAGATGTTTTTTTGAGTTGCACAAAAAGAAAAGAAAGAGATACACGTTTTTGGGAAGAAATTTTTTTTCATTCGCTGTTTATGAACAACAAACAAAAAAAAAGTACGATGAAACTGAGAATTTTTATTTTTTAGCGATTACACACGTTTTGTTTGGAAGTTTATTAATTTTTTTGTTTGTGATAAAATAAATAGATGACGGGGGGAAAAAGATGGAAGTGAACTTTAGCAGGGGGGGAATAAAATACAAAAAAGGGGAGTGAAAAAATATATGTATATATATACTGATCTGTCGATGTTACTTTTGCGAAACCCAGCGTGGCCGCCTTGTTAGTCCTGCGAGGTCTGCGTCGCCATTTTGTAAACATAAAGGCGCTTTGAAACCCAACCCCAATGAATGCGCCTTTCTGTTTTGAACAGCGCCGCGTGGTGGCGATTGTGAGGAAGCTTTATGAGCATTTGGCGGGAGTTTTCAAATGTTTTAAAAACTAAATTTTTCGAATAAATTCAAATTTTTTTTAAATTTTCTACCAATAATAATAATTATGTTAATAAAAATAATAAGTTTTTTAATCCTCGTTTTAGACACTTCAATATAATTGACAAAAATTCCATTCTATATTTCATTTTCCCGTCTTTTTCCTAATTTTCATCAAAAATTTTTTTTCTAAAACAAAATAATTTAATTCTTGCGAAGAATTCTAAAAAAATTTTTAAATTATTAATTTCTTTCGACTAATTTTATGCGAATTCTAATTTAAATAATCAAAATGCTAAGAAATTTTTATTATTTATAATAAAAATTGAATTCTTGCTTAGAATTTTATTAAAAATTTTTTTTTTTAATTTGAATTTCCATGAAAAATGTTATTATTAGTGAAATGAATTGAATTATTGTGAAGAATTGTTTAAAAATTTTGTGAAATAATTGATTTTTTCGAAATTTATTTGAAAATGCTATTCTAAATTAATTGAATTCCTATGAAAATTTTTCTATTTATGAAAATAATTGAATTTTGGATGAATTTTATCAATTTTTTTTTAATAATTGAATTCTTTTGCAAAATTTTATGAAAATACTAGATATTGAAAAAGACGGAGATATATTTGTATCCTTTTCTATCTCATTCATCTCAATCGCGAAACTATTGTGTATTTGCCTTTACATGAAAATAAAAAATAATGGAGCATTCACATCTTCGATAAAAATAATTGTCCAGAATGGAAAATTTACATTGGAGTAAGAGAGACAGACTATGTATTTGTCTCTCTTACTCCAATGTAAATTTCTCGTTCTGAAAATTTTTACCGAAGACGTAAATACTTCATTATTAGCAGGATTGGATGAAAAACATAAGGGTATATTAAAAAATCTACGAGATTGCTTGTAATCCGATGCAAATTATATTTCTCTACTTTTTAGTAATGTAAATTTTCACGACCTTAAAATTGAGCACTCGCCCAAAAATTTTTAAAGTGTGTCAAGTGTGCAAGCACCTTAAAAGAAAAATACTCGTCAGTGTAACCAACCAAAGATTAAAAAAGTAAAATTCCCCGCACGCAAGTTTCCGAACCCTGCGCTCTCGAGTCGAGAGAACTCGAGAAGATTCCTAACCTAAAAAAATTACCGCGCGTCATAATTTTTCTCCCGAATCTTAAAATACAGAATAAGAGTGACAATAAATCAAAGAAATTTGTAAACGAAAACGCGCATGGCTCATTCGACAATGAATCTTATAAATGTTACATGAAAATTAAAAAGTAGAAGTGGATTAATGTGGATAAATGAAATTTTCACGTTTTTTTGTTTTTTCATTCATTGGACATTTTGATTAAGGGAAAAAAAATAATTCGAAGGTGTAGTCTCAACAATCCCATGCGTTAAGAAGGTGAATTTTTTATAATAATATATATATATATATATACACAATATATAGTTCATAACTTGTATTATTTTTTAATTTGAATCTCTTTTGCCCTTTTAAATTACTCATTTTGCATGTAACCCAGTTTTGCGGAATGTTAAAATATATAACACACACACACACATGTATATGTATAAACGAGATTTAATTAAATACGGCCTCAGTTTATATAATTACTTGTATTTGTCGATGATGTAATTATTTCTCTGTGCGAAAATCAATTTACATTAATGTAATTTTCGCCCTATTTTTTCGTTAACGTTGTTGTTAACATTCACGTGAACATCGTTATTTATTTAAATACAAAATGAAAAAAAAGTTGCAACAACCTGTCATCAGCTGTTGGCTTCGTTTCAAAAGTATCGAAAGTTATTTCTGTAAAGTCGTGAAGAATTTTTATTTTCTTTTTTGTGTATAAATGGACCGACAGAGATGAGAATTTTTCTTCTCTGAATTAACAAGTTGTTTTTTTGAATGAAGATAAAAAGCGACGATTTTTTTATCGATTGTTTTTGGATTTGAAAGAATTGTTGGAATATTTTTACCCGGATTTTTTAATATTTTTGTTTATTTAAAAATATTTATGACAAATGATATGGTAAGTCGGAATATTTGCTACTTTTTTAAGTGTAAAATTAGAACAATCTATTTTTGTCTACCTCTTGAGTTTATTTTTATCGAAACAATTGGTTTTATATTTTAAAAATAATTTTATAGGATCACAGAATAATTCTATTATATTTTTAATTTTTTTATTTCGCATTCGTTTTTATTTTGTTATGTAAACAATTATTCTTTATACAATTTATTTTTATTGTTTTTTTTAAATTTTACACAATATTTATTTTTTATTGTATACCAAAAAATTTATTTGCATTATTTTCTGTATAATTTATTTCTATTATTTTTTTCTTTTATTCAATTTTCATTGTTTTTTATTTTCTTGCACAATTTTTATTATTTTTTATTTTTATACAATTTTTCTTATTTTTATATTTTTTTTATTTAATTTTATTATTTTTTCATTATTATTTTATTATTTTGTTATTATTTTGATTTTTTTATCATTTTCATTATCATTAGTTTTCTTTTTTAATGCTTTTTTATTATTTTTAATTTTCTTTTTAACATTTTTTTTTAATTTCAATTAAAACGTATAAATAAAAAACTCTATTTTACAGGGTTGCCAAAGGTCAGGAAAATTAGGGTTATTACTTATAAATCATTTAATGAAGTATTTTTTGAAAAAATTTAATTTCAATTCTCTTGAAATATTAAGAATTAAATATTAAAATTTTTTCCAGAAATTCAATTATATTCAAAAATTTTTTTAAAAATTTCTCGTCAACATTTCAATTATTTTTATAAAGAACAAAATTCTTCGCCGAAATTCAATTATATTCAGGAATTTTTATAAAATTCATTGTAAAATTTAATTATTTTCATAAATAACAATATTCATCACAAGAATTCAATTATTTTCAAAATTAATATAATTCTTTGAAGAAATTCAATAATTTTCAAAAAAATTTTTAACAATTTTGTCAACATTTTAATTATCTTTATAAATGATCAGCAAAATTCAATTATTTTTAGGAATGTATATAAAATTCATAGTAAAATTCAATTATTTTCATAAATAACAATATTCATCACAAGGATTCAATTATTTGCAAAATAAATAAAATTTTTCGCAGAAATTCAATTATTTTCTAAAAATCTAAAAAAAAAATGTGAACATTTCAATTATCTTTATAAATGAAATAGCAAAATTCTTCGACAAAATTCAATTATTTTCAGGAATTTCAATAAAATTCATTGCAAAATTCAATTATTTTCATAAATAATAGTATTCATCATAAGAATTCAATTATTTTCAAAAAAATTTCTTAATTCATTAATTTGTATATTTATTATTTGAATAACATTTCCGAAAAGAATTCAATTATTTAAAAACAATTTTGACAAAGTTCTACAGAATATTCAATTATTTTCTAAAATAATGTAAAAAAAATCAATTGTTTGAAACTTTTTTTATAAAATTCTTCGCAATAATTTAATTATTTTCATAAAAAATAAAACTCTTCGCAGAATTTCAATTATTTTTAATACAATTTTAATAAAATTTCTCAAAAAATGTAATTATTCTTAAAAATTTGTTGACAAAATTATGTAAAAGAATTAAATTTTAAGAAACATTCAATTATTCAATAAATTATCTGTTTTTTTATTTAAATAATTGAATTCTCGTAGATTTTTTTTAATAAAAATATTGTTTTAAAAATTAATTTTAGTTAAAGTTTAAAATAATTGAATTTTCGAGAAGTTACTAATAATTGAAATTTTTAGAAATAATTGAATTTTGTAAAAGTTGCAAATTAAAATTTTTGAAAATCCGAATTTTTCATATTTTTAATTAAAAATTCTATGAAACTAATTTTTTTCAAAATGCTCGAAATTTTATAAAATTATTTTAAGTTTTTATTTTCTAATGTATATTTAATATTGAAGAATTTCCGAATAATCGAAATTTCACGTAAAATTGAATTCTAAACAAATGGATTTAAAAATTATCAAAGAATAACTTTTTCAAAAAATATTAAAATTAATTGATTTAAAGAAGAATTTTATTTAAAAATTGTAGAAAATAATAATTGAATTTGAAATGATGTTAATAATTTTGAAGAAGTTATACAGTTACAATATTCTTATATTATATAATGTAAAATAATGTTTTTATCACTCGGTCACCTTTATTTTTGTGGCAACCCTGTTTTTAATATTTTATTTTTTTCGTGTAATAATAATTTATTGCATATCCCTTTAAACTATTTTTTAGAAAGTTATTTTTAACCAACAAGAGAAATTCGTTTGGATTTCAATTTTTTCGGTACGAAGAAAAAAATACATTTATTTTTTCCAAGAAAAGGTACTTTTTAATTTCTTTATCACTTCTAATTTACAATTATGTTTATAATTGAATTAAATAATAATTATATAATAATTAAAATTAATAATTGAATTATAATTGAAATAAATTGAAATTAATAATTGAATTATAATTGAAATTAATAAGTGAATTGTGTTGAAACTAATAATTAAGTCGAATTATTAAATAAATTAAATCGAGATTAAGAATTTAATATAAAAATCGAAATTAATAATTTATAACTAAAGTATTTTCTTCTCCTTCTTTTTTCGCAGATGGGCGAAACACTAAAATATTATGGAAGAAGACGTAGTATCGTTCGTCGAATTGGCTCATTTCTTCCTCTAAAACCACCGCCAAAAATTTATGTCAGCGTAACTCCACTTCATTCAATGACGAGTTCGATGATTAACGAAGAAACAAGCGGCGACATTCCTGGATCAAATGGTCTTGGCCCCGGAAGGTATTTTTTTCTTTTTCTTTATACAAATTATTCTTTGTTTTTTCCTTTAAAATAATATTAATTAATTTTTTCTTTTCTTTATATTTCAGTGGTCTTTTGTCAGCAAGCAAACCAGATCTTTTGGAGCCAATAAGTTTTGGTTCAGAGGTGCGTCTTCTTGCACTCGAACAGGAATTACAAGAATTGCGGGAACAAATATCGACAATTGTAAAAAATACAAAACACGGACCAACTCGCAATTTTGTCTCTGGTACTGTTTAATTTTTAATTTATCTTTTTTTTATCTTTTTTTAATATTTAAATTTTGCCTTTTTTCTACCTTTTTCATTTTTTAGTCTTTTTTTAACAGTAAATTTTGCCTTTTTTTAACTTTTTCATTTTTTACTCTTTTTTCAATAGTCAAATTCTGCCTTTTTTCAAACTCTTTCATTTTTTTTACTCTTTTCTTTACTGTTAAATTATTCCCTTTTTTTGTTCCATTTAATTTTTTTTTTGCGGTGAAATTTTTGCCTTTTTTCATCTTCTAATAGTTAAATTAAAAAAATTGTTATAAAAAAGATAGTTAAATTAAAAAGGATTTTTTTTTGAGAAAAAAAAAATTAAAGTAAAAAAATTGTTTTAAAGAAAAAATAGTTGAATTAAAAAAATTGTTTTAAAGAAAAAATAGTTGAATTAAAAAAAATTGTTTTAAAGAAGATAATAAAGTTTCTGCTTTTTTTCTCTATTTAGAGCCGTCGCTAGTGAACGGAAAGGACAATGACATGAAACCACCACCACCGCCGCCGCCTCTACCGCCACCAACGACGCCGCACATCGCGCGACGAGCCAGTTTACAAGATCACATTATTGACGAGAAAAAAAAACCGCCATTGTTACCGCAAAAATCAATGGGAGATATTTTAAAAGATATCGATAAAATTAGGCTCAAACCAATTGCGAGGCGAGTATTTAACAGTTGAAATTTAGAATTTTTTTTCTTAAATTTCAATTAAAATTAGTTCAATTTTTAAGTAAAAAAAAAATTTTTTTAACAACAAAAATGCAAAAATTTGAAGAAAAAATAAATTTATTTTTTTCAAAGTGTTTTATAACAATTTTTGAAGAATTTCAATTTTCCAAATTTTGAAAATAATTGAAATTAAATTCTTCGGAAGAATTTAATTTTTAAAGAAATTTTTAATATATTTCGAATAAATTCAATTATTTTTTAAAATCTTAATAAATCCTTTGAAACAATTCAATTATTTTTATAAATAGTAAAATTCTTCGCAAGAATTCAATTATTTTTATAAATAGTAAAATTCTTTGCAGGAATTCAATTATTTTCAAAACATCTTTAATTGAATTTCTCGGAAGAATTCAAATATTTTCAAATATTTCCATAAAATTCAATTATTTCCTAAAATTTTAATAATTTCTTCGAAATAATTCAACTATTTTTATAAATACTAAATAAATTTTCAAAATTTACAATAAAAAAGAGTCTTAATAATTTAAATTATGAAATTTTTAATTAATTTAAATAGAAATTTTAAGAACAACTGATTACAGAAATTCAATTATTTTCAAAAATTTATAAACATTCTCGTCAAAATTTCAATTATTTTAATAAATAATACAATTCTTCTCCAAAATTAAATTATTTTCAAAAAATTTAATAAAATTCTTGGCAAAATTTCAATTATTTTAAAAAATTTTCCTCATTTCAATTATTTTTAATATCTACTATTTTAATAAAATTTTCCAAAAGAATTGAATTATTTAAGCGAAATTTTAATAAAAATTTCAAAGGAATTCAATTACTTTCCAATTTTTTATAAAATTCTTCGCTCCAATTCAATTATTTCTAATTTTTTAATGAAGTTTATCGAAAGAATTCAAATATATTAAAAGAATAGAAAAAAATAGTTCTGAGAAATTCAATTATTTCGCAAAATTTAAATAAAATTCTTTTAAAAATTCTATTATTTAAAAAAATTTTGCCAAAATTCTTTACAAGATTTAGTTAATAAAATTGCAATTTTAATAAAATTTTCCTATTCAATTCAATTATTTTCAATACAATTCTTCTTAAGAATTCAATTATTTTCACAAATAATACATTTTTTTTATGGGAATTCAATTATTTGAAAAAAATTTAAATAAAATTCTTCGTAAGAAATCAATTATTTTCATAAATAATAAAATTTTTCTCGAGAATTCAATTATTTCAATAATTTTGAGATAAAATGCTTTATAAATTTGAAAAATTATAATAAAATTGACTATAGAATACAATTATTTTCGTAAAATATAACATTCCTTATAGGAATTACAATTTTACTGTCAAAAATGTTTGTAAAAATCTTCGAAACAATTCAATTATTTTCTTAAAAAATAAAATTCTTCGAAGCAATTCAATTATTTAAGAAATTTTAATTAAATTCTTCCCCAAAATTCAATTTTTTTTCAAAAATAAAACTTTTCACAAAAATTTAATTATTTAAAAAGAAATTTAAAAAAATTCTTCGTCAGATTTCTATTATTTTCAATTTTTTAATGAAATTTTGTCGATGGAATTTAATTATTTTCGAAATGTTATAAAAAATTCTGAGAAATTCAATTATTTAAAAAGTTTGAATAAAATTCTTCACAAGAAATTAATTTAATATAATAAATAATAATATTTTTCTCCGGAATTGAATTATTTTCAGAAATAAAATTCTTCACAGGAATTCAATTCTTAAAAAATTTTTTTAATAAAATTCGTTGCAAGAATTAAATTACTTTTATAAATAACAATATTTATAGCAGAGTTTCAATCATTTTTTGTGTACAATTTTACATAAACTGATAGAAAATTGCATTTGTTCTTTATAATTTTTTTAAAATTTGCCGAAAGAATTCAATTATTTTTAGAATTTGTTATAAATTTCTTTAAATAAATACAATTTTAAGAAATATTCAATTATTTAATACATTATTTATCTTTGTATTTAAATAATATTGAATTCTCGAAAAATTTTCTAATAAAAATTGATTAAAAATGAATTTCACTTAAAATTTGAAATTATAATTGAATATTAAAAGCATCATAGGGTGAATTTTGATAAATAAGTGAATTTTGAAAAGGGTTAAAAAATGAAAATCTTTGAAAATTTAAATTTATAGTTGCAATATTCTTTCTTATAATATAAAATAATGATTTTATCACTCTGTCATTTTAAATTTATTATTATAAAACGTGAAGAAATCGATTGCTCGATTTTGATCGATTTCTTCATGTTTTATAACAATTTTTGATAAGTTGTTTAATTTCAGAAGATTTTGATCTGAAATCCTTAATTCCTATAGAAAAATAATAATGATTAAGTATTTATTTAAAACAGAAGTTATTGATGTTGTCGAATAATTTGACACTTAAAGAAATTCGTAAATATAAATGTAATAGAACATTTCTTTGAGTATATAATAATTTTTGGAGTGAATCGGTATATTCTTCAGGGTCAGGGAGAAAGTCAAAATTTTGTCTGGAAATAAGGGAATAGTCAGGAAAAAACAAAATTAAATTTTTGTGGCAACCCTGTTATAATTTTTTGAAAATTAATTAATAACTTAAAAAACATGGACAGTTACAATCATTACCTATAAAAAAACTGAATTTTTGTATTTAAATAATTGAATTCTCTAAGAACTTTCGGAAAATTGTTAAAAATAATTGATTTCGAGAAGAAGTTTGATTAAAAGTTGTAGAAAATAATTGAATTTTAAGAGAATTAATTAATATTTTTATTTATTGTAAAATAGGAAAGTAATTTTCTTTATAAAATAGTAAATAATCTTATTATGAAAACAAGGAAATAATTCTCTATTTTGTTAAAAATAAAACAGCGAATAAACAACAATTTTTCTATTTTTCAGATCGCCCGGCGGTCGACCAGTGAAAATAAAACATGAAAATAGTCCGTGCAACGATTTACAGGATATTTTACGTAAACGTTATCTCGCGATGCGATCACCCGATAGTCGCGATTCATCGCTCAATCTCGCTCTAGACGATTCATTTAGTTAAACACAATTCCCCCTCCCCACCCTTTTAAGCATCAATGAAAGAAAAAAAAATTTTTCGTTTCATTTAGAGAAAAAAGAAAATTATCAATTTTTCTCCATTTGCTCGAAATTTTTGAGACTTTCGTCTCTTTTGAGACATTTTTTTTTTTTGCTCGAACTAAAAAAGAAAAAAGAAAATATTAAAAAATCGTTTTTCTTTTTAATAAAATAGAGACGATTTTTTTTGTAGGCATTAGAAAGTAATGAAGACAAAAAAAGCCTAGTCCTTTCAATGGAGTTTTGATTTTTATATATATAAATAGGAAAAGAAAAAACTCCAAGTGGCCATAAAAAAAGCTGTGCATTTTTTTTCCACTTCCAATTTTTTGGAGGGGATTTTTTTTTTAGTGTCAATTTTACAATTTTCATGTGTAAAAAGAAAGAAAGCAATCATAATTCATCCACTGTATATAGAACACTTTCAATCTAAGAATTTCTTCTTTTTTTTTTGTTTATTAATTGTAAAATTAAAAAATCAATTTGGAGGGAAAACAATTTTTTGACGAAGAATAAAATGAAACGCAAATTGAAAATTAATTTCAGTTTTTTTTGTCAAATTTGTCAAAATTTTCGGGAAAATAATTTTTTGACGAAAAATAAAAAGAAACGCAAATTGTAAATTAATTTCAGTTTTTTTTTTGTTAAATTTGTCAAAAATTTCGGTTAGAAAATTAAGAATTTGAAATTTCTCTTTTCTGAAATTCTCATTGATTTGAAAGAATTTTTCTTTGATTTAAAATTTATTTAGTTTTGATTAAAAAAAAATTATTTTCAAATATATGAAAATTATTTTCAATTAAAAGGAAATTATTCTCAATTAAAAGGAAATTATTTTCAATTAACAGGAAATTGTTTTTAATTGAAAAGAAATTGTTTCGAATTGAAAAATTTGTTTTCATTGAAAATTAAAATTAATTAATTAAAATTATTAATTAATAATTATTTTTAATTTAAAGAGAATTATTTTCAATTAAAAAATATTTTCTATTAAAAAAAAATTAATTCTATTTTAAAAGAAATTATTTTTCATTAAAAGAATATTATTTTTAATTAAAAAGAAAGAAATTTCAATTAAAAAAAATATATTCAATCAAAAGAAAATTGTTTTCATTAAAAAAAAATGATATTCAATTGAGAGAAAATTATTTTCAATCGAAAGAAATTATATTCAATTGAAAGAAATTATTTTTAATTAACAGAAAACTGTTTTTAGTTAAAAGGAAATTTTTTAAATAAATAAAATTGAAAACCGAAAATAAAATTTTTGCCATTTAATATTTTTGACATTTAAAAGGAAAATTTTGACAGATTCCGAAAAGTTTTAAACAAAATTTCATTAATTTAAAAAAAACTAATTAATTACAAAATATTTTTTGTAATTATAGATTTTTTTAATAATTCTTTCTTTTTGATTTTCACGATAAACATTTTCTTTCATTTTTATTTTTGAAAATTTGAAATTATTTTCCATTTGTCGTTTTCTTTTTTTTCCTCAACATTTTTTTTTTTTTTTAAATAATGACTTGAAATAACTAAAGAAGCGTTTTTATTAATTAAAAATTAGAAACGAATCTCATTACGATGATTTCCATATACTTAGAAACTGAACGATTCCAGTTTTGAAAGACAATTTTTTCGTAAATAATGAAAAAAGAGAGAGAGAGATAGAGGTTTAAAAATATTTTTTTTCCAACAATAGTAAAAATAAATATATAGAAAACAATTTTTTTCTTTTTTGTTGAACAAACGAATTTTTCAGATATTTGCATAAAAAAATAAAACTAATCTCAAAATATGAGAGAAAAATATTTAAATATATCTGAAAAAGCAAAAAGAAAAAAAAATTATATATCTCGCCTTGTGATAAATGATAATTAAGTCCTAAAAAAAGAATTTTTCTTTTTCTTCAGTTCGTTGTAATCCGTCTTGTCGAGTACGAGATACACCGAAAGGTGCAATGTTAAGTTGTAATGATTTATTATTAATTTACAAAACCTCGGGCTCGTTACAGGCTTTGGAGACTGACCGTGTTCCGTACTCTATATTGTGTAATGAATGTACAGAGAAGTTTTATACCTGAAAAAAAAACTTTTATCAATGACTCAAAAATGAAGAAAAACAAAAAAAAATTGAAAAGAAATAAATGTTATTGTTATGGAAATAGATTTCTTGTTATTAATTTCCTTTAAAATTCATTATTGTTTTAATTTTTGTTTTAATTTTTTTTATATTTACTAGAAATCAAAAAACTAGTCTGAAAAATTATAATCAAATTCTTTAAAACGATTCAATTATTTTCAAAAAATATTCGAACTTCAATTATTTTCAAAAAATATTCGAAATTCAATTATTTTTAATATCTAGTATTTTCATAAAATTTCACAAAAGAATTCAATTATTTACAAAAAAAAAATTTATAAAATTCATCCAAAATTCAATTATTTTCATAAATAACAATTTATTCATCACAAGAATTCAATTATTTTCAAAAAAAAAACTTAATAAAATACCACACAGACATTCAATTATTTTCAAAAATTTTAATAAAATTCTCCGCAAAATTTCAATTATTTTCAAAAATAATAAAATGCTTTTTAGGAATTCAATTATTTTCAAAAAACATTTTAATAAAATACCACACAGACATTCAATTATTTTCCAAAATTATAATAAAATTCTCGGTAAAATTTCAATTATTTTCCGAATTAATAAAATGCTTCTCACATCAGAAATTCAATTATTTTTCAAAAAATTTCCTCAATTCAATAAATTCTTAATATTATTTTAATAAACTTTTCTAAAAGAATTTCATTATTTAAAAATTTGTATAAAATTCTTTGCAAGAATTAAATTATTTTTATAAATATTTAAATTCTTAAAAATTTTTTGGTATTTTTCTATAAAAAGTGAATATTTGTTACGTTTAATAATTTTTAGTATTTATTGGTCCTGTCTAACACTATTGCGCATGTATTTGACACATAGAACGTTACTGCGCATGCGTTGTTTCCTTAGAATACTACTGCGCATGTTTTTGTTCCCTAGAACATTGCTGCGCATGTAATTTGTCCCATAAAACTTGATTGCGCACGTCTATTTGCCATATATCACTACTGCGCATGTGTTTATCCCCTAAAAATTTTATTGCGCACGCGTTATTCTAAATAGAATACTTCTGCGCATGTATTTTTAAAACGGTCCTTGTGGCGTGTGGACTAACTAAAAAATCCCGTAAGTAAGAAAAAGACAGGACATATCTTCGTCCTTTTCTTACTAATGGGAATTTTTAGTTACTTCTATTATTATTATTATTATTATTTATTATTTTATTATTATTTACTTTCAATGCAAGAACATAATTTATAATAAAATATAAATAGAATTTGTAGAAAATTACAAAAATGCCACTTGTGAGGGCACCCTTACGCTGTACTAGTTCTCACGTTTGCCGCTCATAAGAGAGTGTCGCATTTCAGAGGTTGTGCGATTATTGAACATCGAGTTGCCCTTCTCAACCTCGCATTCATCGGTGTGTAAAGTCCAACGCACAATAGGTTCGCGAAAGTCGTTTGCGAACGAGACGCATGAGATAGACAAGGACACAAATATATCACTGTCCTTTTCTAACTCATGCTTTGCGTTCGCGAACAACTTTCGCGAATCTATTGTGCTTAGGCCTTAACAAGTGTGAACAATGCTGCCAATAGAATACGAAAAGTTAATTAAAAAATTAGTTACTGACGTTACTGATCATCGTATTAAAGTGTTATAAAACAGTTAAAGTGTATTTTTATTCTAATAAAGAAAATCTGCTCCATAATAAACGGAAAAGTGCGCAAGAAATGACAAGAATTATTCTCAATCATCTCAATACAGGTTTGTCAAATTTAACCTCTAATTTTCCATATTTTCACACTATTTTCACTTTATTCCCTTTATTCACAGTTTTACTATTACTATTGTTATTATTATTGTTACTATTACTGCTATTATTTACCATTATTATCATCACTCCTTCCGCCCTTTAATGAATTCTAATTAAAAATAAAAATCAATGGTAAAATTGCAAATTAAATATTTTTCCCAATTAAAAAAAAAATTATCGTTTTTAAATTCAAATATCATTATTAAGTAGAAATCAACAATTACCGATTGAAATTTTCCTGTAAGTGTTTACAATTATCAACCGATAGATGGCGAACAATTTCGTTTGTTGCGGTCAATGAACGTGAAATTTTTGTTGTTTTCCATTTCCTTGTATATTATGTTTCTCTTTAAAACGAAAATAAAAAAAGGAAAATAAATATTTATTAAATAAGGCGGGAATTTTTGTGAGAATTTTTTTTTTATCTTAATCTACACGCTTGTGTAAAACAATTATTTTGATGGTCTTGGGGGGGAAAGGGGGACAAAATTTGTCACTAAGTGAATGACAACTGTCATAACAATAAAGTAAATATTTCACACGCGTTATAAAAATGTGCGTTATTAAAATTTCTTGACAGCAAAAAATCCTCAATTTGTGTCTTTCTGCTTGTTTTTTTTGTTTTTTTTTGAAAGAAGAAAAGAAAAAATACTTTTAACAAAATCGGGACACAATTTCAGGCCAAGGTAATCGAGTTTTAATCATTAAATAAGCAAATTAGTGTTGTTTTCTTTTTTATTTCTTGTTTATTTGTATATATAAATATATAAAAGAAATATAGTTTGGAAATATGTTCGTTAATAATGAGCAAATTGCAGGTTAAGTTAAAAGTTTCGTTTCAAATAAATTTGTTTTAATAAAATGTGATTTTTGTTAGAAAAATATCAACCGGTTTTCTTTACAAACATTTATCAAATGTTTATTTTTTTCTGGAAAGGACTTTCTTATTTTTATTTAATTCAAGATTAGAGAGTGATCAAAGGGAATTATTGAGAAGAGAAGGCGAATGGAAGGAAAGTAGAAGAGTTTTTGGGAAATAAATTTATATACGTTATTTATATATACTGTCAAATATAATAAGTGAGGTTAGGTTGTTTTTCTTTCAAGGGATATATACATATATGTCTGTTTGTAAAGTAAACAAGGGTGAAAGACACACGATTATTTTTAGTTCAAATAATAATTCGTGAGTGCATTTCCGGTTTAGTTTTCTTTCATGTGTTTTTAAATTATCATCAAAATGTTGTTTTGTTTTTGTTTTTCATTCAATTTTTTGTAATTCAAATATTATTAAAATAATTCAAGAAATATTTCAATGGAATATTATTTTCTAGACTATTGTAATGGAATTTTTCTACAATATTCCATTGGGATATTTTCTGAATATTCAATTAAAATAATTATTAAATACTCCATTGGGATATTTTTTAAATATTCCATTGAAATATTTTTTAAATATTCCATTGAAATATTTAATAAATATTCCATTGGAATATTTCTACGATATTCTAATGAAATAATTATTAAATATTCCTCTAATATTCGAATAGAATATTATTAAAATCTTTTTAAAAAATATTCCAATGGAATATTCCTTAAATGTTACGAAAATAATCCAGTAGAACTAAAATATTGAAATAAAATATTCCAATGGAATATTAAAAAATTAAAATTAATAGTAATTAAATATTCCTAAATTAATCCAGTGGAATATTAC